AGCATCCATCAGTTCGGTTGGATGCTCTATGAGATCCACGGCTTCATTCTAGCCTTATGGTTTACTTTACTAGCAGATATCACTGCTGTTTCCACAGCCTCTTTGATATCATGCCAACCTGCTTCCGATGAGAATCGCTTACATAGTTGCCTAACTCTCTAGTTGCTCCTGAAATATATTCTTAGCTTTATTATCATTAGGTAAAACTCTAAGAGACTTCCTTACGATGTCTTTCCTACGTCCAGTAAGCCTCAAACAAATACGAGCTCGCACTAGAGCATGATCTGAATCTAGACATGTGCCCCAGAACGAGCGACAGTCCTCTATCGAACATCTCCATCGGTGACTGGTGACAATGTGATCTAGTTGGGTCCAACGTTGAGACGACTTTTCAGGTTGCCAGGTCAAAAGATGCTTCTCATTATGCCTAAAGTTAGTGTTTGCTAGAAATAGGCATTTATCTGAACACAGTTGCAGCAGACGGTCGCAATTATCTGTTCTCTGAGCTGCGACACCATAAGATCCACCCAGATGTCTTTCATTTTCACCAAGTCTACCTACATGAGCATTAAAGTCACCAGCCATTATTACTATATCAGAGTGCCTAACTTTTTGGAGGAGGCCTGAAAGCTTTCTGTAAAACTCATCTTTCACATCGTCTGAACTGCAGTCAGTGGGGGCATAGGCAGATGCGACGAAGAGGCAACGACGGGTGTCCCTATATTTCCGAGTCCTTACTGTCCCGTTCAGTCGGACAGCGCACAAGCGACTACCTACTGGGATGTACTGTAGGAGAGATAGTTCAGCACTACGACTCAATGCTATACCTACGCCAGCGAGGCCACGGGAAGCAGCATCAGGACTTCCAGATACACAAACAGTAAATCGAGTTGCTTCTTTATCTTGAAATGGTGAGGTCAGGTGAGTGACGCTACTCGGATCCTGTATGCGCGTTTCCGAGACGCAACATACATCGATTGAGCGAGATTCTAAAGTCCTAGCTAAGGAAATTTGTCGACCTATTTGACATTATGTCCGTACATCAAGTGCCCCAACATGTGGTTTAGAAGGAGGTTTCAGGCGACCAGGAATGACGTTCTGTGAACTCTCATCGTTTGCATGGACTTACACCAACTTGCAATTCAGGTTGACTGGAGATTGTGTGTAACTGAAATGTGGCTGAAGGCCAGCTGAACTGATCACTAAAGTGTTCTGCCCATCGACCCAATCTCCTGGAGAGAGAATGAATAATGTGACCATCTGTTTCCGAGATAGTTTCACTAACAGTCAAATTCTTAATACCGGTTTCCTTGATACGTCTGAATAGTTGTCTATTGTTACCTATCGCTTCCACCTTTCCCACCTCTTTTGCTTCTGCCACCCACCACTTTTCACGATCACTGCGTAAGCTTCTTATCAGCCTGCGCTTAGGCTGACTATTCCGCTCATGTTCAAAGCCAGATGGAATGAGTTTCCGAGCATCCATAAGTTCAGTGTCACTGAAATCCACTGTTTCTTTTTAACCTTATGGTTTACCTTGTTAACGGATATCACTGCTGTTTCCACAGCCTTCTGGATATCATTCCAAGCTGCCTAACTGTTTTTCTAGTTCTTCCTGAAATATATTCTTAGCTTTGCTATCATTAGGTAGAATCCTAAGAGGTTTTACAGCAGTGTCTTTCCTACACCCAGTAAGCCGCAAAAAATACGTGCTCGTACTAGAGCATGGTCTGAGTCTAAACAAGTGCTCCAGAATGAGCAGTATTCACGTATAGCCAGTCACCGGTTGTCTCAACTAGTGATGCTCTCTGCTGTACAGGTACGCTGGAAGAAATCCAGAGACAGTCAAACCAGAAACATGGCAAAAATCCATGAAGTCACTGACAAGTGGACTGAGCTATCTTGGTAGGTTTAGACCACTACCTGGTTGGGGTCTGCTAGACAATAGTAACCGTTGGTCATAGTCCTTGATTGACGTAGCTCAAATCGTTTGCAATGGCACAGATGCATCCATTATTTGTATTCAATCTTTGTAATTACATGTCACCATCATCTTTCTTCTGTTAAGCTTATTTCACTGGAACATACTTCTTGTATGGTATTTTCGAATCCAAATCTTTTTGACTCCGTTGATACTTCTACTACATCTACCAATATAGGATTTGAATTAACATTTTCGTCTCTGTGCTCATGTAGTATGGCAACTTGGACTTATGTACGTCTGTACGAAGTTCTACGTTCTAACTGACTGAATATATAATAGGTTGTAAGCAGCTGATGAGAACCTAGCCAAATAAAGTGAATTCATATAATTATGCACCAATCCTTGTTTTCGTTGTCTTCAAACAAACAAATGATTTTTTATAGTTTTAGTAAGAGGTTTCTATTGTATTCGTCAAAGGGGTTCAAGTCTTACATAGCCTTTTCTCTAGTCTGACAATCTATCGGTGTCTTGTCAGATCTTTACATTGAATTCCGTTTTTTTATTTTTTACTTAGCTCTCGTAACATGTGTTAGGCCAAGATCTTGGAAAATAAACATTCACAGTTATGAACACTCGTTTTATCCACCCAGATGAAGAAAGGTTTGCCTTCGACTTGTCAGAAGAAGTACCTGAACCCAATGAAGACGGGGGTTGCGGTAGTTCAATTCTCCAGTTTTCTACGTCTGATTCTTTTAATTCTGTTGAGCAACAACGCCAACAGCTTCCTGTTTTTATAAAAAGAAGTCAATTTTTGTATCTACTTGAAAACTCCAGGTAGTTATGATTTTCTAAACTGTTCAGAATTTTTTCTGTGTCATGATATAATTCATTCAAAATTTAGGTTCAACTGTAATTTTATTGTATTTGGCATATATATTATGGCACTGTTTCATTATTTTATAGTGATCACTATTTAATCTTCTCCAAGTAAATTTCTCTTAAAAGTTGGTCAGCGAAAAAACGCCGATTAATGCTGTGAAAGATATCACATCATCTACAATATTTGCTAATATAAAAGCGGTGTTTACGATTTGTATCCTGTGTTCCACAAATGTTACATCACATTCACTTTTACACAAATAAAGCTATTAAAATATCTTTAAGTTGATCGCATTCAAATAAAATTCAGTATCCGCTTGAGGACGATTTTTATTTTTTATTTTACTTTTATTCAAGCGGCTGAATGATATCTGTATTTGAAAACTGGGTGACTTGATAGTCAAAGTGCTACTTTTAATCATTTGGTTGCAAGTTAGAACACCAGTGATGATTTTGCCATCTTATAGTTTGTATACATGATATTTACCCTACTTCCACCTGGTCAGCATAGAAAGGGTATACTAATTAAGATTAACTACTAACTCATAATATTAACAGTTTAGTGTTAATTAGGCGTCTAAAGTAAAATATCCGAATGTCACTCCACTAATTTTCTCTCAGGGTTTTAGTTGTTACTGGAGAAACTGGAAGCGGAAAATCCACACAACTTCCTCAGTACGTTTATGAAGCTGGTTGGTTGGATTCGAAATCCAGTAATATTAATCCGTTTGGAGTTACCATGGTTGTGACGCAGCCGAGACGTGTCGCTGCACTAACTTTGGCTACACGCGTAGCTGAAGAGAAAAATTGGCGAATCGGTAAACAAGTTGGATATATCATACGTTTTGAAGTAAGCTTTGCCATATATTGTTGCTTTTCCCAATGATTCTTGTTAACACATGTATTTAGAAATTTAAGAGACTATTTAGTCACTAGTAGTAAAGTAGTTGAAAGCAATAATTAATTTAGGCTAAAAAGACGAGAGGTGTAATTAAGAAACAAAAGTGGAAGGAGTAATATTTCATTTGTAAATCTCTAGTTTATTGGTTAACATATTGAAAGGGTAGTATGGAATATATTGATATTCATGGTACCGGGAGCTGTTGTACAAATATATTCTGAACACAGATTCAGGATTCGTCTCACTATTGAATAAAACGTAATTGTAGATAGTCATGTAGAAAATAAAAAAATGCATCTCTCATATAGTTTAGTGGCCTAATCTGGCTCCTATACGTACTCACAATTGAGCATACTGTGAAACAAATCTTCCCTTTAATTTCCGTATATCATGCCCAGACGAACCCTGTTTTTGCGACGATGGTATTAAAAAACTAAATACAGGTTCATTGGAATCTGTTTATTTCATATAGTCGTTCACGCAGACAGATAGTGAAAATAAAAAGCGTTAAAGCAAAGCGAATCGAAGTGGAGAAGGCGAGTGAGGCATGACTAACTATTCATAGTCGGACCGAAATAGGCTAGATATGTCATAAGGGAATTAAGTATGTACACACAAGTGAAAATAACCAAGATATGGGTGAACGATTCGTTAAAGACATGTGAATAACTCGGGAAGAATGAATTATTTAATTTGTCAAAAGGTTGGGACAACCCTGTGGGCTCGGCGTATTGATACATACACCTCAAGAGCATAGTGGATAGTTACCTAGGCCTGTTAACCCTACTAGGCGCAGGTGACGGACCAGTATTCTGCAACATACTTTGTGCTTGGCCTTCCTGTCTCAAGTTGCTATTCAGTCTTTTCATGTCTGAGTCCAAATCTCGGTATTAGCAGTTTTTTCTGGTCTTATTTCTTCTCTTTTGTGCTTAAAGATTCCAAAAAAGGTTTGCCTTGTAACCAATTTGGATGCTTCAGTCAGTCAATCAGTTATGACGAAGAACATCGTACGTACGTACATCAGTTTAAGTTGCCATACCACATTAGCGCAGAGATGCAATTGTCAGTTCAAATCTCATAGTAGTAAAGGTAGTAGAAGTATTAGCAGTAGTTGGAGAGATTAGTGATCGAAAATATCATTGGAGAAGTATATCTCAAGGGAATCGAATTAAAGAAAGAGAAAAACAGTCATGAGGAATTTAGAATATTAGAATTTGAGAAAACACAAAGAATGGATACATCTGTGCCATTGCAAACGATTTTGAACCATATCATTCAAGGACTATAACCACCGATTACTATCATCTCGCAGACCCCAACCAGGTAGTCTACACCTACCAACACGACTCAATCCACTTGTCATTGACTTCATAGATTTGTGCCATCTTTCGGTTTGTCAGCGCCTAGCTTCCTTCCAACCGACTCCTACACCACAAATCATAGCTCATCGAAGCAGTCGGTGGTTGTGCATTTGTAACCCATGTCCCAACCACAAATTCACGTATAGCCAGTCACCGGTTGTCTCAACTAGTGATGCTCTCTGCTGTACAGGTACGTTGGAAGAAATCCAAAGACAGTCAAACCAGAAACATGGCAAAAATCCATGAAGTCACTGACAAGTGGACTGAGCCATCTTGGTAGGTTTAGACTACGAGACAATAGTAGCCAATTATGTCCAATGTTATTATTGGTTAGAAATTGGCGGTTATCTGGGGATAGCTGCAGCAGACGGTAGCCATTACCTGTTCGATAAACCGTGACACCATAAGATCCACTCATGTGTCTTACATTTTCACTTAATCTATCTACTTGAATATTACAATCACCAGTCACTATTACGATATCAGAGAGCTTAGCTTTTTGAAGAGGGTTAGAAAGATTTACGAACAATTCATCTTTTACCTTATCTGAGCTGCAATTAGTAGGATTTTTACTTGCCCACGCCTTTAGTCTTTTGGCAGAAAATACGTTTGTGGAGTGGTATTACGGATATCGATATGTAATGCATTGTAGAGTACAACCAATGTCAGGGCGCATGGCAGTGAGATAACTTTGAGTAGAATACGAATTCTAGGTAGTACGAACATGATAACAATGCAAGAGGTTGGCACTGACCCAAAATAGACTATGAGTCTCAATCCTTGATTGTCCCAATCTATAAGAAAGGACAAAAGTCTTCTTATGACAATCACAGGGGAATAAGTCTAACTAATATAGTATCTAAAATACTGTCCTCAGTAATACTTCGACGCTTAACGAAAGCTCGTGAAGAGCAGACTCGAGAAAACCAGTCTGGTTTTCGACCTGGACGTGGCTGTATAGACCACGTCTTCACACTCAAACAGGTCCTGGAACATAGACACACATTTAGGCGTCCTACAATAGTTGTTTTCCTAGACCTTAAGGCGGCATTTGACTCTGTTGATTGTAAGGTTCTGTGGCAGTGTCTGTCATTGAAAGGTGTACCACAGAAGTACATTAACCTTATACAAGCTCTTTACTCGAACACCACTGGTCGAGTGAGGGCTTATGGCGAACTGTCACCGGAATTCTCTACATCAAGTGGTGTCCGTCAGGGATGTCCACTTTCTCCATTCTTGTTTAATTTTATCATAGACATGCTCCTAGAAATAACCTTATCCTCGTCAGAATTTTCAGGAGTAGACCTTCTACCAGGTAGCTCGCTTATCGACTTAGAATATGCCGATGACATTGTCCTACTTGGTGAAGACGCTGACAAAATGCAGAGTCTTCTGACTACCCTAAGCAACAATGCAAGCATGTTCGGGATGCGGTTTTCCCCCTCGAAATGCAAAATGTTGCTTCAAGATTGGGTTTCATCGGCACCTGAACTAGTGATAGGGAGTGAAGTGGTCGAACGTGTAGACCGCTTCACTTATCTTGGGAGTCTCATCAGTGCCGATGGCCTGGTGACTGACGAAATCTCGGCACGGATACAGAAGGCTCGATTGGCTTTTGCCAACCTGCGTCACTTATGGCATAGGCGAGATATCCGTTTGCTGACTAAAGGACGAGTGTACTGCGCAGTGGTTCGCTCCGTCTTACTTTATGGCTGTGAAACCTGGCCAGTGAGAGTAGAAGATATTCCTACGGTACTGGTTTTCGACCATAGGTGTATTCGAAGCATTGCTCGTAAATCGTGGGACACCCGAGTGAGCAACGCTGTTATTAGGAATCGGGTGCTAGGTAGGAATGGCAGATCAATCGATGAAGTGGTGAAACTTCACCAGTTGAGGTGGTTGGGACATGTGTTGCGTATGCCCAACCACCGGCTGCCTCGTCGAGCCTTGTTTTGTAGTGTAGGAATAGGTTGGAAGAAAGTTAGGGGCGGCCAAACCAAAACATGGCAGAAATCCATGAAGTCATTGACGAGTGGACTGAGCCATGTCGGTAATTGTCGACTACCTGGTTGGGGTCCGCGAGATGATAATAATCGATGGCTAGAGACCTTGAATGACATGGCTCAAAATCGTTCGCAATGGCGCCGGTGCATTTATTCTTTGTGATCTCTCAAATTCTAATCTTCTGGATTCTTCAACCCCTCTAGTTTCGACTTTCTAAACTTATCTCACTGAATCATACTTCTTGAATAGTATCTTCTAATCCTAACCTCTCCGATTATTTCTAATTCCCTTACTACCTCTTCTACTATTGGATTTGAATTGACGATTACTTCTCTGTGCTGATGTGGTATGGCAACATGAACTGATGTACTTATGTACAAAGTTCTACGTTGCATCTGACTGACTGAAAATAGACTATGATCTTCACATGGCTGCAGGAACTAATCAGTCTTACCCGAGATCTAAGGCCAACGAATCCTCTTTGACCATCCACACGACTCATCTGCGTTTTAATACCTGATCTACGCTTGACTGTTATTTCTTTACTAACGACGCCGTTCAGGTTTCTCCAACCTACTCTGTCCTGTGCTATCCTTCCCAGTTGTTATTAATTGCTATTCATTCTTCTGATATCTGGCTCCAATTCTCGGCGCACTATGTTCGTTGGTCTGCCTCTTTTCCTTGAGCCTTCAAGTACTTCGAGTTATGGTGTACCTCGAGATGCACTTGGGCGATTTCTACGATATGCGTTTATCCATGTCCATCATCGTTTCCTCAATTCTTCCTTTGTTGGAATCTGATTTGTTCTGTGCCATAGTAGGTTGTTGCTGAGACTTTCTGGTGAACGGATCTGAAATATTTTGCGTAGACAACTGTTAATAAATACTTGTATTTTGTGGAAGATGTCTTTCGTGATTCTCCGAGTTCTCTCTGTATGCAGTAAAACTGTTTTTATGTTTGTGTTGAAAATTCTGACTTTGATGTTTGTAGATAGTTGTTTTGAGTTCCAGATGTTCTTCAACTGTAAAAATGCTGTCGTTGCTCCTCCGATCCTTTCCTTCACATCTGCGCTAGATCTTCTTGCTCATCAGTGATGGTGCTTATGTACATTGTTGATATTCCTTTTCTTTAATTTGGTGTAATTAGCACATTGGTTAATATTGCTGACATGTTTATCTTGGTTAGTGACTTCGTTTCCAACCGATAGTATGCATAATTCTCTGTGGTTATTTGTGTATTAGTGATAATATTTACTGTGTATTATATCTGCTTTTCGTGTACGAAATGACACAAAGTTAGAAGGTTGAATGTTGTTTCACTAGGTCAACCCATGAGTTTTAGTTAATTTATTGTGTAAATATTTAAAAACATTTGAATATTATTGCTTTTGTATTGCTTGTCACAATAATTTGAATGCACTTCGTCACCATCGTATCATTGATTAGGGTAATATTCGTATTTTGTTCCAACTAAAGTATTAGATAAAATGTTCTTACGATTCGCTATTCGTTTTAAATATTTACATATTAGCCTACTGAGAAGTTTAGTTTACATGTTGACTCAAATCATCATTAAAACTCTGGAGTTATGTGTGCTACACTTTTACCTTCAAAATAAATCAGTCCACTGATCTTCGAGATTCATGATCCTTTAAAAATGAGTATTTAACTTTAAACGGGTTCAAAGTTATACATTTTTGAGTGTCCAGTGAGTTTTACTTACTCTTGTATCAAACATCTTGCAACAACTTTACAATGTCAGTCCTTTTATCGATCTTTTATTCAAATTCATTTTACTATGTTTGGCTATGTTTTCACAAATTTCTTGAAATAGGAATGTTGGACACCGAATTCAACCGTGATCTCATATCTTACCGAGGGTATGATGATACAGGAATTGTTGCGTGATCCACTTCTAACACGTTTCCGTGTAATCATGTTAGATGAAGTTCATGAAAGATCTTTGCAGACCGATATTTTATTAGGTCTTATTAAAAAAGTATTACGTAAACGACCAAATGACTTGAGAGTCATAATCTCTTCTGCTACTTTGGAAGCTGAAAAGTTAGTTCTTCCCCATTTTTTGAAGTATCTATTTCATACTATAAATTTATCTAATTAACCGTTGTGAAACACTCATCCCACTCCTAATCTGACTATTTTACATTGAAATCATCAATGAATTATTGTTAGAACACCATTAGAAACCTGGGAGCACTAGACGGCCGTTTCGTCCTGTTATGATGGTCTAACTATGATTGATTCATGATTTCAATGTAAAGCAACGATCTCCACAATACTGTAGTGAAAAAATTCTATTATTATTATTATTAGTATTATTATTTTTATATTATTAAGTAATCTGTCCAACAGAGGTTTTAATCACTGTATCTGACTTTAGAAATTTCATTGATTTAAAAAAAGTCTACTACTTCACATAATGACATCACGCTTAATTCGTTATTCGAAGATGTTGAATTTTACCCATTCGTTTTTAACCCGTTAATCAAGTATATATTCCATATCCTTGGCCTCGTGCCACACTGAGAGTATAAGTTCTGATGATACTACCCGGTTGCACAAACCAAAGCAGAGTTCGAATGGTGACATATTTGGCGAAGTTCGAACACCGATTAGTCCACCTATCCATTATACATTTACATTTGCCCTGTGTCGTGTACATTTATAAGTTACAATATCAAATGCATTTCAGATTAAAACCTTTTTTTACGCTGTGAAATACATCGCTATCTTATCGTCTGTAAAAATAATCAACGTAACATGTAATAACGTAGTAATTTTGTCAGTAATCACCCTTCAATAATTTCATTTGTTCACATAACTAAATGAATAAACTTTTTATGCTTCCCGCTAAACAGTTCATCTTTATAAACCTAGTGAGTGGATGGACCTTCAAAAGTTTTACAAAAATAATTTAATTCCACCTTGTCCAGATAAAGAACGCACACGGTTCGCGCTTCATGTAACTGGAAGCCCTGCTGTTGCTTCCCGCGACCTCACTAGTGTAGGTATAGCATTGAGACCTAGAGCAGAATGAGCTCTCATAGACTGGATCCGAATGGACAGTCGCTTATGCTCTCTCTGTGTGACTAAACTGGGAAATAGGGACTCTTAGAGATATTGCAAACAGTTCGGTGTGCGGTTCTACCCCTCCAAATACAAACTGTTGCTTGAGGGTTGGCTTGTGTCGTCACCTGGACTAGTGATGGGAAGTGAAGTAGTGGAGCGTGTTGATTGCTTCCCTTATCTTGAGAGTCTCAACAGTCCTGATGGCCTTGTGACTGTCAAAATCTCGGCTCGGTTATAGAGGACTCGGCTGGCTTTTGCCAACTTGCTTCACTTATCGAGTGAGCGAGATATCCATTCGCTAACCAAAGGACGAGTTTACTGTACAACGGTTTGCTTTGTCCTACTTTACGGGTTTGAATGCACACTAAGAATAGAGGATAATCGCAAGTTACTGGTTTTCGACCATCGGTATCTTCGAAGCATTATTCGTATATTCTGGGACCACCGAGTAAGCATGCTGGTCTTAGGAAAAGAGTTCTAGGTAGGGATGGCAAATCAATAGATGAAGTATTGAAACTTCATCAGTTGGAGTGGTTGGGACATGTGTTACAAATGCACAACCACCGACTGCTTCGATGAGCTATGATTTGTGGTGTAGGAGTCGGTTGGAAGGAAGCTAGGCGCTGACAAACCGAAAGATGGCACAAATCTATGAAGTCAATGACAAGTGGATTGAGTCGTGTTGGTAGGTGTAGACTACCTGGTTGGGGTCTGCGAGATGATAGTAATCGGTGGTTATAGTCCTTGAATGATATGGTTCAAAATCGTTTGCAATGGCACAGATGTATCCATTCTTTGTGTTTTCTCAAATTCTAATATTCTAAATTCCTCATGACTGTTTTTCTCTTTCTTTAATTCGATTCCCTTGAGATATACTTCTCCAATGATATTTTCGATCACTAATCTCTCCAACTACTGCTAATACTTCTACTACCTTTACTACTATGAGATTTGAACTGACAATTGCATCTCTGCGCTAATGTGGTATGGCAACTTAAACTGATGTACGGACGTCCGAAATTCTTTTGTTTAACTAACTTGTTGATGTTTATTATCTCTTCAAGGCAATGCGAAATATTTCATTATTTTTTTAATCAATCTCCATCTATATATAGTACTAATTACAACGCCCATAAATTGTCTTCAGTTTCTTTCTCTCCGTTCTTCTCTATCGTATACATTATTTTACGCTGTTTCTGTTATGTAATTATAGTTGAGGAATATAATCTAAACTGTTAGTCTAGTGTCCCTTATTCCTACCTTATTTTTTAGGTTTATAGAATATTTCTCGAAAATGAAAATCAGTGAAGTTGAAACCGATAAGCAAGGTCTACAACTAACTCCTGTTGCACATTTAAATGTTGAAGGACGTCAATATCCTGTGTCTATATTTTATTCACTTGATCCCGTTCCCTGTTATCTTTCTGCCGCTAAAGAGACTGTTTTTCGTATTCATGAAACAAAACCGTTGGGTGGTGATATACTTGTCTTTGTTACAGGTAAATATGATGCATGCAGTTAAATGTTAATTTTGGAATATAACTCAGGCTGTATAAAATTTTATTGACTGTATTTTTTCATAGATATCTACAGGTAATGTATTGTAGACTTTGTTTACTATAAGAAGCATCTTCAAAAGAAGAGTACATTCGCGCTATAACAATGGACAATTTACAGTTGCAAAAAATATGAGTTAAAAATCATTTATAAAATACGGCTAGAAAAATTGTCGAAATTTTTAGTATAATATATGAAGCCCCAGTAGTCACGGAATAATAAGTTGTTTTTCACACACTATCATTAATCCTTACTGCAAAAGAAATATTCCGGAAATAGTTGAATAGTATCTTAGCACCACATTCGTTTTCTTAATTTTGTTCGATTTCTTGGCAGGTAAAGAGTCAAAATGCAGTCAGTATCATGCAGTACGGTGGTCCTTCAGTTATTATGATAGTCGATAAGTTTTTCATAGTTATGGTTTTGCTATCGTTTTAGTGTGAATTGGAAGCGAAAACTTCCAATCGCCAGCTCTTTAAATGAATAGTTTGTCACCTAATGACGCTTAGTTCATGGTTTCTTACTTATGAAGCTTGAAGATTTCCAATTTATTTACGTGGTTAGTGAAAATCCTTTCATTCTTAGTCGACTTTCTGCCGCCCACCTGACTCTTAATTCAATGACTGGCACTCGTTTTACGCATAAAATTTTGGCAGCTTCCATTGTAAACGTTTGTTACCATTGAAACGGAATTGAAAACTGAAGTTGCACAGTTTGTCAAATGGTACCACAAAATATAAGGTAGTTGTGTGACATTAGCACCTGACAGCTTTTCGCTAACACTCAGTGGGTTGACAAATTATCAGACTTAGCTTTAAGTATAGGACATTGATAATCTGACTTTAGTTTGTTTTTGTAACCAAGCTATATTTTCATACTGAACAAAGCCAATTCTGATTGCTTTCTTATATTAATTGTAAAAATAAATCAAATAAACTTGCTACTACTACTAATCAACCTCAAGAAAAAACATGTATTCTGTTTATAGATTAGGACAGCACTCTCTACATCTATGACTACAAAATTATAATGAGTCTAAATTTAATGATCTTTAATTAAAATTAGCTCTCTTATATTTAATTGTTACTTAGACAAGTAGAAGGAAAGTTCATGGCCATATAGAAAAGGTCAAATGTGAATTTTACATTAAATAAATGTAGTTAAACTGAGAATTGATTCTGCTGTTTGAAAACATTTCTGTTTCGTTAAAAATTAATATGATAATAATTCTTTTCAAATATCTTCTGTTAAAAGTAAACTCGATTAGATCTTGTAATTAAAAGCGAATTATCGGTAAAAGTATCATACAATGACAACCCTAAATAAACTATCAACCAATCAGGAAATACTGCCTATTCACTAGTAAAACAGTCGACAGTGAGAAGCAATAAATCAACGCTAGAATAATAGCTTTGGTCCGAATAACCAACCCTTACGTGTCGAATTATTCCTTGCAGTGAAATGAAAAGGTTTAGCTTAAATATTAGTAGTAAGACACGTGTTATGAGTTAAGGTTATCACCCCATAAAGTTTTCGTCATCAACTGACACCAGCTATCATGCAAAATGATTAGGGTCAAGTATTGAGAATTAAGTTGCAGTTCCGAGTTAGGTTAAGGTTTTTATCACAAAATGACATCAGTTATAATGCAATACTTTGTCACTCTTCTGTTTACAAATCCAAGAAATTTCTGGTTGAGTAATAGTTAGAAAGATAAATATATATGTATATATATATATATATATATATATATATATATCTTGGCTAAAAACTCCTAACTTCTCATTAAATCACATCAAGTATTCTAGCACGAAATGTGCCTCAGGAGCAGATATGTTTTGTGATACAGCTTCAACAACATTTAAAGTACAGTTTTTGATTGCACATAAGATAGTGTTAATGATTTAAAGAACTTTAAGAATTAAATATGCATACTTCATAAATCATAACATACAAGTTTATCTATCACTACACTTTAATTTGGTTCAGAATACACGATGCGTTAACCTAATTATGATTGGTTAACTGAAGACCTTCAGATATTGTACTTTTACCGAATTTTCAAACTTAACGTGTCGCTTACTACTGTCATTACTGACTTGGTTTGGTTCAGATTACATTTCAGTATTTTTCTTCAAGTGGAAAATGCATTCATTCTATTGCAATTGGTATTTTTCCAGTTTTGCCTTCGAAAATTGTAATCAATTCGATGTTACAAAATCTACCTAGTTCGTTCGTGTTATCAGTCACTTTCCTATAGCTATAATAAAGTTTCTTCCTAAGTGAATGAGGAAAATTCATCTTTAGTTTCAGTGAATCAGAATTGGAATTCTAGACTTGTTCACATGTCTTGATGACTTATCTACAGTATTTAACGAGATGTCTGTTCATCAAAATGTTCTGCTTGTTTTGAGATAAACGTACCGTACATACGCCTATCTCAAAACAAGCAAAATATTCTCTTCAATGTTCCATTACTGATTTAGGTTTGTTTGTTTTTCATTACGCATCACTTCATGGAGAAAAATAGAAGTGTTTTTGTATTATTCAGTACTTTATCTCATTATACTTTTGCAATATCAATAAGTGCATATTTATACATTTATTTCTTGTTACATAAGAGTTTTTTACATAGGTACTCTTGTTGAAATCATATTGCAGAAATCTTGACGGTTATTTTCCTAACAAGAATTCTCATTGGTGATCCAAATCTGACTGTATAATAGTTGTTTTAGGCTGTTCTCTTCCTATTGGACATTGATTTTAGGAACGGATAGAATTATAAAAATATCGACTTTTGCTTACCGTCAGTTTTTTAGTATTGATTGTAGATAGTGAAAGTCCAGAAGTCGATAATTTCTGTTTCAAAGGATAACTGACAATCAGTATAATTCGTAATTGTTTATTCATTTTCTCTGTTATTCATAGATTGAGTTACTGACAATATGTTCAGTGATAAGTTTAGGAAATTTCAGTTGACATGTTAAATTTGATTAATCACCTGACACAATACTTGTCATAAATTTCAACGAGTTTCTGCTGATTAAATTAATATATAGTCTCCTCAGCTTGAAATCATTTATGGTCTATAATCTTAGATGAACGTAATTCTTTTGTAAGTGTCCCGCTGTCTGTATCCATGTTTATTTTAGTAGTGTTGGTTTTTGTATCAAAAGATACTGGTGACTACATTCGATGGCATTAAACTTAGTTGCGATTTAGATTGGTACTTGTATTCAGTTTCACTGATGTTTATTCTGCGAAATTTATATTTCCAAGGTCAGAATGAAGTTTCCCAACTGGTTGGCAACCTAGTCGAAGAATATCGAAACCGTAAGGAGCGTTTCTTAAATACTCAACAACAAAATTCCAAAGCGAAGTTACCTACTGCTTATCCACCTTTACGTTGTTTACAGCTTCATGGTTCCCTTCCTCAACATGAACAGCTTCGTATTTTTGAACGACCAACTCGGGCTTGTCGTAAAGTTATCGTGGCTACTAATGTTGCAGAAGCGTCAGTTACACTTCCTGGTATTTCTTATGTAATTGACTGTGGCTTTTCACGAATTCGAGCGTATAATCCTGTTAACGGACTTGAAGCTTTAGTTACTATACCTACATCTCAAGCTTCAGCACGTCAGCGTGCTGGTCGCGCTGGACGTACAAGAACTGGACAGGTTAGCAAAATATGATAAACGATTACTTATATCTTTTGACTATATTTTTTATTTACGTTATTAATCAATTTTAAAGCCTATCAACTCATTTTTTCACTAATGCTATTAACAAGTAATATTAGTGACCGTATCCATTAAACTGATTACTGTTAATTGTTCTTGTATCAATGCCAAAAGATTTAGTACTAAAGGCATATTATACTAAATCGGTAAAATGAATTAGGTAAAACTCTTCATAGATTCATATTGTTCATTTAAATTGGTTCGTTGTAAAATCAATTCCATAAATCATCTCATTTGTTGTATAATAATTCATATTCTTCAAGTTTGTTTTTTTCTTTTCTATCATATACATTAACCATACTTACTTACTTACTTACTTACGCCTGTTACCCGCAATCGAGCATAGGCCGCCCACCAGTTTTCTCCGACCAACTCTGTCCTGGGCTTCCCTCTCCAGTTCTGTCCAATGTTTGTTCATTCCTCTCATATCTTTCTCTTTTTCTCGGCGTAATGTGTTCCTTGGCCTTCCTCTTTTCCTTTTGCCTTGAGGGTTCCATGTGAGGGCTTGTCTCGTGACGCAGTTAGGTGCTTTTTGTAGTGTGTGTCCCATCCACTTCCACCGCTTCTTCCTGATTTCCTCCTCCATTGGAATCTGGTTTGCTCTGTCCCATAGTAGATTGCTGCTGATGGTGTCTGGCCAACGAATCCGAAGTATTTTGCGTAGACAACTGCTCATAAATGCTTGTATCTTGTGGATGGTGGCTTTGGTAGTTCTCCAAGTTTCCACTCCATACAGTAGAACTGTCTTTAAATTTGTATTGAAAATCCTGATTTTTGTGTTGATTGATTTTTGTTTGGAGTTCCAGATGCTGTTCAATGGTAGAAATGCAGCCCTTGCTTTGCCGATCCGCGCCTTCACATCTGCATCCGATCCACCTTGGTTGTCGATGATGCTGCGAAGATATGTAAAGGTGTTAACTTCCTCCAAAGAATCTCCATCAAGAGTGATTTGGTTGACACATGTTGTGTTGTGTCGTAGAATCTTGCTTTTCCCTTTATGTATGCCGAGACCTACTGCTGCAGAGGCTGCTTCTACACTGATCGTCATCTCTTGCATTTGTTGTTGCGTGTGAGACAGAACATCCAGGTCATCTGCGAAGTCCAGATCGTCCGGCCGTGTCCAATCTGTCCGTTGAATACCATGCTTTCCTCCAGATGTTGACGTCTTCATAATCCAGCCGATCACCAGGAGAGAGAGAAGGGGTGAGAGTAAGCAACCTTGCCTGACACCGGTCTTCACCTCAAACGAGTTTGTCAGCTGACCTCTGTGCACGATTTTGTAGTTTAATCCATCATAAGAATTCCGTGTGATGTTGACTATCTTCTCAGGCACACCGTAGTGTTGAAGAAGCCTCCATAGTGTTTTCCTGTCCACACTATCGAATGCTTTCTCGTAATCGACACATCAACCATACAATCACAAAAAATATTGAATAAACGGAAATTAAGTATACTTTCAATCTACCAATAGTGTTTCTATTTGATTTTAAGAATAAACTATCATTCTATCTTATAGATTATCTTTAAATAAAATAACATTACGTGTATCAGATTTTCATCCTTATTTATTATGATACATTGATAATAATAAATAGTTGTGTAGACTTAAAATGTTATTGATTTTTATATTTAATACAATGAATTATAATTCTTTATTTTTCTACATAACTTGCGTTATTGTAGGCTTATCGACTATATACTGAAGAGGCATATAATAAACTCTTGCCACGTTTTACATTACCTGAATCTCTACGTGTTGATTTATCTGGTGCTTTGTTACGCTTAAAAACTCTTGGTATCGATCGTTTGGCTCAATTTGATTGGCTTGATCCCCCACCTCCATCACACGTAGGTCAGTCTGCTGAACGACTTGTTGCTTTAGGTGCTCTTGATGCTAATTCTGGTCATCTTACAATTCCTCGTGGTTTGAAATTGGCAGAAGTTTCTACAATATGTGGCTTGGATCAGCCCTCAACTGCAGCTGCATTATTGGGCGCTTGCGATGAAGGCTGTTCTCAGGAGATTGCTGCGATTGTTTCATTGATGCAAGTGAGTAGTTTGTTTGTTATGAGTTGGATTCCAGTAATTGTAATCTGTTACTGATTATAAATTTGTGTATTTTTGCTTGAATTTTTAGATTCAACGAATCTTTACTGTTTCTGATTATAAACGCACAGGTGATCGTATTCGTAGGCAGACGTTTGGATGTCAGCAGGGTGATCATTTAACAGAGCTAAACGCATTTGTTGCTTATGAGAATCAATCAAAGTTGTTGTCAAAGTCGGAACTTCGAACGTGGTGTCGAGAAGTAGGTTTGAATGAACGTGGGCTAGCTCATGCAGTCATACTGCGTGATCGAATCGGCTCCATGTTTCGTCGTTTAAAACTGCCTTGGGTAAAGGCAGAACCTGAAGGAAATCCTAATCCAGTACTCCGGGCACTTGTTCGCGGATTCTTTCATCAAGTAACATTTTGTTTTATTGTACTTCCCCTGTCAATTCTATTTAAATTATTGATATTGAATTGGTGGAGAAAATTTGTAGCTCAGTTGGATGATTGTGGTAGTGTTTCGTTCTATGAGTTGGATTTTTTGGTTGTGGAGTTTTCATTGTTCTTCTGAACAACATCATCAGTACAAACTTCAGTTAGAAGTGAAGGTTAACAGAACAAGCTACTGGTCAAACGTGGAGAAATTCGAATACTTCATTTTTATCTGAAGGTTGTGCTAATGTTGTTGTTCTGAAGAACAATAAGAGCTCCATAACCAAAACATCCGGCTCAGAAAACGAAATACCACCAAGTTATTGAGATTGGCAACATTCAGCAGTAAATCCTGTGTAATTTTGTTTAATTGTTTTCAGAGAACCTCAGCTACTAGTGCTAGCTTTCTGAAACTGTAAAACTTAGTCATGACATAATATCTCATGATTTCCATTACAGGCTAATATTAGCTGAAAAATTAGTTATTTTGTTCTTTCTGGTAAAGCAAGTAAAACTTGCTCACGACTCCATACTACATCAAATCGTTAATTCTCAGGTCATCTAATTTGCACTATACCATTCACAATCATTAAATCAGAATCTAGTAGTTTTCAGATCCAACTTGAGTAAATTCACAATCTGTATAGCGTTAGTGGTGATTATCACTCACTGATATGGTTTGCAGAAACACCAGTTACTCTGACGACACTTTGAACACAAATGCAACAGTTTCCTGTCTCAGCTTCGACCTCCTCACAACTCGATTTGCTTGTTCCAGTTTACATTTCTCTAGTGAACAAAGACACTTTGTGATTAATGAGAAACTTTATTATCTTTTTCTAGTATACTTTCATACATTCTATATGCCAATCAGTTTGTTTTGTTAGAGTTTTCTATGTTCATTTACTTAACTGTTAGTTTTCACAATTATTATTCATTACAGAATAATTTATTCAATTTTTCAGTGAAGTTTATCTTTCTTTGAAGTAGTTAACCTCTAAATTAAAAACTTAGAACTTGATATAAACTCATGAAATTAACTTTGAATAAATAAACAATTGAATTATATATATATATATATATATATATATATATATATATATATATATATATATATATATATATATAAATGTAACATTTATGAAGTCATTTAGTTCATTAGTAAAATATAATTAGGAATACTTTACATATCCATTCAAGTTCAATTCCATAGGCGAATGGAATAAGAGAGAGAGAGAGAGAGACTGTGATATAATACAACACAAGAAATATGTTATGACTACGGTAGACAAAATGACTAGTGATAATAATACCCTCACCCCCCCCCACACACACACAAAAGAACACTTATCAAGGACATTAAATTTGTAAAACATTTCGTTTATCCATACAAATCCGTGTGTATATAAATATACAGCATCCAAAATGAAATGAATGAATTCATTCTATTTCTTCATATTTGTTGTTTTCGCCGTTCAACAACTGAATCTCTTATACAGTTCATAATTTTAGTGACAGATGATATAGGAATTATAGCTTATCTTTAAATATTGGAATATTTAATGATCGTCACTGATGAAACTCTCAGGATGAATGAAGAGTTCAACACACTCAGCTACTTGATTTCCTATCATGAATTCAGGAACTAACGCAGGCCACTCGTGAAGCAACGTTATGCATTTGAAAGTGGCGGTCGTTTTTGCTTAGGGTTGACAAAAGACTGCGTTTTGGTAGCCTCTTCACCAAACAAAACTATGTCATCTACGTAGTCTAAGTCAATAAGAGTCTCCTGGTAGAAAATCGATTCCTGAAAAGTAAGACGATGAGAATGTTATCTGTAAAAGAGTCACCCTAAAGAAGATTCTGAAACTAGAATTCGGCATTTATTCAAAGCTCCGACATTTTCAATGGTTTTGTAATTCATATCAATTTCTGACAGTAATCATTTTCAAAACAAAAATATCTCCATGAATCTTGCGTGAATATACATATTTATGTATAAATGAAATGTGTATGAGGTTAAATTCTTCGATGTATATGATTTTGCTCATTATATTTATTTGATATGAATTATTTATTTATCTTTTTTTTTACATCCTATTAACAACAGGCTGCTCGTCTCTCTTCATCTGGTTCTCATTATTTGACTATAAGAGGAGATCATCAATTGCGCTTACATCCTAATTGTATTTTATATTCATCTACAACACGTTGGCCTGCTTATATCTTATTTACTAATGTATTTCTTACACCTAATTTAGATAATAATAATAGTAAATTAAATATTAATAATGATAAGAATGACTTATCGAGTACGTGTATCAGTGGTGTCAGTGTTATACAACCGGATTGGTTGCTGGAATTAGCTTCACATTACTATCAGTTTGGTACGGATAGAGAACATTTAGAACATTCTTTAAGAATAAAGAAATGACATATATATATATATATATATATATATATATATATATATATATATATATATATATATAATTTCCTTCTGTATAACAAAACGTATGCGTCATATTTTGAAGAAGCACAATCAGTTTCTTGTTAAAATTGTCAATGGTCAATAATTGTTAGCACGTATGTAAATATATCTGGCTGCATTTTTGTACATTTAACTAAATTATTCTGTAAAAATACAACTTTGAGATGATTTATATCAAATAAATGGAAAAAAAATTATCATTATGTTTCACTTACGTTAGATTAGACTTATTTGACGTATCAGGAAGTAAATACTTTTTGTGGCCAACCAGTCACTTTTTATATTACGCGTAAATGCTGAAGCCTTTTTAAGATCGGAAACTTTACAAACTAAATAAAATGGTAATATTTTTAAGAAAATACAAGAGGGAAAAGTTGTACAATTTATGAGTCAATAAGCAAAATTAGCATATAATAGATGTATGATTAAAAATACAATTAAAATAAATTTCTTGTTAGTGATGGGTATAGTCGAAAATTATTTTGAGTTATACACGATAATATCTCGAGCCATTGAATTGCATCATCTCTAGTAATATAACTAGGACGTTTTGTTGGACAGACGGACAGGTACAACGCAGAACTTCGTGCGTAAGTACATCAGTTCAGGTTGCCGTACCACGTCAGCACAGAGACGAAACTGTCAGTTCAAATCCAGGACTGATAGCGATAGTAGAAGTATTAGCAGTAATGGAGAAGATTAGGGAGCGAAGATATGATTCGAGGAGTATAATTCAGTAAAACAAATTTAGAAGGAGTAAGGTAGAGATTATTAGGAATTCAGAAGGTTATAATTAGAGAGAATACGAAGAGTGGATGCACCTGCGCCGTTGCAAACGATTCTGAGCCATGTTGTTGAAGGTCTCTAACAATTGGTGACTATCGTCTTGCAGACCCCAACCAAGTAGCCAACATCTACCAACATGACTCAGTCCACTTGTCAGTGACTTCATAGATTTCTGCTATGTTTTGGTTTGGCCGCCCCTACCGAAGCTGCTACCTTGATGTGGTGGCCGGGCTTGCCTATCGTGATGAATCGACCGAGCTATATTGGCTGGAACTTATGTTCCTGAAGGCAGGTCGATTGGAGAACGATGAGACTAAAAGCAGCTACCAAAGGTCTGAGGGCTAAGTCGTACTGCTGACTGCAGAGAGGTGTGACAGAAGTAACGTGTTTCCCTCGGACAACCAGCGTCTTCAGCGATGCTGCCTTCTCACAAGGAAGGAAGGGTTAGAAAAGGTCGACCCTAAAAATGTCACACCTCACCCTACCTCACGGATTTCCGTCTCCGGGGGTAAGGGTGCCCACTAAAGGCTTTCAAGAGCGGAGCTAATACTCTAAAAACTTCTCATAAAAAGGCCGTGCGTGACCGGCCTCAAGCAGTTGTCCTTTGGGCTCCTCGATCACGCTCCCAGGTCGTTAAGGCCAACGCTAATCTAACTTCCTTTTCAGGTTCCTCAAGAAACAACCTTCCACGGTATGGACAGCCAGGAAGTGACAACCGCCCTCACACCCGTAACAGCACACGAGACCAAATTGGTCGAAATCAAAGTTTTGTTGGATCTGGAAGTGTCAGTCCTACGAACCGATTTTTCATATCACGATGCTTTATCATGTAATGGCCTCCTCTTTAAATAACCAAGCTACCGAATCCGATCTAATAGGATATTGACTTTGCACTCTAGCACATCGACGAGCGTTGGGATGACTAACAAGGTAAGGTCACCAATTTTGAGCAATCCATCTGATTCAGCGATCGTCGAGTGAGGAAAACCATCGTGCAGTTTCAACTCGGAAGGGTCAAGCTTTAGTTATAGAACAGAAATACTTTCATTCACGCGTTTTACATTCGAAAACTGTTCGACCGTATTAAAATTATGACGAGTCCAAATCTAAACTTAATTAGCATAAACCGCTCTAGCCTTGACTACATACAGATTGATTTCAAATGCCATAGCACTAACAGTACTCAGAGTTATCTAGAATGAGTCTGGTTGTAATTCAACAAGCTTACAAAAGTGCTTTTAATTTTGAAGGTGCAAGTTGGATGTTGTATCTAAAAGGAGTAGTCTATTAATTGAGCTCTATTAGTATAGGATGCATATCACCGCATGAAAGTCTGGTGTCATTCGAGTACTCGAATTTAGAAGCTCTTATGTCAAGTAGCTGATCCACATCAGTGTATTACTGGGTTTTTTTTCCTGAAGAGTATAGATATTAATCCCACTATTGGGTTGGAACAATGGAAGAGGTTGTTTGTAAGCTTTCACGCCGCCCTTTGCGTTTTGATAGTCTTCAACATACCAATAAACTCAAACACAGTCGTTTTCAATGGAAAATCTCAGAGTATGATCGTATTCAACACGATGATGACCTGGGTGTTAAGAAACGTAAAAACTTGTCGTGAAACAAGTATGACAGCGTTATGGTATTCGATAGAGGATGACAATGCGATAAGTGGGCTGACAACAAACCTTTGAGCCCTACTCTGATGTTTGATTGTCACAGAGTGTGTACCGAATTTATTTGGATCAGTTCGTTTAGAAAGATGAATTTGTCAGTCTTTTAAGCAGAAAATAAGTTTGTGGAGTGGTATTACGGATATCGATATGTAATCCATTCTTGAGTACAACCACTGTCACGCCGCATGGCAGTGAGATAACTTTGAGTAGAATACGAATTCTAGGTAATACGAACATGATAACAATGCAAGAAGTTGGCGCTGACCCAAAATAGACTATGATCCTCACATGGCTTCAGGAATTAATCAGCCTTACCCGAGATCTAAGGCCAACGAATCCTCTTTGTCCATCCACACGACTCATCTGCGTTTTAATACCTGATCTACGCTTGACTGTTATTTCTTTACTAACGACGCCGTTCAGGTTTCTCCAACCTACTCTGTCCTGTGCTATCCTTCCCAGTTGTTATTAATTGCTATTCATTCTTCTGATATCTGGCTCCAATTCTCGGCGCACTGTGTTCGATGGTCTGCCTCTTTTCCTTGAGCCTTCAAGTACTTCGAGTTACGGTGTACCCCGAGATGCACTTGGGCGATTTCTACAATATGCGTTTACCCACGTCCATCACTGTTTCCTCATTTCTTCCTTTGTTGAAATCTGATTTGTTCTGTGCCACAGTAGGTTGTTGCTGAGACTGTCTGGTGAACGGATCTGAAATATTTTGCGTAGACAACTGTCTTCATATCCACTGTCGTCCATTTCAACCTCAGCGTTTAGGTCTGCCCCCAGTATAGTCAGGTCCTTTGTTAAGCACTTCTCGATGATTAACTGCAGCCTCTCATAAGTTGATCTTTATCCTCTTCATTGTTATAGTTGGTGGGTGCATAGCACTGAATGGCATACATTGTAATTCCCTCTTTCCTTGTCTTGAAGTATGTTTTGCTGATCTTGTGTTCATGAGACGCCGATTCTTTAAGTTGTTTTTGGCCTTCTTTGGACAGCATGAGTGTAACTCCATATATATATATATATATATATATATATATATATATATGTCATTTTTATCTTATTCATAACCGGAGTTTAACAGCATCACTCCTGAAGCTAGTCTTTTTTGTTCAACCTGCGTCCAATTTATCCCGAGGTTGTACAATTTCACATTAATCTTTTCCACGCCAACTTCAATGGTATTCATGGTCTCCCACAATGTACGGACATCTCTTGTAACTTTGTTAATGGTTGCTCTGGTTATCAACAGGGACATTGGCCTCGTGACTTCCGAAGTAACTCGGCTTTCCTCACGAGGCGTCATAACTCTTTTGAATGAAGACCCTCTAACTTTTAGGTCAGATTTTAAATGGTTTGAATTATTTTTTCCAGTTAGTAATTCATAGCACGTTTGTTTTTATACGGGATAAGGTTGTTAACCCCATGCACAACCCTCCTCCTTTAGCCGGGCTTGGCACCAGCAGTAACCCTAGAACGGCTCCGGGTTCGGTTCAAAGTAATGATTAGAGATTTTTATGGAGATGATAAAAAACACTGCAAAACTACGGAACTATCTAGAAAGATTCGCTTGCGTTTTTAGTATATCGACAACGTATTAATCAATACATTTCCAAAAATATACTAGATAAAAAAATCAATCAAAACTAACCAATTAAATTAATTACAATGATTCTACAAAAGATTAGTTGTTTTTTTCAACCCTTCAATAATTATTGACTTAAAACCTAATTTCAGTTGCAAGATTAAGTTTGCATTACAAAATATACTGGTAATTTTTAGTCCATCCTTGTCATATGGTAGTAATTCAAAGACATCTGATGTTAAAATCAGTTTTCAGCTGAGTATATTTTCTCTTTCTAATCAGTATTTTCGATGTACATTGTTTTTTTTACCACTTGAGATATTTTGTTTCCATTCCATCCATTTAATTCTTCAAACAGAGCTGACAGGTTTTTAAATTAGTGCTTGTTATTTTAATTATGAGAAAAGATAACCATTGTCTTTATCATTCGGCAAATAAAAGTCATGGCTTATTTTAAATAGAATTTTTCCAAACTTAAAAACATTTCATTTTTAAGTAGTCTAAAATTCATGTTTATTGAAAAGATAAATAAAATGATTTATTGACTTAGGGAAAGGTGAACAAATTATTAGTATTATTATTAAAGATTATCGCGTTGTATCTACACACTGTCATATTGCCTGGCCATTCTCAGTTGAACTATTTCATTACTCCTTTGTACGTATGTTTGTATACAAACATCTAGACTTGTTGAAGCCAGCGTGAAAATAAGCATCGGGAAGCGGGTACACTCAGCCAATGGGACACTAGTGGGACACAATACATATATTTGGTTATATTGCTCGCTGCGATCCAACAGTCTAACGATGATATTTTAGAACGTTACTCATACAGATACTATTTTCCCTTTATACATCAAATGTACTTTATTAAAACACATAAATTATATATTATTCTTAAAAAATGATTAAACATCATAACTTGGTACTCTATTGCAGATAATTATGATATATGAACAGATATATAATATATTAAGTATTCTTTGAATATACCATCAACTATTTTGGTACACGTACAACAAACTGACGAAGTTTGAATAAAATGTGATATGTACCGTACGCTAACTAAAAACAGCAAGATAAAAACAAATAAAGAAGAAATTAGATTGTAAATATTTATCGAAAGAAGCATTTTCATCAATACTAATGTTTTTCCAAGTACACGGACAAAAACATAGTTTTCCTGAGTTGGTACATGTCAAAGTAATTTTCACAACTTTTTCCTGATAACAAACAACAATTTTTCACAAAAATTGTTCTTATCTTGGCAATACACATTTCTTAATATGCACGAATTACCAGAAGAATCCTGAAAGTACACTAGTCAAAAATATTGACAGTGACATTTTCAATCAGTACGCAGGCATGAAATTAACTATGAGTAGACCATGATCAGGTATTACGAAACTATTGTTACTGAACTCATGAACTCGTCTATGTCTTCGTTTGGCGGCTTTTAAATTTCTTCCGATTCACTCTTACTTTATCCAATATCGCATGTCAATACAGGCAGTTTTGAGGAATACGTAACACATCCCAGCTATCCTAATTAATAAAGACTTACCCCACATATAACCTCTGCATTGCCTCATTGTTCCTCGATGTGTATGGAATACCTTGAAGACAATCCTAATAAAATAATTACAGCCTACTCATGAGGGAGGAATACGATTCACTATAAAGTTGTTTTAACTAAATTTTATTTACTTTTACAAACCTTTGTTTATACGGGTTGTCGAAATATCATTTTCTACAACCACTGTTGTTTTCTAAACTGTCGAATGACGAGCTATCCTCGCAGTATTAGATGTTTGCAGAGTAACTTAGACATCAGTCAGTTTTAGCAAAGTGGAAAATGATCTCAGTTGATTGTTCGAAGAGAATTATTTGTAGATATCTGAAGTACTAGCTTCTTGCAATATTATTCTTATGTACCTTATTTGTAATTTATGATAATCCAAATAACTTTTCAAAGTTATCATATCAAACTGTAAAATATGTTCAGGGGACATTAATATTTAAATGAATAAAGAAATTTTGGTATTGCTTATATTAGCAAATTAATATAGTGGATAACAAAGAACTTGGCCAGACAATAAGAAATGGTAAATATATTTCAGTCAATATAATATTTGGGGTTAATGATTCATTATTTGCATTCAAAAGCACTTCTTATTTATTTAGATTTAATTTTTAGACGAGTGATGTTAATTATTTAGAGGATTATGAATATTAACACTACCACAGATATAATTGATTGATAAAAAACTTCTAAAATACTAGTCATGTTTAATTCAGATAAAATGAGTTTAAATTTAATATTCTCTAAACATTTGGAGTTCAGTTTCTATCAAGATGAAGAAGTAATGAAAATACATGACTAAAAAGTTTAGGTTCCTCACTTATCAAACAGAGTTTCTTTTACTTAAAGGTAGTTACTCAGTCACATTTCTCGTATGGTTAACGATATTTAAATCCTTTATTACAAGGCTACCTTGAAATTCTACCAAAGTTAAGTGCTTGCCGGAATTTGTGGTCATGTTATCTTGAGATCCAATACATGGTTCGCTGAATGAAAAGAATTCACCAAAAAACCGCAATAGAGATATGAACCATAGTGACACTTATATTCGGAGAAGCAAAAAGTGATAATATTCCTTTTAGTTAATATATGCATATTTAAAAGTAAGGAACTGCCTCATTTTATAACCCATATCAATATGAACATTATTAGTGAAATTCCGAAGGCCATAGCTAACTTAAAAATCATCTTTTTTTACTCTCCACTGAGTTTTTAATAGTCTTAAAAACCTCGATCATATTAAGAAGGTGGGAACTCATACAGTGATCGCATGAATAACAGTTATAGACAAAATTATACATCCTAATAGACAATCGCAGATTATTCTACCGTGAGGGTTAGTCATTAAAACAACAAAGAAGTAGAACATCTACCACACTGCACTTTGTGAAAATTAATTTTCGAGAATACGGGGTGTGTAATTGAAGTTCAAACAACGTAACTCGTGCCTTCACCATAACAAACATGTTTAACCATACAACCCACAACATTTACAATCAATTGGAGGCTCATAAGGAAATACGCAAAGGATTCGTTATAAAAGTACCACTCGAATTTCAATGAAAATTCGCATAATTGACATACTATCTTATTCTTGTATTAGTTATAATTACTGTATTTTATAACTCTAAAAAAGTTTGATTTTATGGTACGAAAACATTAATAAGAACGAGCTTCTCAATAAGAGCCTCCAGTTAAAATTTCGACCAATCAGGGTGAGCCATTATTAGCTTGATATAGTATATATTAGTGCGATAGACAAATAGTCCATTAAGAGCGAAAAGCATTACCGTATGCATAGTCGCGAGAGGGCTGTGATTGGCTGTATATACGTGTGTGACCTTGAGTTTATTGAAATGACGGTTATTGTTTTTCTACTTGACAACAGCGCAGCTATGAACCAGCGCACTTTTCAAGGTACTACGTTACTGGACATAGCTAAATCTGCTATTGAGATTTTCTTCAAAGTTTGTTAATGAAGTAATGTTTATTGCCTTAACTAATAGATAAGAATGAGCAAATCAAGAGTAGATCGGTATTTTGTGCTTACTCTTAATTCTGATATAAGTTACGTCAAAGTATGTCATCACAATCCTGTTAATTGTTGTAGCTTACGGGTTGGAAACAGAATGTCGACCTTCAGTTACTTCATTCTGCCTTAAATAATGTTAAACCGGATGGTCAGATTGATCTGTCGACAGGTATTCAACGGACATTCCGAATGTTGAATATCAATCGATTGCAACTGGGATTGGAAAACTATGGGATGGTATTTAGTATTTGTAAGTTAATATATTTTTAAGGGAATTTATCCGTCATGTATTGAGCCTTCTGTGATAATATGTATAACTGGTAGCATCGGCTCATACAGTTTCCATGATCAAATGTTCAATGTAGGTTTGACATGTTTCTTTACATATAATATACAGGATGCATCTATGACTTCCATAGAATCCAATGTTCTCGGGACTGTTCTGACAAAAGATTCTTTTCGTTGGGATTACCGTATGTACTCCTTAGTACTGCGTTTCCCTGCTTTTGTCAATAACATACATGGTGGTAACTCCATAAGATCAGAAATAAACTCACCGCTTAAAAGGCTTGCGGAAAAAACTGGAGGAGAGAATTTCGATATATACGACGGTCGAGAACTCCATCAATGCCTCGATTCCCTTGTCACAAAATGCCAATCTGGTGTGGTTTTAAAATTACGAAGATCTACTGAGTGCGTTGATGACGATAATCAAGAGAAGTTTGTAAAGCAATTAGTGTTAGTCAAGTTAATGGGAAGAGCATCTTCTTGGCCTATCCCAGAACAATTTTGGCCGAATGATGAAATGCTAGCATCACAACTGGTATGTCAAGACTATTTTTATATTTCCATTGAAGCCACCTAGAAGTGCACATCCTGAAGTCCTAGTATCTAAAGTTCCTGTGGCTGAACCTGACTTACCTGAATATTTCCCTGTCGACCGTTACGAGTTGACACCATCAAATCTTACTAAAGAGTTTCTAAATTCGTCGGAGCAGAATATGGTATGGCGATGTTTCAGCTATGGTATCAGGAAAAGCCAGAAAGCACCGTTCGGTTATTTAAAAGCATCAAATGATCTCCAGACAGTGCACTTACATATACTTCCTTACAATTATCCTGTATTTTTCCAGCTACTTGGTAAGTTACACCATATTTTATAATATTTTAAGGTGATATATGTGATCATAAGCGTATGACGGAAGCCTGGGGTCATCAGTTTGTGAATTACCTGGGAACTATACCGAAATATTATTTCATGGTACCTTGTTGTGATTTCACTCATTTTTGAAGCCTCTAGCGAAGGCGTTTGAACGAATAGGATTTGCTGGGATGATTAAGCCTGAAGCCATTGATCGTGCACTTCCTTATCAGTTGAAACATTCTTTGCAAAAGCTTCGACATTCAGCTAAAATTGAATACGATAACTTCGTGCGTATGACACAAGGCGACAACCCAGTAAACGTAACTGTTAATGTAAGTAAATACCTTAGTTATTTCCTTTCTTTTAGTTGCCTTCAGCTCTATTGCCTTTGCCTTTGTGGCCGTTACGAGAATTTAAGTCGATGTACATTAAATCTAAGCGTCCTCATTTAAATTCTCTCCTTCGACCTAGCAATATACCTCGATGCAGGTTGCGCGTGGTCTTGGGAAAAATGAGGCATGATCTTGATAACCTCCTAAACGGTACATCTAACATACGAACAGTCGATTCGATTCATCAACAACCAGTTGCCTTAATGGGTGATTACGTCAACTACAGAAATTCTCGGGAGGTCGAAACACCCTTGAGGGAGATAAATCCAACTCCAGAACGATCGGATACATTTGGAAACCCTTTCCGTCGGAAGTCCACGTCCTTTGTTGCAGATGAAGGTTTTGTTGATGAGATGGATTCACTACAGGTTAATTGTAATCCAAATGCAGTTCTGCTTAATTGTGGGCGGAAAAAATCTACACAGGTCACCAAAAATCCCCAAGCAAGAGTCAAAGGTAAGATTAAATTTAGCTAGTCAGCTTTCCCTAGGCCCTCTACCTTCGTACATCAATCACCTGAATTGGCGATTTTTCTCGCCAAAATCTTCTCCGGTGTCATCGCCTAGATCTGATAATATTTCTGATGATGAAACACTGAACGGGATTTCGTTTCCCACATATGTTGACAATTCTCCATCACTTAAACATTCAAGGCTTACTAAACAAACAACTACTAAAAAAATAAATGTTATTGATACTAAGAAAACGTCCTCATTGGAAAGCTTTAAACTAAACAAAGAAATCATGTTCGAATTAATTAATATAATTCGACAACCTTATACTGGTAAGTCTGTATGTACGAGGACTTTAATTTATTTCGTTCCCATGATCTAACTGTTGGTTTTTTTTAACTTTGTAGATTCAGTACTTTTATTCGACCGCATAAATGAACTCACTGGTTCAATAGGACAAAGGGAAGCTGTGGTTTCGATGTTGATGTCAGAAGCGTTGAGGTTCAAGAGATCATGTTTGTATTTTTTACTGAGTGATTGGCGAACATGGTTGTTGCAAAGTGAGAATTCGAAGGATCGTAATATTTTGCGAAAATCAAATCAAGTCACTGCTAAAATAAACCATATTCATCTTAATGGATGGTCCTGATCAAATTAATTTGCTTATAGGATCTACTCAATTTATTCTGTATAAATCTCTTACATAGTTACCACTTTCAGATGTAAATAACTGAGGGTTTCTCATAGTTCCTGTACACGATGTATAATTTTTGCACATATACTCTGAGAAAAGGCCCTATTTTCATAATCTTAGCCTTTTGCTCGCTAGTTTGTACACTATTTAAATACAACAAAATTACTAACAGTTCATAATTTTGAGGTTTAATCTCTTGGTTTCATCACTCATGTTCTGTTCAACATTAGTTTCAGGTTGGTTGGAGAATAAATGGTCCTTACATTTGATGGACAGAGATATGATTGCGAGAAGTCGTCGATATACATATTTTCTCAATGGTTCTCTACAAACCCATTCATTAGGAGTATCGCAGAAGATTTCAAAGGAAGACATTTAATGCACGTTGAGGATTGCATTTCTTCAGTTTATGTCCATCAAGGTGAGATGGCAACTATACCATTAATAGCTTCCAGTGTACCTGCAAACAGCATCATCCCAGAATACATATGTTCTGATGACGCAACTTCCTGTTATATTGTCATATTGCGTAGTCCAGTTGGCTGCTCGATTGGACATTTGGATAATCCATTGCGTGTCAGGTCATTTTTCAGAGATTCTGAACGTTTCCTTTTTTCAAAAGGAAGTGTTAACGTTACAGTTCACATGGTTGGGGGGTTTCCAGATCCACAAAATATATCACATTCTATATTAGTTGAAATACTGTCATTAGTCGTGTGTAATGATCATAACTACGAACTTGGGGTATGTTGTTTTGGGGAAAATAATATCCTTAGTTCTGGTGGCAACACGTCGCAACCTGCTGTTTTGGGTGTTATCTTCGATATCAAAAAAGATCAAGTAAACCCGGCTCGTATAAGTTGGAAGGCTCGCGGACCTGTTCCTGTACTGAGACTTTTACGTCTAAACTGTTTATACCCAGATGGAATAACAAACGTATTCAACCCAGAAAAGTGCATTCTATTCATAGACTCTTTCACGTACGTTCGTCCAGCTTTTATAAATACTCAAATAACATATGAAGAAATGCGAGCCCATTCTACAACGCCTGAGCAAGAGCCTGCAACATACTTTGAAGGCCAGATTGCGGTACATCGCCTAACGCTTCACTGCCCTAACTCACTAAGCTGGTTTAAATCTGGTCCACTAACCTTCCGATGTGTTCTGGATCCAAACAAACCATGGGTTCCCTTAAATAAAGCTTCTGCAATTGCATCAGAAGACCCCTTAACAAACGTTTAAATATAACCCAACTATAATGTACCGGTGACTTCTTGTTTTTCGAATGCTAAAACGATTGCTCTTTCAGGTCACTTATTCAATGCTTGGATTCTTTAAAATAAGTATAAATGCAAGTTTAGGTTTTTATAAGATATATTTGTCTAAACATGAGACCTGGTATAAATGCAAACCACTAGGACGATGGAGTAAAAATGAATGTGAAGAGAATACAGGCAATTTGAATTGTTAACAAGATACATGTAAATACATTTTGAGCAAAGGCTATCAAATTTGCCTATGTACATTTCAAGAAAATGTTCTGTTTAGAAGATAAATAATGTGATTAGAGGTAAAAATATAGATGTGATTAGTTGTTGGTGGGATGCTGAATTGTAGCTATGCGAGATAGTGTCTTCTTTTCCGTATAGAGGGCCTTCAACGCTATATTCCCGTATCAGTAGTATAGGTGGAACCGACTGTCCAGGGCTCAACTTAGCCGGTACCCACACCTCAGGAGGTGGTAGGGGTGGATGCGGAAGAATCTCTGGAACATTCTTAACCCGCGGGGGTGTGGGTGCTTGTGTTGGCTGAGTTGGAGGGGGCAGTAAGGGTGTTTCCTCAGGAACTGGGTTTTGTAGGATTTCAGGATTGCTCCTACCACTACCTTCCAGTGAGTCTTGCCACTGTGACGAGCCTGCTAAAATAAAAAGAAACCTGATTTAGGTTGAGATTGAAGACTGAAGTAACGGGATCAACTGTGGCTTGTGGAGCAATTTTATGAGGGATTATTGTTAGTATTTTTATTGTGTAATTATGAATCATTTCATTATATCTTCCTAACTGTAACCTTTCATTCTAAGTATAAATAATTGTTGTTTTACCTTTCTCACGTTATACTTAACTAACTACGAAACTTTTAATTAGTTCTCCTTCAAGTATGGTGTGGTTCTGTGCATGTTGTGTGTTCAGGAAACTACATTATTGTATGAATAGAGTTACACAAAAAACGGTGGAGAAAAAATTCGTATTCTAACTTTGTCAGAAGGAGCTCAAGAATCAATACAGACTAAGGTTTCGGTCGGTGATTACTGGTCACCAGGCCATTGGTGATCCAAACAAAATCAATAAATAGACGTCTTATAATAACTAACCCGATCGAGCGCAAACAAAGCAGAAAAATTTGTTGTTTTGAAAAATTAACAGATACGAAATTCACCATACAGTACATGTAGCGCAATAAGATTGAGAAACTTACTTTGGCGGTCATTTTTCTCTTCATTCCATTCTATGTTAGGACTCATCCCACTAGCTCGTTCAAGAAATCCTGAAGCTAGCTTATCAGGAGAAACGTTCCACGCTTCTTCATTCCCTCGATTTCCTGGCTTTTGCGTGCTTGGATAAAAAGGCAAATTTCTGTCTGGTTGAGGACCAATAAAATCTCCATTATAACGTGCATCCGCAGCATTGGGGTTTACAGATTCTCTCCCGGACTGTGGCCATAAAGTTTGGGAACCTTGATATTGTGGTGTTAGGGCTGATGGTGCGTTACCACTGCCTTGGTCTCCGGAACCCTGTAAATATAAATCAAACAATGGGACTGATCATGTGATATGGTATCGAATAGATAAGTCATGATGCGACCTCATACAAAACCGAATCACTTGGACTATTCAAATTCACTTTCATAGTCATTGAGAATTAATCTCATATGTAGTATTACTGCAAGATCAGAGAAAGCTAACTTAATTGTAATTGAGCTGGTTCTGCTAAAAATGAGCCTTTGATACTGCTATTTGTGTATAAATTCAAATCATCAAGATGAGACGAATATGTAGTCAGATGAAAGTTAACGAGTTTTGTTATCGATATTTACATAGTTTCACGTTGGATGTTTTTTACATGGCTAGTTTCAGAAATATACATTATCAGCATATAGATAAAATTTGTTTTAATTAAAAAATGTCAAACTTGTTATAACGTGCAGAGTTCGTTGGTAATCATAGGTTGAGAAAAACATCCAGTAAAATAGTACTTGACCATTCCAGTTATATGCAATATAGGACCTGTATATCGACTCAAGATATAACATCATATAAATACCGCGAAACTGGTATGAAATAACTTGATGCTTTCATGTTGTTTTCCTGTTAAATTTCCTCAAATAGTAATAGTCATGACCTTGATCGCCTTCGTTGGTTGTCACGTTAGAATATTGATTTTCTGAATTTTGCAACTGATTAATGTTTTAAAAACAATCTATTTTAGTAAATCATATCTACCTATATGATCTATGAGATTTCGGTAAAGTACATTGACTAAACTCTGACTGAGTCTCATGATTTTTTATAAGGAACTGAAAAAGATAGAGTATATAAATGTTGTCTTCACTATTGAGAAATATTTTTAACTTACTTCATCAAAAGGTCGTTGAGAGAACTTGGAGTTTTGATGCCAAGAATTAACATTTTGAGAATCAGGAATTTGTCTTGAGATTACTTCAGTATTGTCTTCATCGTCAGGTAAAAATCCAAAATTTTTCGGTTGGTTAGTGGAGGGTAAAAGTGGTTCTGTATGTGCATCTGATTTCAATGTTGTATCTATGTAACGTGGTGTTGTAGTTTGCAGATGCTTATCTAACGCTGAGTCTTTATGGACAAGAGGTGTATATCTCGCGACACTTTCTGTGACGATATCCTTTACTTTCAGTGATGTTAAATCATTTGGTTTTTCTAATGTACTTAACGTTGTAACAGAACTCGTAGAATTAGACAGTGATACAGTGGAAGTTGTAAAAGTAGTTGGAGAAATGGTAGTAGTAGTAGTAGTGGTAGTTAGACTACTAGTAGTTGTTGTTGTTGATTCGGTTGTGAGCTCTTGTAAAATTGGTACGTTGAAGTCTGTAGAGCCACTGGATTCCCATTTATTTCTTTGATTATCAACATTACCCCAGTTGTTGTATCTATTAGATTTTTGTGACCATTGCTGTGCAGATTTTTGATTAAAGTATTCATTTGAATGTGTATCTTGATCAATTCCGGATCTTTTAGTATCAGCATTCATAGTAGAACTGTACATATGAGGATTATTGTTATTCTGACGGTCGCCAGGAAACATATTAAATTGACTGGATGACCGCTCATAAGTTTGAGAAAGAGAATTATCTGGATATTGTAAAGGATTGGGTTGATTACCACTTCCACTCTATAAAATGAGGAAAACGGAGTTAAATGATCAGTGGGATAACCAGAGTATTGTTATAAGGTGTGAACATTTATAAAACAAGCTACAAAATATGATGAATACGTCATATTATGTTGTGTTAATATTTTTCTTAAAACAGAAGTCTAATTTGCAGCAATGTTTACTGAGGTTCTTTATTAGTGCATACAGGCGCTCATCCCGCCTGGCTCTGAGTACGATGAGGAGCGGAGTCAGCTTAAGCACAGGCTGATAAAAAGCCTTCGCAATGATCGAGAACAGTGGTCGGTAGCGAAAGCAACGGAGATGTAAAAGGCAACGGCGATAGGCAACAGTAGACAGTTGTTCCACCTTATAAAGGAAAACGGTACTAGAAATCCATCTGTTGGCGAAACTCTCAGAAAAGGATGGTTGTATCATTCATTCTCAATCCAGGAGATTGGGTCGATAGGCAGAACACATTAGGGATCAGTTCAACTGGCCTTCAGCCACACTTCGGTTGCCCACGATCTCCGGTCATCCTGAATGGCAAATCGATGTAAGTCCTCTTGGTCTTTATGAAGTTGAGAAAGCTATAGGAAATCAGAAGCGAGAGACAGCAGCGGGTCCTGATAGATTGACTCTTGAGATATTTAAGGATGTTGGTCCAGACTTAGCAGCTCGATTGACCGAGATCTTAGATAGAATCTGGGAACTGGACGTAGTCCCATCTTACTGGTCCCAATTCATAAGAAAGGACAATTGTCTTCCTGTGACAATTACAGAGAAATAAGTCTAACTAATATAGTTTCTAAATTGTTAGCCTTGATAATCTTTAGACGCCTAACTACAGTTCGTGACGGGCAAAATAGAGAAAAATAGGCTGGTTTCAGACCTGGACGAGGATGAATAGACCACATTTTCACACTACGACAGGTCCTGGAGCACAGACACACATTTAGGCGACCGACAATAGTTGTCTTCTTAGACCTTGAGGCGGCATTCGATTCGATGGATCGTGAGGTTCTATGGCAGTGTGTCATTGAAAGGTGTACCAAAGAAGTACATTAACCTCATACAAGCTCTCTACTCTAACACTACAGGTCGGGCGAGAGCTTACGGCGAACTATCATCGGAATCGCTTACTTCAAGTGGTGTCCGTCAGGGATGTCCACTCTATCCATTCTTGTACAATTCTGTCATAGACATGCTGCTAGATACAACATTATCTTCGTATGAATTTTCAGGACTAGACCTCCTACCAGGAGGTTCGCTTATTGACCTAGAATATGCCGATGACATATTTCTATTTGGTGAAGAAGCTGACAAAATGCAGAGTCTTCTGACTACCCTGAGCAACAATGCAAGCATGTTCGGGATGCGGTTTTCGCCCTCGAAATGCAAAATGTTGCTTCAAGATTGGCCTGAATCGGAACCTGAACTAGTGATAGGAAGTGAAGCAGCTGGGCCTGTTGACCGCTTCACGTATCTGGGGAGTCTCATTAGTGCTGACGGCCTGCTGACTGACGAAATCTCAGAACGGATACACAAAGCTCGACTGGCTTTTGCCAACCTGCGTCGCCTATGACGAAGACGAGATTTCCGTTTGCTGACTTAAGGACGAGTGTAGTAGCAGTAGTTCGCTCCATCCTACTTTATGACTGTGAAACATGGCTAGTCAGAGTAAAAGATATTCATAGGTTACTTGTTTTCGGTCATAGGTGACCCGAAGCATTGCTTGAGTATCGTGGGACAGCCGAGTAGGCAATGCTGTTGTTAGGAAACGGGTGCTAAGTAAGGATGGCAGGTCAATAGACGAAGTAATGAAACTTCATCGGTTAAGCTGGTTAGAACACGTGTTACGTATGCCTAACCACCGACTGCCTCATCGAGCTATATTTCACGGTGTAGTAATAGGTTGGACGAAATCTACGGGCGGCTAGACCAAAACATGGCACTAATCTATGAAGTTATTTACAAGTGGACTGAGCCATATCGGTAGGTGTCGACTACCTGGTTGGGGTCCGCGAGATATTTAGTAATTCGATGGTTAGAGACCCTGAGTGACATGGCTCAAAACTGTTTACAATGGCGCGGGTGCATACATTCTTTGTGTTTTCTAACCTTCTGAATTCCTCGTCACCTCTATCTTTCTCTTCGTAAATTTACCTCACTGAATTATACTTCTAGAATAACATCTTTGAACCCTAATCTCTCCGATTACTTCTAATACTTTTACTACCTCTACTACTATGGGATTCGAATTGACAATTATATCTCTGTGCTAATGTGGTATGGCAACTTGAACTGCTGTACTTACGTGCAAAGTTCTACGTTGCTGTTGTTGATGATGATGACTAACCTAGTCATTAAATAGACAACATTTAAAACTTCAATCAATTAGCCGTAAACCACAACAGTCATTCAGTGTTTTACTTTTGAACTTCATCAGTCACAATTTAGTACTAAAACCGACTGTAGACCGTCCGGGGCTACTGCCGGTCCCAGGCCCTGATAAGGGAGGAGGATAGGGGATGGCGACCCCATCCCGCAAAAAAACTAAGTGGCTAAAAAACGGTAACATAAAAAATTATTCAAACCATTTAAACTCTGCTCTGGGATTTAGGTCTTCATTTAGAAGAGTTATGACGCCTCATGATGAAAGCCGAATTCCTTTGGAAGTCACGAGGCCGATGTCCGTTTTGACAACCACAGCCCTTCAATGGTGTAGACAGCCGGGAAGTAACATCCGCCCTCATATCCATAAAAGTACATGAAACCAAATGTCATAATCAAATTCTTTCTACACCTCTTAATGACTCTCTTACCTCCAACCCTTCTTTCTATCGTTTGTCACCTCGCGCCACTGAAGCAAACGGTTTGAGCTCATGAAACATTATTCCAGATCTCCTGAAACCATGCTCCAAACTACATATTGAAGCTTTCAATGTTCAAACCTCGTGCCAAACAGCGCAACAGGCTTCATTAGCTAGAACTCTGGAATCCCGGCCGATCGATGTATGCTGCGTCTCCGAAACGGGCATACAAGACCTGAGTAAAATCATCAATTTGATCTCACGTAGTGCAGATAGAGACACAACAAGATTTGCGTTTCGTGTTTCTAGAAGCCCTGATGCCACTTCTCGTGGACTCGCCGGCGTAGGCATAGTATTAAGTCCTACGGCAGAACTAGCTCGCTCAGACTGGATCCCAATAGACAGTCTCTTATGCGCTGTCCGACTAAATGGGACATTAAGGACTCTTAAAGATAGGGAAACTCGCTGTGTCATCTGTTTACGATCCCATTGACTGCAGTTCAGACGACATTAAAGATAAGTTTTATAGAAACCTCTCTAAACTTCTTCAAAAAGTTAAGCGCTCTGATATAATAATGATGGCTGGTGACTTTAATGCTAAGTGAAAAGGGAAGACACCTGGGTGGACCTCATGGTGTCACGGCTTATCAAACAGATAATGGCTACCGTCTGCTGCAGCTATGCTCACATAACCGCCTATTTCTAGCCAATAATAACTTTAAGCATGAGGAAAGACACCTTTTGATATGGCGACGCCAGAAAATTGGCCCAACGATAGACGCAACTAGACCACATTACTACCAGCCATCGGTGGAGAGGCTCTGTTGAAGACTGTGGCTTATTCCAGAGCACTTGTTTAGATTCAAACCATGCTCTAGTACGAGCACGTATTTGTTTGCGGCTTACTCGACGTAGGAAAGACATTGCAAGGAAACCGGATAATATATGGGACTAAACGCATGAAATTACCACTAATTAGCTGATCAAAAGTGAGATAGATGTCATCGATGACACGAAATTATAGTTTACTGAAGTTATTAATTTTCAAGAAATCATACATCGGTCCAAATTAAATCACTTTTAAAAACTTGGATGGCTGTTCAATCTTCAGCAGTGGGTATCCACCACCCCATACGCGGGAATCAGAGCCAGAGTCTTTAATCTCTAACCCAAAAGTTTAACCTTCAGACCAGTGAGCCGACATCCAAAGGTGCTAGAAATATAAATCGTCGGCTTCACATCACGACAGGTCTGTAGTTTAGTAGTTTTCATGTTGATGTCAGTCAGTTATAGTGTCGTTTATAAGTATGAATTTCGTGTACATTCACTTTATATACATATTCTCCTCCCTAGTTCCTTTATAAACAATAAATATAACCAAAATGGTTGGATTAATACAAGTAAATAACGTAGTGTTAACTGTGTTGCAACATTAAAATCAGGAATAGTAAACATAATTAATACATTCAAAAGGATCAGTGACGATTAGAAAGTTAAATTTGTGCAATTTCGATTCAGACAAAGCTATGTATCATTGATTGGATAATCGTATCTACGTAATAAACATACTCGAAGATTAAAAAAAAGATGCATTACCAATTCATGAGTAAAAAGTAAAAAATTTTCTACAATTACATAGTTATAAAACTACATATTAATTAATAAGAATACATTTAATAGGAAAGATATTTTCTCAAATTATAATGACGCAAAAGTTTAATCAATTCGATTTAGAACTATTTTCATTGTTTTAATGATAACTGTTTTTGTTAAAATTACTTCGACTTTGAAACTCTACTTATGTCATGTTGTATGCAAAATATAAATATGTTAAGGAGTAGAAGCATTATACCAATTTACAAAGGAATGATGACATAAATTAGGTTCGAAATATATAACATAATTTTAAGAGAAAATTAGAGTACACACAGGTACAAATTGCTTCAGAGTATTTACGAGAACAATCAAATTTTACTTAGAATCATATTCTAACAGTCTAATACATATAATTGTGTGATATATACTATGATAAACTTACTTCCATTCGGATATTTTCTTCAGCTTCATATGAATTATCTGATCTATATTGCTTAGGGCCTTGCCATTGGTCCTGAGCAAGGAAATGATTTGCTGAGAGAGGGTCATTTAAACTGGTTGACAAACGACTGTTTTGATCGTTTCTTGAGTAAGTACCGGAAACAGAATTCGATCGGGGAGGCAGTTTGACAACTAGTGTATCTGGATCTTTAGTATTGGATGAGGCTTCGTGCAATCTTTTCGAAGCTTCAAGAAGTTGGTTTAGAATCTGTGTAATTCCTGCATCAGGTGCCATACTAAATACATCAATAAAGGAAAAGAGCAAATGCAAACATATGATATATTTCGTATATATCATGATATGAGATGATTTGAAGCAGTGGCGAACAGAATCTATAAACTATTAACATTATCCGAAATAATGGGTCACTTGACAACATGGTGGTAATTGGAATTTCAAACAAAGTTTATCCAACTTAACAGTGAAAATTAGACGAATGATTTTACTCCAAAGAACGGTCGAGACTTATTGATAAATTTTTAATTACATATAGAAAAGAAAGTGGTGAATGATGATGCTATAATTTGGAAACAAGCGTTTATTTCATTTGTGTGTACTTTCACTCAGTTATGGAGAGCACAATTATTTCGCAGAACTTTTTTCACTACACCATTTACACATGAATAGCTGACTGATGTTCAGGTTAATTTTATGTGATTTAATTATCAAATGATTATTTATGTGTTGGACAGCTAATTATACCTGTTGGAAAATTAAGTTGGAAGACAGTTAGAGACGGTTGAAACAAAAAGTGGTATCACTCATTGACTGTTGATCTGAGCCATGTTGGTAGATGCAAACTAACTGGCTGGGGTTCACACAGGCATCGTAACTAATGGTTGGGAACTTTGGGTGATAGCTTAGAATCATTCACAATGGTCTAGACGCATTCCCTTTTTATATTTTCTTTCAATCCATTTATGCACACACTTCTACTGTCTGGCAAACAATATTCTCAAGGTTTGGTCTTTCTTTTTATCATTGATACTGCATAATCTCGATCTCCTTTGTGACATTTATTTCATCGTGCTAATCAGTCAATGATAACTTAGGTCAATGTATATCTGTGTATGTTAAATTTATCCGTTGAAATATCTCTCATCAGATGTCAGTTGACTATATGAACAGTAGATATAGTTCATGATTAAACGTAATCGCCACTATACTAGACAAACACTAATAAAAAACACAAAACTTTATAGGTCTACATTTCATGTTGTAGATAATCACTATTTTAAACTTGTTTAACACATCGGTAACTTATTTGAAATATCTTTGATTCAATGAGTATATATTTTCAAGGTAATGCTAATGTTGAAAAGAACAGTTATTTTTTGATTTTAACGATTATAACCAATCTTGAATGAGTAAAATGGTTTTCTATTCATTTAAATTCCAACGGTATATTTGTGCAGTTATAATAAAACACAAATATTTTAATGTAAAATAAACTCTATTGGTATGGATGTATACAATTAAATATCTTTTGTTCAACCTGCTTAACTGAACTATTTCACACTTTTTATCATAAATACTACAGTATGAATTAACCTTTACAATTAAATATTCTCATATTGATAAAATAAGTTGTTATAAAAAGTATGTTTATAAGCTTTTTGGAATTTGTGTCTTAGATGCACAAATTTTTAAGTAAAAATTTATCATTAACTGATAATATAAGATGAAGCTATTTGTAACGCATTAATTCACAACACTGATAAGCAAGTTCAACCATCGAGAAATGTTGAAGTAGTTTTCAGTGAAAATAAGCCAAGAGAATTTTGTTAATGGTAAAACTCATACTCAATACGAAAGACCTGACAGCATGGATTTTGACGAAATAGTTATCAATATATAAATTAGGATACAATGCACAAATATATTCAGCTACTGGAAAATTTAGCATATGCCTTGTAATTCTTCATAGACACAAGTTATCCAGATAGAATAGACTACCTATTTGGCAGTGATGTGTCCTCTGATCTCAAAACAATTTCGTTTGAAACATAATAAAACATTATAAGTTACTCCACATATAATGAGTTAGTAACTGGTTGATCAGATGATACTGATTTGATACTTGTAAAATAATTATGCAATGCCCTTTTCCGTATGCAGTAGGCGATAAGTTTTCACAACTAAACTGTTCAGTTTTGAAATCAACATTAATAAATACCGCAACAAGGGCTAAAAAGAACTGAAGGCTTTCAGTCAACCAATCAGAATTAGGTTAACGCATCGTGCATTCTGAACCAAATTAAAGTGTAGTGATAGATAAACTTGTATGTCATTATTTATGAAGTATGCATATTTAATTCTTAAAGTTCTTTAAATCAGTAACACTACTATCTTATGTGCAATCAAAAACTGTACTTAAAATGTTGTTGAAGCTGTATCACAAAACATATCTGCTCCTTAGGCACATTTCGTGCTAGAATACTTGATGTGATTCAATGAGAAGTTAGGAGTTTTTAGCCAAGATATATAGTATATTTATCTTTCTAACTATTACTCAACCAGAAATTTCTTGGATTTGTAAACAGAAGAGTGACAAAGTATTGCATTATAACTGATGTCATTTTGTGATAAAAACCTTAACCTAACTCGGAACTGCAACTTAATTCTCAATACTTGACCCTAATCATTTTGCATGATAGCTGGTGTCAGTTGATGACGAAAACTTTATGGGGTGATAACCTTAACTCATAACACGTGTCTTACTACTAATATTTAAGCTAAATCTTTTCATTTCACTTCAAGGAATAATTCGACACGTAAGGGTTGATTATTCGTATCAAATCTATTATTCTAGTGTTGATTTATTACTTTTCACTGTTGACTGTTTTACTAGTGAATAGGCAGTATTTCCTGATTGGTTGATAGTTTCTTTAGAGTTGCCAGTGTATTATACTTTTACCATAAAGCTTCATAATTTAAAGAGTATATTATTTAGGTTACTATAGAGAGAACTATTCGTTGATTTTTGCTTTAAGGACTGTAATTTGACTTACGGACATCGATATTGCAATCTTATTTCATCTTTTACAGTTTGAACTACAGCTACGTAACTTTATCTATTACATTACTATCACGCTATTACATTATTTCGATTTACTACTGAACTACAAATTACGTATTACACTTTCGGCTATTGGTTAGCACTATAATCTGTACAGCTAAGTTCCAATCGGCTCATTGTTCGTAAGTTCCTCTCTATGCCCTACCTTGAGTCCAGCAACTAGCCTATACTATACCTATATTTCAATTAGTTTATATAAGGACATACACGACATCATACTACAAATTGAAAAACAACAATTAGAAATAAAAAAGTAAAGAGTGACCGTGAATAGGAATGACTACAAATAATAGATAAACGACAAATTAAGAATAGTGAATCATAGGTAAACCGAAAACTTATGATAAGTGCAATATATTTACATAGTAATTCAGTTATTTAGTAATTATACAACGAAATTATAATTAATAATAATTTGAAAAACCAGCTCCAACGTCTACAATACTTATTCCATTATAACAGAAAGCCAGATAGATTATATCACAAGGTCATCGGTAGGTGAGAAGCACATATAAGGCATTCTATTGGAGTAAATGTATTGAACATATAGACAAGCTGACTGTCCACATATCTCTTCTTTGTGAATCAGTAATATATATATATATATATATATATATATATATATATATATATATATATGATTTGTGTACAGATCATTCAGCTTTTAACAGTAAGGTTCTGTTGTTATTTACTAGTGCAACGATCGGGTCGAATGCAAGCATATGTTAACTGTAGCGGACTAGCGGAGCTAAAAGGAATTAATCATGCTCGTTATGTGTGAGACTGCACATAGACCTAGCAAAATTCACAAGATGAATCTAGAAAAAATCATGTTAATCTACAAATGTAACATATAAAAACAGCAACAAGGAAAAGGTAATAATAATAATCAAATTATTATCATATTAGTTTATACCTATCCATCTGTTTATTGAAAATGGATACTTAGAAGAAAATGAACATCTATTGAAGTTCTTTTAATTACCTATGAATGAATCCACTTAAAAAATACAGACAAAAAAGAAATTAATTAAAATGAAAAGAAATGGTAAGATGTATTTAGTATAACACAGGGTGTGCACAGTGCATATACATATAATGAAAACGTTTGGTAAGTTCTTAATTGAACAATAAAGTATATAAAAATATCATATGCACTATATACTATGTAGTGAACAAAGAAATAGGTATAGAAGAGAACAGTGTATTTGTTTGTTTTTGATATATTCAATGAATTTGATTGATTCCAATGCAGAAAGTATTTTTCATTTTATCATTGATTTGAATGATTACTATTTTCTGTATAATTTTCAATTTACTTTGTACAATAATGATTTTACTACTTAAGTCTCAATTGTTATTTTACAAATCTTAATATTAGTTCAATTAACTTCATTAGCAGTAGTAATATATTTAGTTCGCTGAAATTGTAGTAGATTGAAGTAGTGAAGTGAACGTATACCATTACCATTATTCATTCTAATAAGTGTTTAAATTCTTTCTAAAAGTTTCTTGGTGTTTATATACATATTTAGTAAATAAAGATGGATTGTCGTAACAACTGATCAACTTCGTTACATGTTCATAAAATTTAAGCAAAGATTTTGAACAACCATTGAATTTATACACCGTAATAAATTACAAATGTTTTTTCGTTGTGTTCAACAAAACGAAATTTTAAAAAATAGATTTTAAAATATGATAATTATGTGTTGATTAAGTATTTGTCATGAATTAATGCCAAATAATTTTTCATACTAACAGTATCTAATATTGTCATTTCTGATGTATATTTTGTTGCTTGCATGAACTGTAGAACTTTTCAACGATTGACAATAAATCATCATTTAAGGTTCATTCAATGAATACTATTGATCAGATTCGATATGTATTCTGTCAGCTTACGTTGACAGTATGTACAACTTTGGGCGAAACTCCTGACGATAGCGTTGATTTACGAAAAAACAAAAAGGTTTATTGTAAGCTTCAGAATAGTTCAAGTACACTTAGATGTGATAAAGAATAGATAATAATAGAGTAGACTGCTTCAATAAACTCTTGGAAAGGAAAGTTTCTTATTAATAGTGGAGATGTCACATACGATAGTCGAATCTGAGTAAGGCGTTGGAATATGTTTAAACACCAAGTTATATTTTCTTGTGCAAGCTTTTAAATATTTACCATCTACTTCGAAATGACTGTCTGGCTTTACAGGTGAATGTTAATCATAGGAAGTGTCAATGGAATAATCTAAAAGCTCACAGTCAGTTAGTATGGTAAATTTGAAACTTTGTATCACATGAAAAATAGTTCAACTGCAAATAAATGACTGATAATTTACGGCTAAAATTATTGTGACGCGTTTCAGTAGAACTCAGGAGTTATGAGGAAAAAATGTTAAAGCAGTAATATATATACAATAGTTTTGTAAATAGGTATAGTAAAATAAACAAAAAGACATTAAAGATGTCAAAATTTTCCTTAAATCATAGATGCTGAGAATTGTTATTTAAAGTAATTACAAAAATGACGCGCAAATAATACCGTGATATTGTTTTTAATAATTCATTATTCATATATTTTAAAGCTAATTTTGATTTGTTAAGCTTTACTTGGAAAATCCGTGAAACACTAAAGTCTTTTATAATTACTTTGCTTTAGCTTACAAACAGTCTCTATACACTTTACATCACCACTGTAGTGAGTGGTGTGATGCACACTTATTTCATTAATCATGGTAAAGTTTAATCCAGTAGCATTAAATTTGTCATTTATAAACAACAGCTAATATAAATATATTCAGCAATGAAGGATATGAATAAGACCAGGGATTAATTAAAAATTTTACATAAAAATACAAAATTAGAATGTTTCATAAAGTGATGGTTTATGAAAACGGTATTCCATTAAAATATTGATAAATTCGATATGAACAACTGCAGTAAGTAATAATGTAGGAAGTAGAAAAATAAAAAAGAAAAACTATATATATATATATATATATATATATATATATATATATATATATATATATATATATAATTGTAGAAAATATTATTTTCATGCATGATAATGTATTTATGACTATTAACCTTTTTAATTTTTAATGCTGAGAAAAATTGTATTGTCATTATACTAAATGAGTAACTATCATGACGAATTGTATTTATTTATTGATTAACGTTTGCATTCAACGGCATGGTGTACAAGACTAAGTATGTATGTATGAATGTTGGCTGAGACAACCAAAGATGCATATCAGAATCAAAGTCTAAGATAGAGAATTAATCTTTCTGTAATTTCATAAGTAAATCATGTTAATAAGTACAAATAGGTACATTACTTTAACGTCATATAGATTAATTATACTGTAAAAATATTACAGTATCAACTTCTCAATTAGATGCTGATTGGATGTTTTGTCGAAAGATAAACAGTCAAAATAGCGTACAACCCTAACCTTAGTGACCTTGAATTTACTTTAAAATAACTTGATAGTTATTTGTGTATCTCGCTTCAAGTTGCGTCTTTTTGTGTGAGAGCTGATGATACTATCTGGATTTCTAGATCAAAGGAAGTAAAGCAGGGTAAAAACTCATAACATAGGAGTAAGAAGTCATTTGTTAAAACTATTTAGCTACTGCTCCACTTCCTGATTCATTCAGGACAATTTACACCTATGCATGTCTGAGATACATTGTGTAGTAGGCAGGATAAATCCGACAAAAGTAGATGATATCCAGCTAAATAGCTACAAACAGACAAAATCATTAGACAGTTTGGAAAATAGAATAAAGCAAGAAAATGAATACTTACTCGGGTAGATTAGGCGGATTCCAACAATGAGCACTTTGATTAATATTAGACGAATCCCCATTACTCATAGTGGTGAAATTAGTATGACATAAGCTACCAGCTGGACCACTGAACAGATCACGTAAAGATGAATACTACATAAAAGAAACAGTGAAACATTGACATGTCTATAATTCAATACTGAAATCAGGAGGAATCAAACTAAGGTAGGTTTTATAAGGTTTAATGCTAAAACAATCGGAAGTTAAATATACTACTGATTTCGATTGTTAACGTACATCAAAAACAAGGTACTGTTTCTCTCTCACTTTAACATACACACGAGAATGAACAAAAGTATCAGAAAAGGCTTTTCAAAGCATAAATGTGTATTAGATTAATGAGTTGATTAATGTGTGAGAAAAAAACATTTAAATTAGGTGCGTATGTGTGTGTGGACACACGCAGCACTTAAAAGATGTATGAAAAATGTAGACATAAAAGCAGATGGTAAAAGCACCCAATCAACGATAAAATAACATATAAACAGCAATAACAAACTACACACACATTATTACTTGCGTGTATTGTTGCTGTTGTTTTTATGATTATTAATACTTTCATGATTGACGCTCAGAACTGCATATTATGCATTTAATCAAACTGTAAAAGGATTCGTCGAAGAAAAAATAAAATCAATATTACATCTTTTACATTTTTAACGTTTTCTTATCTTACTTTAATATTTAGCCATCTTCCTTATAAGTGCCCTCAGACATATGAACAAGAGTGAAGATTTTAGAAACATACAGAATGCAATTAGTGAAGAATGCATAGAGAGAAAGGGAGAGAGAGAGAGAGAGCGAGAGCGTGAATACAAGAAAGGATAAATAGCTAATCAATGAAATCTGTACAACGTAGAAAAGAGAAAAAAAACATGAATTGTTTAGAAGTAGAAAGTAGGCACAGACATGAAATAAGATACAACATGAAAAAGAAAATAACAAGAGAGAAATGAAATCCAACTAAACAGCAATCGCACATGTATAAACAAGAAAAAAGGAACACATTCAGACACATGGTTTATTAAATGATGATAAGGACACATGTAATTGGAATCCAAAATGTATTTCCCAAAGATAACCAACTTAAAGATTAGAGTGTAGTGAGATAATAATTATTACAAAGTGATATTAGATTGAAATTTGTTTGTAATTATTCGTAAAAATATCAGATGAGAGAAGAATGTATATTCCATTAATGTAACTTCAATATGTTGCAAATGCCGCAATAGTTTTTAATAAAAATTAGCATTATCTAGAGGGCCCGTGAAAAAAAATCGGTAATTAGGTTATTTAAGAAAGTAAAATGATTAGTTAAATGTTATTATTAGTTAGTTAGTGGAGTAGACAAAAATAAGAATACAATATAATACAATAATAATAATAATAACTTAGATTGGATAATATTATTTGTATACGGATATGATACTTGATAAGTTAGCTAGCTGATAATAACAAAAAACACATACCATACAAAAAACATACATGGGTTTTTGAAAAAAAAAATGAAAATAACAGTTTTGACATTTGGATACGTGCCATGTCTGCCTTACAAAGACATTCATGTGACAATTAGTCAACACTGTTACTTTCTGTTAACATAAACAGATTAAAATGGGAATTTTTTTTTATATCAATATTCAACTTAATTTATTAAATCTATAACAGATACTGGAAACTTGAACGATAGTTAGTTAATTATACAATGAAACAACACATGGTTACATATTTCTATGCAATTAGAGCATAAGTGAAATAGTCTAGCTAATCAATAACAACGCTACTGTTATCAATTAACAATACTGTTTATATACGACCGGAACGATGAATGCAATGCCTGGAAACTTGAACTGATGCACGTATATTGTTCATGACTGATTAAATCTCGATTGAACGTATTTATTGACTAGGGAAATTATATTGAATTTGATAGATATTACACAGTGGAGTCCAGAGTACGAACTTCGTCCTACTTAGGACTCGTCAGATTAGTGTACTTGCTGCAAAGTGTTGATACTTACATTGGAACTAAAACTAAGTACCTTTCAATCAAGATGCCAGTGCATTACCTAATAAGACACTGAGTCCAGAAGGTCAATTTTGTTTTAAACTATATGGTGAAACTGGAATTAGTAGAAAATTTTTTTCAATATACAGAAACCATAATAATGTCAATGAGATGTAAATCTCATATCGTTTTTAGTGCTGGAATCATAATAAAACTTAAATAACTGACTTATGATAAGATGGGAAGAAATACTTATGAATACGGAAAGCAAAAAATCTGGTTTTCGTTACTTTACAAATCATAATTGACTATGACCAACTAGTTGGGGATTGATAGAGAAATCAGGACACTTTCGTAAGCATAAAAAAGTAGTTTAATATTAAATGTTCACGAGCTGTACATTGTTAAAAAAAATTTGTTAAAAGCAAGCAAAAAAGGAACACAATTCTCACACTAATCACACAAAATTGTAATGAAGAGCTGAAAGAAAAATGACAAAAATAACTGAACCAATTAAACTGGTATACATCACAGATACACAACAATTACCACCACTAACATAGAGCAGTGGAATAGAATCATGATAACCTTAAACCAAAACAGAGTTGAACAATGTAATCACACTCGTTATTTGCATGAAAAACACCAAGTTGTACAGCAAAGTACTGAATATAAATGTGAAAATAAACACCAAAGCCAGCTAGATTAGTGATGACGAGATGGGTGAGAATATATGTAACAGCAGATTGTTAGTTAACATTGTTGACAAGGTAGAAAAAAACAGCTTACCTTGCCAAAATCATCATTTTAAAAAACCTTTCAGTAAAGATAAACAAATTGAAAATGACAAGATATATATACATACACATATGTAGATACGTAAATGAAATAAATTGAAAGTAGAAAACTTGACAGGACAATTCAAGTTTAAGACAAATAATAATTATTACTATCGAGAAGGCTAGACGTTTATGTGTAATAACAGGAAACAGAAAAATTCAAAATAATAGTGTCACGGATGAAAATTGATTGTCTAAAAAATAGAGAGAAACAATAAAGGAGGAAAATTACACTTGTAAAAGTTTCAGCACTTGAGACATTTCCTTGAAAACGTTTGGACTAGATTGTCGTGAGAAATGTTGAATTTATTTAAAGTTCAATCGCTGATATTTTGATAAATCTAATTTTTTCCCTCAACGTCATACATTTACTCGGCGCCCAACTACTGTGAAACTTAGTAGTCAAACTTAGACGAAAGTTTTAATAGCAAAACAAAAAATATTTTGTCCAATTGGAGAATAAAACATTTTAGTGTTCAAAACAGTTGATAGTAGGTTCAAGCGTCAACGAGGGTGCAATTTCATCCTGTTGACAAAACGTAACCCCAATGAAAGGAGAGCATTTGAGAACTCAACAAATACAATTATACATTAAATGTAACACTTTAGGTGAAGCTCAATTACGTTTATGTTACATATATAGTAGGTTGTAAACACCCTGAGTATTACATTACTTCAAATTCACCCGAGATTTCAAATATATTGTTTAGTGATGGAAATGGGTAACTATATTTATTGATAAATCATACTTAAATAAGTTCATGTTCTAATCAAGGAAACATCATTAACTGTCTAAATTGGAATGAACCGTAAAATTTGTTACAAAGATAAACTCGCGATAAGTTAGCTTATGTGACCAGTCAGTCAGTTACAACGTAGAACTTCGTACGTACGTACATAAGTTCAAGTTGCCATACCACGTTAGCACAGAGAAAGAATTTTCAATTCAAATACCACAGTGCCAGATGTAGTAGAAGTATCAACGGTAATCAAAAAGACTAGGGTTTAAATATATTATTCAATAAGTATAATCCAGTGAAATAAATTTAAAAAGAGAAAGATAATGGCGACGAGGGATCTAGAGGATTAGAATTTGAGAGAACACAAAGAATGGATGCATCAGCGCCATTACAAACGGTTTTGAGTCAAATCATTCAAGGACTATAACCATTGATTTCTATCATCTCACAGGTCCCAACCAGGCAGGCGACACCTACCAGCATGGCTCAGTTCACTTGTCAGTGACTTCATAGATATGTGCCAGGTTTCGGTTTGGCCGCCTTGGCTTTTTTCGAACCTATTCCTACACCACAAAATATAGCTCGTCGAAGCAGTCGGTTGTTGGACATTCGTAACACATGTCCAAACAAGCTCAACTAATAAAGTCTCACTACTTCATCTATTGATCTGTCATCCTTATCTAGTACCCGTTTTCTAACAGCAGCATTGCTTACTCGATAGTCCCGAGATAATCGGGCAATTCTTCGGAGACACATATGATCGTAAACCAGTAACTTACGAATATCTTCTACTCTTACTGACGATGTTTCACAGCCACAAATTAGGACGGAGAGAAATACTGAGTAGTAGACTCGTCCTTTGGTTAGCAGATGTGATCGATGCTAGAGTCACCACTGAGAGACGATTTCAGAAAACACATATCAATGTAATCAATATAAAAACACTTGTTTTTTTTGCGGTCTATTTGGATAATATTTTGTATTTGGTTTATTTCAGTTATTGACTACATCGAGTCACATCCAGTAATCACTAGTTGGAGAGTACAGTAACGAAAGGACAAAACATAAATGAAATGAATTACACGGTACATTTTATAGATATTCATGTATATTCGAGAACGACTCCCGCTTTTGCTTTTATATCTAAACGAAGTATGTTAGTTACGCGTTATCTATTGTAGTTATTATACAACTTCAGGAAGAACTTTCTCACAGTTGAAATTACAAACTAATCTTAGCCAGACCATCATTAAAAACCTGGAAGCACTGATAGCTCCTATGCTAATCTAGAAAGAATAAACGATGTTTCTGTTTGACAAACTTTATGTTTCATTTAAATGTAGCTTCATCTGATTTCTCTATAAGAGGATAGATAGCTTTATGCACAAACAGAACTCGGTAATTATGAATATATTTTGAGTTAAGTGAAATTAGGATTCAACAGAGTGAATATGAAATGAATTCGTGAAATAAATCTTAAATAAATTACGGAGCGATTTTCCGAGTGATATTGTCGTACATATCTACTAAATTAATATATATTTAATTAATTGGTTCATTTGGTTAGTAGTATGTTGTTGGCAAGATGTTTTCTTATTGAGATATGAAACTAAGGTAATAAACAGGCGAGAAATCTCTTATGTATGAATCACCAAATCAATTTTATTTATTTACTATCAAAAGCGATTGGTTCATTTTAAATCTCACTCGCTATCTTAATCCATAGGAAAGGTCATGAAAATTTAGGAGTAGGTCAAAACGCAGGTCGATCATTTGTCAAGACTTTATTTAAAATAAAACACAAACAGAAAAAATATCGCTACTATTTGAATTTATTTAAATTAACAATAATTAACATAACTAGTAAGTACGTAAGTAATGGGGAAGAAAGATATAGACGAAATTCAGTTATCCAATCAATAAATTAAAAACAGAAAAGTAGACCATTTTACTATTAGAAAATTAAATTCTTTTCATATTCTGACATTTAAAAAGAATTCATTTGATTTTTATATAACATGATGGGATTTACACATTCAGTTATTTATAATTTCAGCAAATACTTTGCGTAGTTGTAAAATTATTCCATCAAACCAACAATATTACATACTAGCCGGTTAATTACGAATTAACATACTGGCCTACCATATTTATTTATGCACAAATACAACAACAATTATTGTTACTACTATTAGAACTGTATGTTAGTTCTCAGCAAAAAAAGCAATTCATTTCGTTATTTATTTCAGTATAAAAACTAAATGGGCATTATTGATGCTAAACGAAATAAACTAGGCAAAGTTCAAAGGAAGCGAAAAAAAAATCAATTTATTCCTCAGATAAATAAAATTTAAAGCAATCACCTAGAGAGTAGACAGATAGCCATTGTAGTTATGCGTAAACAATGCGTTAAATAGCAGAAATTAATGAAAGTGAATAAGTTGAGCGTATAATTTAATTCATACAAAAAAAAATAGTTTGACTGATCTGAATTGCATTGAAACGATCCAATGAGCCAGTAAGAAACCCATTTGAGTTAACGAAATTACCGAAAAGAGTGCCGATATATTCACTAAAAAAATGCATTACATGGAACAAAAATGAAATAGTAGTTTAGTGAATAAAGCATTTAGCTCACGATCAATAAATCACAGATACGAATGCCATTTACTTCATATTAAGCAGCTACGTCGGTGTTATTCGTTCTTGTGTATAAACAGTATGAATTAAAGCTGAGTATTAAATTAGCTCATATTTGGTTAACGACCAGTTAGCTGCTCACGAACAGCGCTGATAATTTTCACTTTGTTAATAATATTAATATCTACTAAAAACGAACGGATATTCTCATACCTATTGATCCATGAAGATTATGGTACTACTCAACCACCCTTCAGTGAACAATCAGGACATGACTCAGCGAAAATTCACACGATAATTGACTGCCTTACAAGCAGGAATTCATAATCTATGTATAATTAGGTCAGTTGTGATACAAAACTGAGTAACAAGTAACTCATATCTAATCACTGGAAATGGATAATATTGAAGAGGATTTAAAAAAAAATAAGATGAAGCAGTTAGTTATTTAACGCCCCTATGATTTTGAACAAATTTCCCTGAGAGATAACAGTTTTTTTTTGAAATAATAACTATCTTTAAATTATTTCACAATTCTCATCTCATGAAATTTGTTGCGGAGACATCAGAATAAAATCTTAATACTATGACTTTAAATCCGTTTTATGAAATATTATAAACGAGATGAAGACTATCACACAAAAATCCAATAACAATGTTCCAGGGTACGAAATTATTTTGATACTTTTTATCATGTCTATAGAAACAGTAACAATGACAATGAATCGAACAAAACTCTTACGAAGTCATTATTAGTGATTGTACCAATTTACAAACGTAATATGTAACAAAAACAGATGCATATATTAGAATTTTATATAGTAAACATCCTTTGATTTCCATAAAATTTGAGCGAAGAGATCGTTATGTTTTTTTTCATGTTTTATCAATCAGACTGTTTATTTACAACAACCCTAATAATAACAAGCACTTTGAATTAGTTAGCCTCCCTCCTTCAGTGTTTTAAATATAAACTAACTAATAGTAATTACTAAATATCAGAACAAAAATTTTAGAATATATTTTTCGAACAAAAATCGACAGAAATTTCAACCTTATCATTAAAGATTACATGTAAAGGCAAATGAAATGCATGAATACCTCCTACTAATTGAAAACATTCTAGCGTTTGAAATGCTGTCAGTTGGTGGATCTCGTCAATATTAGCCTATGTAATTCAAATAAAATAAAACTTACAAATTTGTATCATCCTAATTCAGCATTTACTACAGAAGAATCTAAAACACGACTAACGTACCTTAATAGCTTCTATGCATAGATTCATTTATCAATTTGTACACCGAATAGATAATAAAAGACCAATATATATAGCCTATGCTTGAACATCAAACTCAAATGATTTCAGAATGAGTGTAGAAAAAAAGAGATTATCCTTTAATATCTACTAGTGATGGATGTTTGCAGTTAAGATGGATAATTTTTGTGATGTTTTGTTCTATGAGCTTGGTGGTTCAATTGCGCGGTCAAACACAAACAGCAAACACTACAACAAGCTGATATAATAACACTTGTAAAATAACTGAGAAACCTAGTTCTACATGAAACAGGCGCTACAGATTTTTTGGGGCACAGTTTTGGAGGTTTGTGTTTTTACACATTTGAAATCATCAATCAATAATTGTTAGACCACCATTAGAAACCTGGAAGCACTGGACGGCCGTTTCGTCCTGGTATGGGACTCATCAGCAGTGCGCTAGAGATTTTACGAAGAATGGCAGCGAGAGCTCATCAATTAAATCACGCAGCCAAGAGAAGAAAACATTAAATATTTGATGGTTTTAAGTAATCAGAAACTATGAATAATTTACAGAATAATTCGTCATTCGCACAGAACAGACATACTTCATTGAACAAAACGGCGTTAATCAAATCCATTGATTTGCAAGTAGAATAATAGTGTTTACATGCAATTTGAAGGAATATGTTATCTCTTAAATGTTGCATTGAATGAATAATAAAGTTGTAGTTCATTGATTCAAAAAACCACTATGTAAAAAGAATGTTTTATAAGTTGTATTTTCAAGGTTTCAGATCTTTATCAATTACAAGTTTACTTACTCCTCTTTGAGTTACACAGTTCTTGTGAAGACTAATGTTATTAATTGACTATCAAGGTAGATGAAACATAATTTGAACCTGTGTCCTACTGTTTAACAACAGTGTTTTAATAAGTAAACTGACAGATAGGAGAAATAGAGGCGAGTGACATTTGTGATTTTAATACTAAGAAGGAAGACACACGTGATCATTATCTAATGAAAAGTGATGAAACACTAGGAACAAACATTTGAAGTGTATTTTTCATCAAGATAAACTATATACAACATATGAAACGGATAAAACTTCTTGAAACTTCAAAACATTTAGTATAACAGATGGAAAATCTTACAGCTTGTTTGATTTCATTGACTTGACGAACAAGATCATGTGGAGGATTTATAGAATTCTCTCTATCTGAGCCATCCCAATCATTAGATGTTTTACTAGTCCTTTGTTGACTATAATCTACTTTTTTTGGCCGGTTGTTACCATGGCTGACTTGGGATAGTCGTTGTCTTGTTTGCCAGTCAAGGAATTCTTGAGAAACAGGTGACGGCTGTGAATAAGACGACGAACGGGCTATTCGATTTAATCGTCTATTCAAATTAGAACTCATCGGCCATTTAGAGATGTCTGAGTGATTTGCACGATTTTCTTGACTGCCATAAGAAGGTCCAATAGGATTGAATAATGTTGGCATTCGTCTACCAGCAGAACCAAATCGGCATTCAGATTCAAACTGAAAGAAAAAAATTGGTAGCATAAAAAACTAACTTGAATTAATTTCGCTATTAATAGAACAAAGTAGAAAAATCTTCTAGACAGCAGCATCCACAGACACTTGCCTGCCTTATATTGCTATACATAAATTTTGGGCTGGATCACTTTATTTTAAATGAGACGATCAATATTATTGCACCTTCTTGTTCTTCAACATTAATAAGAAACAGAGGCACCTACTTCCTCAACGCCTTCAGTGACATGTGAATTTATGCTGTCAATCAAGTGATATGCTTGCCAATTGGTATGCTTGAAACTATTAGGAGATCACCTTACTCGGTAAACGGAACGAAGATCCACGATACAGTGACACGATATGCTATTCTAATCCGTTTGTCCCAGGCCCACCTAACTAGATCAAGAAGTCTTGATAAGGCGTAGAAAATATTTTCTACAAGCACCCAAAAATACGAGGTGTCTAAGCACAAAAATCAAGCTTATTTATACAATGATAGAAACTCTCTTAGGAGAGCCACAAAACAGCGTACTAGAATAATCCATCAACCAATAACGGTCAAGGATTTCCCGAGGGGGAAACGTAGGCTGAAGGCCAGCTAAGCGTCTCTAGAGCGAAAACATAAAATTCACAATTTCAGAATAAAACTACAAAATTAGGACCTTTCCAAGTGAGTCCTGGGGATCTAACGTCCACAACACACCTCCATTTTGTAATAGCGTACGTTCCTGGGGTCGACTCGCATCTTGACTGTTGTTCACCGCTGTCGGAGAGGCCACGTTCTGGAACGGAGACCAGCTTGTTGTTGAGCATTTTCTCGTGGTGGAGCTTCCGGTAAGTTAAAGGTATCTGGCAGGATATCAAGGGAAGATTTACTTCTCTTGATGGATGATCTAGGACTAACCGTTTGCGTATCTGATTCCGATGGCCAAGCCATCTATCGCCTCCTACCTCTACTTCGTACATGACACGCCCAACTCTTCTGACCACTTGCGTTCCTGTCCATGGACCATGGTTTGGTCTGTAGCCGCGGGCGAACACGAGACATCCCACTTCATACGTGGGTTGCGTTTCAGGATTTGTCTGTACTGGTGTTGGTGCATCATTCGGATGTATCGGGCTGTGTATCGTTTTCAGTCTTCTTCCCATTAGGATTTCCTAGACATTGGTCTGGGATCAGGTCATGGCCACGAAACCGGCGGAACTTTGGAATTTACCTTTGACGCTTGCTGACACCGCATGAATTTTCCATACAACTCAGTGATATGTTGATCCATTAGGTGCCCACATACATAACTCCTGGCTATAGATTTCATTCGTCTAACCCCCGGATGATCAAGGTGAAAGTGTCTCAGTACTTTTGCTCGAAGGGATTCCGGTGTAGTGAAGGAGAACACAGATGGGACAACCGGAATGTATTTAACGAAAATTACAGAGTTACTCAGTAAAATCGGAAAACCATATCGTAAATCGTTAATTTGCAAAATATCAGTTCATCATATCGAACTGGACTGTTCCTGTTGCAAAACATCAATCCATTGTCACTATTCATGCGTTTCATACAAATTTCATTGTGTTCTAACTCTTCCTTTCTTGATCTTCCCCTATCTTCTGCTGCCAGACATTACGGTGACACTCACGTCATATACTACTTATGAGTAGCTCACACCACACTGGCACCACCGCTCTTTTTCCAAACATCCAGCAGTCGTTTACAATGCATAGTGAATCCCGCGGCTGATACAGCTTTTTCATGTCACCACCAAATAGACGGCCAACCGTTGGTGGCATGGCTTATCATCATCTTGATAATGGAGTCGTTCGTAGAAGTTTGTATGTCTGTTGCAGACACCGGTAATGCCCGTATTGCGGTTGTCAGATAACATTCCAGGTGGTCTTCCATTGACAGAGATGTGATTACAATGTTTTCATCAGCTGCCAATTGATCATTAATGAGTCGTGATAAAGCACCTGCCTGACCGAATTGTTGAGCGCGTCGGTATTGGATTTCGAAATCATAACCCAAGAGTTCCAAGGCCCATCGCTGAAGACGATTTGCAGAATGGGCTGGGATGCCAGACTTTGAACCGAATATTGCGAGCAGAGGCTTGTGATCTGTTAGAAGCGTAAACCTCCGACCGAACAACAAACACAAGGGCAAGAGCCTCTTTCTCGATCTGAATGTACTTCTTTTCTGCAGGGGTTAGTGTGTGGGATGCGTGCATAGAGGCTTTTTCTAACGCGTCTGGCAACTGATGTGAAATAACAGCACCTAGTCCATTCTCTGAAGCGTCTGCAGCTTCGATGATTGGCGTGCATGGATCGTAGTGTGTTAACAACAATTCTGAGCTAATTATGAACTTGAGTCCACAAAAAGCCGTGTCTCACACTCTTTAGTCCAGTTCCAAGTGCTGTTCTTCTGCAGCAGACAATTTAATGGAGCGCGAATATAATGGATCGAAGGAACGAATGCTGAATAGTAGTTGACATTTCCCAGAAGGGATCGTAGCGCCAAAACATTAGTGCGAGTGGGCATCAGTTTGATAGCTTGGATGTTCTCAAGATCCGATCTGCGGCCGTCGGCATTAAAGATGAACCCCAAATACTTTACCGACTGTGACAAAAACTGGTATATCTCTAGGTTTAACCGGAACCCGTTGTCACTGATGCGTTGCAGTACCAACGCCGTGCGTCCCTGCAGTTGTTCTGATGTCGTCGCAACAATTAAAATGTCATCGAGATAAGCTGAGACCCCCGAGATACCTGATAGGATGGTATCCATTAGATAGACGGGGCGGTCTTGATTCCAAAAGACAGACCATTATGCTGAAAGAAACCACGATGAGTATTGACTGTAAGTAGCTCTCTTGATGCTTCGTCCACTTTCACCTGCAAATAAGCGTCAGCTAGATCCAGTTTTGCGAAAAACTTTCCCCCATCCAGCATAGTAAACAGATCTGCGGGAACTGGCAGGGGATGATAATGCTGTTCCAGAGCTGCATTGAGACCTGTAGAAAAGTCAGCACATATGCGTATCGTGCCGTTGGTCTTCTTGATGACAACTATAGCTGCTGCCCAAGCACAGTAAGAAACGGGTGTAATAACTCCTTGTTGCTGAAGGCGATTGAATTCCTCATCTACTGTTGGTAATGTCGCATAAGGCACGGATCTCAAGAACCTCCGTTCGTATTTCGCTGGTTTTATTCGAAACATTCTATCAATCATACCTCACTAAAGTCATCAGCACATGTAACCAGTGTTGATGACTTAAGTGTAATAGGTATTACCTTTGATTGTCCAAAACTCAGCATCAAACACGTTAAAGCCTTCAATATTCCATCTTTGTTCTACTGAACAACAGACTTCAACCCGGCAAGATTTCAGGGTTTTATGTCATAGGTTTATTTGGTGTTTCTGAAATTTCAATACAGGACCAAAGTATTAATATTGATCCAACTTTAGCTAACCAGTGTCAGAAATTAACATGGTTTGTCGTTTAAGTATCTGGGGAACCGACAGCAACTTATTGTAATCGTTCAGACGAAGGTATCCTACTAAATTGGAAAGCGGAACAGAGACTTTATATAACGGTTTAACTAGACAGTATTCGACTGGAGAGGACCACAAAAACTCTCTATCCATGCGCCCAATGACTTTAGCTCATACGCAATAAAAGCTAGATATCCCTGAAATCTTTCTGAAAAGTTTCGAAAAGATAAACGCTTAGATCTAATACTGATAGCGTGTGACATTAACACTTCAGTATATTAAACCCACCAAACCTCAGAAAGTAACTTGGGGTGTTCAACTAACTAAAAACAGTCCCAGTATTTTCACAATGCATTAGTTAAGTATGAACAATGTGGAGTTTGGAACAATTTTATGCCACTCTAAATTACCACATTATTTCAGTACAGTGAGATGAAATTATTTTGATGAATAGTGCAGGAGTCGAAATAACAGTAGCGAAATGGAAAATTAAAAAACAAAATACAAATTTGAAAAAATTTACCTTAGATTTTGTTTCACCGTAACGTGTTTGTAAACTAGTTATTGCTTCAGATATTTCCATCTGAAGATTACGATTTACTGCAGGAAAGTTGAATGATCTTTCTAATCGATTAGTTGCCATGATGATTGTGTCTAGATGAGAGTAACAGAGAACAGATGAACTTTTGTAAAAAAGTGAAACATATGTAAGAAAATTATTTTCATAAAAAGAGTGATAATAAAGAGTAAAAGAACGAGCTGTTCGACGAGTAGTGCCATTATCATCTTAAACTCTTCTTTCTATGTTGAGGCAAACACTATCTTATATTAGAAACTTATAAACCGGTGGATCTTGATCATGAACCACACTCCACTTATTTAAATTTTAGTACCTGGGTAGATATTACTAACCACCAAACAAACTGAATACATCACCGTGTAATTTGGTTGGAAGTAGATCTATTCTAAGAACAAACCTACATACTGATTCTAACTGATTTTACATTCATACACATATCTTTATTGGTATTGAACAAATAAAGGCAGTAGGTGATAGAGAAATTTTTATCTACATTACTATACCGTGTGATTAGTAGTTATTGTTGATATGAGACAAATATTCATGTTGTACTTTAGTGGGATTCAATACTGTGATTAGTTGGTGAATGATTATGTCATGTATATTGACAATTTTACTTTTAATAAAAAAGTAAAACAATAACAATTTTAATTTTAAAAAAGCAACACAGAATACTGTGATTGAAAAATTAACGCCATATACCATAGACATTATTTCAAACGTATTCTAAAATTAGATAACCATTGACATTGAAAACGGTATTAAAACGGAAAAAAAATTCATGTTTCATAGATGTAAAGCAATTATGATATGATTGCGGATAAGAGATAGTGTTTATTAACGTTATCAAATAGACAAAAGTTTTATTGTTACTATGTTCTAGACTCAATATACAATCAATCAACTAAACAGTAATAACCAATATAAGATCTGGGTCGAACTAATCAATACATTTTATTTTCACGTTAGTAAAATTGTAGTTTAGTACAATATAAATTATTTTTTCATTGTTCATATTTCAAACGTTTCGGTTTTGCTATCTTTTAAAGTTTAACATTGAAGATATGTCAATTTATAATCAAACAATGAATAGTTTAAATCTGTATTGTTTGTTGTGATTGACACATTAGGAGAATGTTACAACTAAAATGTTAGAACATTCAGAGATTCTTAATTCGAAAAAGAATAAAAAAACAAGGGTTGTCAAACAACAATGATTTGCAGTGATTCGCTATAAGCCACAAGAGAAAAACCACCGACATTAATTAAAACAACATTCAGATCACTTAAGCGAAAGATGAAATGCAAAAACAACATACCAATTAATTGGGGCCAGATATGCATCAATTGTGCTTCATCTGGACCATCACCATGTAAGCAACTGGCTAGTAATTGTGGACAGCTTTCAGGACAGACATTAGTAAGTGACTGACCCTCGCATAAAGCACAAAATCGAAAACGTGTAATGCCTAGAACACATTGAGATTGTGCTACAACCTGATGAAGAAAGAAAATAAACATGCATGAAATCAAAATAATGATATAACGCAATGTGAAAAAAATTATCTTATCAGCAAACAACGATGGGTTTAAGGTCAGCAGCAACCGATCAAGATCGAGGTCAACAGGACAAGCTACGAGTTATATATGAAGAAATTCGAATACTTCACTTTTATAGGAAGTTTGCGCTGATGAAGTTGTTCAGAAGAACAATGAAAGCTCCAAAACCAAAACATCGATCTCAGAGAACGAAACACCACTACCACTCATCTACTTTCAAACGCAATAATTTCATAAAAATTACACCAAATGATACAATTTTAAAAAATTATTGATTTTAGATTGATTTGTGTTAGGGAGATAATAACTTAAAATTGACAGTAATCAAAGCTTTCATATTAGTTTCCTACTGAATAACACTTGCTGTACAAGTTATTTACGTAATAACAGAAATTATAGACAAGGAATTCATGAAACAGTGACTCACTAGCAAAAACGTATACAACTACTTATCATTGAGTAATAAATTCGAATGCAACTTGGCTTCAGATAGGTGAGTTGTATCGAAGCTTGCATACATTAAGTGATGTAATGCTACAATAATAACGTTCATAGTATATTTTGTTCAGCCGAAGATATATTATTGACTATTCAAAGACATAAAAGTAGTTCAGATGTATTTCCTGTTTAGAAATTATTATTATTTTTTGAATCATTCTTTATTATATACTTTCTCAGCATTAACGATGCTACTATTGTTTGGACCTATTTGTACATTAGTTTGATTACAACAATTGATACTGATTATTGTAAAGTAAGAATTTTATTATTGTTTAGGAATAACACTAGTAAACTTTTAATGATAATGATAATAAATCTAAAAACAATCACTTCAGAAATTCATAACATTTTTAATGTGAAGATTATTCTTTACATGAACTTGACACAATTAGTATTGCACCATTCGGCAGTAAATATTGATAGAAGGAACGATAAGTGAAGGAACTATATATACATAATGTAATACAGTATTTGGTGTTTGAAATCGATCAAATAAATTTTCTTCCAAAAATTTCTCTTATTTCATAGATAGTCTCTTAGATAAATTCATGAGCAATTATTGAACAGAAAAGTAAAGATGTTTTTATGTTACATTGAAGATATAATGAAATAAATGAATACCTGATCAACTAGATGATGCAGTAATTTGCTGGTAACGGATAAAACATTGACTAACATACGAGCAGGTGGATAAGCTTCCAACATACGAGCATGAAGTCGGACATCTACATCATCAAACGGATGTAACTGGGCAATTTTATCAGACAAACAACGAATTCGTCTAGATTCACTAGCTTCATCAGTTCCACTAGCCCCAGGAGGATTGCTACCAAACGAGCCAGCATTAGGAGAAACTGAACCAAAAGGTGGATTAGAACTAACTTGCCCAGATTTTTCAATCAAGCTAACTATGCTGTCGCGAAGTTGACTGAAAAAATTTTTGACTAGCACACCAAGTTGACCCCTTTGACCTGCCATATATTGCTCTAAATCAGTGAAAAACCCGAAGAAAAAATTTCTATGCAATTTATAGTTGTATCCATAAATCCGACTGAAAAATTGGTGTAATCGTCCTTTAGCTTGTTGTAAATCAGCTTTAAAAATTGCTGAGTAGAAAGACAAATAAATTAAGACTGTGACAAACTGTATCGTATAGAATTAAAAAAAACCAAGCAGGTAAAATATTTAGAACCATTGCAGGTTATTTTTTCATAACTATGAACAGCTAAGTACGTTATATGAGGCATAAAGTATGGAATATTTACATTCAATAGTATCTGAATCCATCATAACAGGAACCGGTAACTTAATAGAGTGGTCAAAGCGATATTCCTTGGACTATTTGTCCTTAAGTTCTCATGCCAAGCAGACTAGTAACATGACCAAAAGTAAGATATTTTAAGTTCGATAGCGGAGTTGTACTGTCAACTGTACTAGAGTGTGATCAAAGTAGGGTCTTTCTCAAGGAGTCAGTATTCCCACTGACTACTTTCACGCATACAAACGTAGGGGTTAGAAGTTGGTGACAAGAATAACACAAATAACACTCACGAATTGTTAGAGGTAAGGTCTGAAGAATATATAGACAAGATAGCCTAAACTATCTACAAAAGGATATGTGAACAACCTCGAAGCTGAGGCATCTTGACCGTCACTAATAGCAGATGTTCTTCCAAGTCCTACAGGGACTACAACTTTAACGAAGTGTGCAATCGAAAAGTGTCAAACTTGAGCTAATCATGTTAATGATAAAACCTCTTTCCTGTATTTTTATAATTTTGGTCTCATTATTTACCCTTTTCCTTCAGCTTCATCTTGATTTTATTTACAACCACTGCTAACGATTCGGGTTTACAAAACCTTAGGCAGTAACTTTTGATGTTTCACCCCAAAGTAGAGATAACAGTGGTTGTCTGATGCATTTATGTTCAGATACCTGTTTACTTTTAACAAATACTGACTTTAAACATGAAGAGAAATATTTCCTAACCTGGCGAATCAAATATATTTACAGAAAAGAATAGATGAACTATATTAATACTGGACCTAGTTTGAAAGGCTTCATAAAGAGCTGTTAATCCTTCTGCAGCATATATCTTGGCACCGACCACAATCTAGAATAAACACATTTGTTCTAGCCTTACTGGCAGCAAAATCCTTTAGCTCCTTTAAAAGAAGAAAACGACAAAGGTCTTTCTTAAGGAAAGACTAACACGGCACTTGGTCTACTAAGGTGATGTTCATCCCGAGATAGTCTGATGTAAAAATAAGAGTAACGCATGTAGGCAGACAAAATTGAAATGTTAGGAAAGATTGATATATTTCAGGTATCATGTAATTTATTCCAGAAGACTGTAAAATGATGAGTAGAGAAGAAATCTTAATTATGGATTAACAGAGTGCTGGTGAGAAATCGGTAGTAGGGATATAGTGAGAAAACAAAGCAGATTGGAAAGGTAGTATTGACAGGTGCCAATAGATAACTATTTGAACTCATTAAAGAGTTGGAAGTTAAATTATTTATTACAGAGACTATCTCTGGAGAAAACGAAGTCATGGCCCACTATGAGACTAGATGGCAAAGACGATAAGTAAATCACTTGAAGGGAACAGTTCAACAGATATCGGTTTCCTCACTTTTATTAACAACGGTAAGATATGTATGATTCAAAGTGAGAGGATCACTTTATTTAACCATCATTACTATCTATTCAGTGTTTTAACACTCTATTGACCATAATGGTCGAAAACTTACATTCAAGCACGACACTATCATTGCTCATTTTCCTGGCAACTTGTAACCATGAGTTGCATTGTTTTATTAGCTGACTCTGACCCACTGAGTACATTTCACGTTCCATATTTACATCACAACAAGAAGTACCGGTAACAGGACAAATGTTTGATACTGGACCTTAAAAAATTAAGCAACTAAGAATCGCATCGTACCAATAATAGTTGAGCTATGGACTCCTGTGAGCATAGTATACTGTAATTTCATCCATTCTTGTTTGAAGCTGGTGCAATCAAGAGCACCTGTTGATACGCACAATGTCGCTATTAATAAAATGCCCCCGGAAATTCGCATAACTTCAAAGTAAGTCATTAAAAGCACTTTATGAAGAGCGACAGTAGTAAGAGCAGGAATACAAAGAACACTAGTGGTTCATAGTGATAAATGCTAGAACAGAAAGGAAAGTACAGGTAAAAAATTATAGTTTCTGATACAAACTCTTGTATAGACAGTTTATCAAATTAAATTAACTGCATACTCAAATGGAGTTTAACTTTGTTTACTAAAAACGGGTCAGTTAAGTGCTACGATATCTTAAGTGTAAGATTGTTAACGGTGCTTTCAACTTATAAACCATTGTGAGAAACAAATTTAATTAAGCATTACTATTTCAAACTGAATACTACAGTACGTATTCATGTCAAGTGATAGAGTCATCGAAAGTTTATGCCTTGCAAAACTAGGTCTTTTTGTGATACACAGCAATAATTGGTTGATGAGATCACTTCCGTCTAAAACTAATCTGCTACCATTAAAAATGAAAAATTGTTGAAACTGTTGGTGAGTGTAATGTGTGATTTTTATTCTGTCAATGATTATCAGATGTCTAAAAATCAATCACGAATCAATTAAGTCAGTCAGTCAGATGCAACGTAGAACTTCGTACGTAAGTACATCAGTTCATGTTGCCTTACCAGATTAGCACAGAGAGATAACTGTCAATTCAAATCCAACAGTAGTAGAGGTAGTAAAGGTATTAGAAGTAATCGGAGAAGTTTGCTCCGATGGATGAAAGTTTTTTAAGTGACCATTGCAGAGTTGAGTCTTGGATCTGGTAACGATAATGGTTTGTCACTGCACGACGAAAAGGTCTATTTTGAAAAGACTAAATCACGCTCAGTGAACATAAACAATATGTCATTATGTCTACAACGCTTTAAAGTCAAGCCGTTCTCTTATCTCCACGACGAACTGTCCTCACATTTCTTTATCGCCTCGTGTCGCTAAAGCAAACTATCTGAGTACACGAAACGTTAGTCACGGTTTCCAGAAACTACGCTCCACACTACATGTTGGAGTTTTAAATGTTTAGACCTTGAGGGACGGAGGCAGCTTAAACACAGATTGACAAGAAGATTACACCGTGATGGAGAAAAATGGTGGGCAGCGAAAGCAAGAAAGATGGAATAGGCAGCGCGATAGTTAACAATGGACAACTATTCAGACTTATCTAGGAAAACTAGGACTAGGAATCGCACAGTTAGTGGGACTATTTCGGCAAATGAAGGGACTATTACTCACTCTCAATCCAGAAGACTATATCAACGGGCAGAACACTAGTGATCAGCTCGTCAGTGAGAGGCTAAGTGATCCAATTCAAAGAAATGAAGTCATAAATAAAGGACAGTCCTGAAATAAACTCGACAACACGTAGTGCTCAGTTAACTGACAACTAGTTATTCATAGTCATGATGTGACTTATGTGACGAAAACGTACCTATGACTTGACTAGGTTCTTTCGAATTCAACTGATTTAATTTGCGAAAAAATTGAGGTGTTTTTAAGATCTGGCAATTATTTAGGTACCCCCAAAATTCCCTAAGCAGTGCGATAGCACCACTTGTTGCTAACCATCTAAATCTACTTTAATCTAGAGATAGCAACTAAGTAACCATAAAAGTCAAAGAAATAATAAAGCTCACCAAAGCTGCCCAGTCCATATAGACCACTAAACCCGAAAAACCTTGAAGTTTTGTCCACTAGTGAACTATATAAACAAATAAACTCGCACAGATATTCATAACCGAACGAGAACCATACGTTTGCAGAAAAGTGGTCATTTTTATCGATGAAGACAGCTGTTAGTTAAAGATGACTATACTTGGTTGATGTGAGAACAAGCAACAAGATTTCAAGTGTTTTGTTATTCGTATATTACAATCTTCACGCTGTCAGTATTGTGTTCAGTCACCTCATGAGGAGTTTTATAAACTCCTTTACATTTTATTGCTTTCTGAGCATTGTCTACTGATGATGATTTGAATTTACACTCAGCTGCACGAGGTATTTAATAAGAACCTGAAAAGTCAGTGATGATTTTATCAGTACGCTAACGGATATATTATTGATATACGTATGGAAGGAAATTTCAGTTTTACTTTCATCATCGCTAAAGTACCTCATGGATCTATAAAGCCTATCATAGGTGGGTTAGCTGGAGAGCGAACAAACAATAGTACCTGAATAGTTATCATATAAGCGGTTTATGAATGTTTAGTTACTAATTTACGTAGAAAACATATTCTTATTTCGGCATATCTGGTCAAGGAAAAGTTAAAGATGTTCTTATTTGAGGTAAATCTATAGTGACAGAGGCATTACACAGACTGTACACTACCTCATTTTCTACCTTTAACACTGAATGGTAGATGATAAAATTGTAAAGAACAACAGTGGCCAGTGTTAGAAGGTTTCTTGGACATGTACTGGTTGCGCAGAAGTGGTACTTCTGTGTACCTGTTATGTGAAAATGTCACAGATATTAGGGGTTTAATAACGCTTTCGTCCGTAACGCTTTTCTAATCGAATGTCCGAAAGTCATTCAAACCAGAGGTCGGGAATGAAGGGGTTCGGAGATATTATGAGAAGATGGCTTGTATGTTGAGAAGTATGTGATGCGAGCTTACCAGTTGTTAAGACAGATGTGTAGCACGGCTTTCTCAATAACTGTCTAATAAGAATCCTTGAATGAGCTTCATCAGATAGAATATGTCCTGTAAAACTGGGTGATGGTATATCGCATTTTCAAGCTAATCGTCTGTTAGATCAACTAGATCTGTGCGCTTACGGCGGGATGTGGATTATTTGTAGTATCAGTGTAAGCTATCTTGACTGCTGTATGTAGTTCCGCCTTCTTATCCATTTGGTTAAGTTGACAATGCCACAGGTTTCTATTTCCTCAAAATACAGAAGAGAATCCATTGTCTTAAAAGTTGATTTTGCCTGTAAACTGTGGCTACAGCATCCGTAGGATGTGTTCAAAATGAAACTGGGAAATCTCATGCGAAAGTGATAATATATCTGTTTCCTATAAATTAGAAAAATGCAACTATCCAGGTACTTTTGCGTTGTAACATGGACCTGGTAGAGACAGTGTATTCCCACAAAGTGCAAAAATAGAGCTTAGACTAATAGATTTATTATAACTCAAAAGGTTAGAGTCTGATGTATCTGAGTAGCAGTCATGATGGTGGGGCAAAGACCTAAATCCATCCATGTCCGTGAGGCAGAACAACTGGTTTGCTTACGGTTCCATACGATATTGCAGGACGTATATAATCAATGATATTAATGTGATATTTCAATGACACCTGTGTCTATGAATAATGTTTGTGACCATGACATCAATTCGCATACTTGTAAGGCTGCAAGGAACATACTGAAGAACATGGTGAATATAAGGTATTCGCCCGCTGCCTTCTGCCCCTAAAGTGCTTTTCGTGATGCCTATCGACTATCCGTTGGAAGTACGAATAGCTCATATGGTAATCCTTGGCCAAATACAAATTTAAGAACCATAAGCAAATAATCTGTACATCCATCTACTGACCTTCATTTATGAGGGTCAAAATGGTCTATGCCAGTGATTGGCATTTCTTTAAAAAACACATACTACAACTACGACAAAGACTTTCCACATACAGCAAGAGGAAAGGTAAATCGCAGTTTCGTCCGAGGTGATTTCTTCTTCAGAGCATGAAGGTTCAGCTTTATATCAGCCCTAAAAATTAAGCCGTATGATACGTGAGTTAGACTGTATTCGTCTCTGTGATAAACGTCAGATGTATAGATTTCTTTTTTTCTTGATACGCATTATGCAGGTTGTATTTATCATCCCCTGTTCGTATTGCATCAAAGAATTTGTCGTATACTATCAAGTTTTAGACTTGATATAAAATGAAAGCCGGGAAGATAAGTACAGCGTTCCACGTATAGAGACAGGTACTCTGATGAACACCATAACCCGACTCCCGGAATTCGATCAATGTGACTCTGAGTTTTGGTGTGATCAAACATAGCGTTACTCTAGGCAGCATAAGGTTAGATCTACGGGAATAGGATATCGAGATTTATTATCTCACCTCATTTCTGAAGTTATAAAAATCTGAATTTTGATTTTCCATTTACTACGACCGTTCGCAATCTCAAGATGTGAGATAATCAACCAGATAGATAAAGAATACGGGGGTTCTTTCTAAGAAAGTTATAATGTGATTGGTTATCAATGCAGTTCTTTGCTCACATGGAAATCTTATTTGCAATTAACACTTTGCGTATAGCAGTCTTAAAACCAGGGTGGAAAAAGCTCTCCGATGCCACGTTCAACAGTGTTTCGATTCTGAAGAATGAATACCTCTTCGCCCTACAATTGTATTATGTAAGATACAGCACGTAAATAAAGAAGAGTTATTAAAAGACTCATATTTGGCGGGTCTCATTGCCGGTGTCAAATATTTGACAGAAACAAATAAGTCACGGAAACTGGGGCAGTTCAAACTGGTCCTAACACTCGGAACAGTAGTTCGGGTGACAGTGACACATAATTCAGCGATATTTTTCTAATTTTTTAATTTTTTTAACTTTATCCTCCGGCTACTTTAACCACATGGCTTAGTCAGTTATGGGTTACGCTAACTTGCCCATTAAATTACTTTTGTTGCACTTGTGTCTATGCCAATCACTGGCATAGACCATTTTGACCCTCATAAATGAAGGTCAGTAGATGGATGTACAGATTATTTGCTTATGGTTCTTAAATTTACGGCTTGTATTTGGCCCAGGATTACCATATGAGCTATTCGCACTTCCAACGGATAGTTAACAGGTACCACGAACCGTACAAAATATTGCCCCGGTACCTCTTTGCTACGATCAGTGTTACACCTTCATATCAAAACTACGTAGCCAAAAGTGTGATTGAAGGCCGGTCAGCTGAACAAAAATAAATTCGATCACAGTCTAGAATTTGGAATTGTTGGACCATTGAACGGTGTAATTTTATTTCTACAGTGGCCGTCCCAAATGGTTCCAATAGAGGCACTCCTGTACGCTTTTCCCAGTTCCGGGTCCCAACGAATTCAAAAAGGACAAAATTCTAGGAGAAAACGTCTCTGTATTAGTTAAAAAATGGAAATACAAAGCATTACGGATATAGTGCTTCTTCCAGGGTTCAGTTACTCCGCAGAGTATCAAACACAGTAACAAATAAGTGACGCTAAGTCCAGCAGCCACTGCGTCCATCCAAAAATGTGGCGGTAGCCATATTATATCAAATTTAAACAACATATGTACAGTTCAGAAGCAAACACAAAACTTCAATATAAGTACAAAATATAGAAAGAATAACAATATACAATGATAGAATCTCAAATTGGAATAAAATAAAATACCAAAAATGTCAAAAGAAAAAGTCCGTCATATCATAGCAAAAATATGTAAACATGGAGGGATTTTCCAAAAAACAAAACATTCAAAAAGGATTCTACAAACGGCACAGTGGGATGTTTCAGACGTGGTCTAAGAGAATGAAACCAGTGACTGACTTACAGCTTGTAAGGATTTGCGACTTACTGAGTATACCACACGTGATCGTCACTCGTCACCTTACATACAAGATTAGATTGTTATTTTGAGAGCTACAGCTGTCTTTCAGAAATCCACCTTGATTTAAGCGCATAGCTAGGACACCGTTTCTTCAGAAGAAGTTCCTGAAATGACTTCTTCTTCTCTTCAGACAGTTCGAAATTTTATGTATGAGCAGCAGTTCTAAAGGTGAAGGACAAACTTTTCGACGATCCATTAATGATGTGTTCAGAGGTTGAAACCTTGTAGACGCTTCTTTTTGCTAATGTTTTATCTCACCTCCTGTCGAACAATCTTACCTGCATCATCTGGACCTTATTTTCCGTAGGCTCAAAAATCTTGTCATCACTCTACGCTTACAGAAATGTCTAATCTGGGCTAGCTACCTCAGTTATTCGGATAATACTCAAGATATTTTCACACTAAACAGCGGAAGAGGGGCTTTTTTAGACTGCGCAGAAACAACCACACTCAAGCAACCGAAAACATTTGATAGATTGATAAGCTTTACGGATGGTTTTTACCGAACTGCGCACCGATTTCATGGGTTTGCGAAAATCGACATTTCAGAATGAAGGGCTAAGAGAGCATCTTCCGCATACAAGGAGCAAATAACTTGGCCCATCGTTTCGGCACGCCTCAGAATAAAGCACCTTTTAGTTTTGCTTCAGTTACATTCAACTGAACAATCAGTAACTTAATCAATAATCACAAAAATGGGAATAAAACTTTGAATTCTTTTCTTAAAGACTGTTAAACACAGAATCGAGATACAATAGGTGTGGCATGCAACTCATAGCTACGTGTTATGCTGTACACCCCTTCCAATATTTTGTGGAAGATTGAGAATTTACTTTGTTCACACAACATAAACACTGAAACATTTTTTATCTTCATACAAGTACTCTCGTAGGGGTTCATAGCACTGGGCCAAATCTCACGGTTTACCTCAGAAATAAGACATTTTTCTTTGACAGAGATTAGTGGGTTAGACATAATATACCTCAGCTTCCGAAGAGTATTGAATTAGATAGGATGCTACTGGCTTATCAGCAAGCTTTAGCTGAAGAGTACCCCATTTTTTCTAAAGTGTGATAAGTTTATTCGCTTTTTCCTGAAAATTTCTACTAAGCTTGCAGTTTGCTTGTAAAGCATATTTCATTCTGAGTTTGTTTATGTGCTTAGAAACATAGAAACCTATAAGTGTGTACAGCGCTCATTGTGACTGGTTATGGAATATAGTGAAAAAATAAAGGAAGTAAGTTTAATCTTCATTCCAGCCACGATCACTTATCCTTTGATGCAAATGCCGGTCAATGATTTAAGTGGGATTAGTTTTATCTTTATTCGCTCATATTCAGATGTGAAAATGTAAAATTATCTTATGTACTTTGGATATATATTCGATCATCGGGATGCCAAGAAAACCTATAAAGGAGTGTCAGTCACTCCCAATTCTGCATTAAAACTCTGCGAAGTCTTTAAAGGCCATGAGTTGCCTGTTTTAAAACTTTTTTAGCAATAAGCTCATTGAAAACTACGACTAACTGAAATGAATTATTTTTCTCTGTGTCTATAAAATAGTTTTTGTATTGTCTCCCGGTGTTTAAAAAATGGAGAACATTGTGAAGAGTCAGTGAATTCTTCATATATGTATAAAAGAGTTTATCTCAGTTCAACATAACTGAGTTCCATTTTAAAAAGCAGCATACACCTTGGTAATTTAATTTTGTTGTTACTCACTACGTTTAAAGCGATTTGACCCTGGCAGTTTTAGATGTGTTTTATTAGCGACTAACTTATGCCAGCTATTGCCTAATTCAGTACTCTCAAATGAGTAAACTGACTAGATAAATACATCAAATACAATTCAATGTACTTTGACGTAATTTTGTGATCAATGGTAAACTTAGTAGTTGAAAATGCAGTTAATTTATTCTGCAGTATTTATAAGTTTTGTCTTCATTTCTATACTCTCCTTATACTGAATAGTATCACTCTTAGCTCACTAATACAGGAGCAAGTAATCAATTGTGTTAGAAGTTATACCAATTAGCTACACCAAAATTTTGTTCCAGCTGAGTGATAATAAATAAGTGAACTAAAGTTCCACCAAATCAAATCAACAAACTTTCTTTGAAACCATGTAAAAATCATGTTATTAACTAGTACCCAATAAAGAGATTCCTTATCCATACAAATAAGTTTCCTCTAGTCCTGACGTCAATTTACTTCGACAAAAGCCGATCGTGAAGGATTACGGATCTATAGGTCTCACTTTCGTACCTTATGCCTGTTTTGAAGACAATACTTTCAATATTGTTCTTTCAGTCCTTCGACAATCTGCGATAAAATTTGCTAGTTATTTGAGTTGTCATCAAATGCACCGTATCCAAAGAATAAGCTTAAGTGCAGATCGGACGTTTTATTTCAGTCCTTTTAATTGCGTAAAAAACACCCATGCAGCGACGAAGTGAATAGGTCTTTTTTGTCACCAGCTCTACATGCGTGGTTGTATGGGAGCATATGGATAGGGTTTTACCATAACTGTCTTGCGCTAATAACGTAGTACTGCTGCTTCCTAGTGATGCACGAATTGTGCCATTTTTCCTAGCCTTTTTGTTTATGTACAAACACTGTCGTTTTGGGTATTCTATACAATCATGGAGGACCGATTTTCCGATATTGAGATTTTGTCCCAACAATGCCGAATGATCTAAATCTCTCCCACATTCCTTTTCCGCAACGGAAAAGGATACGAACCTACTTGTTAAGCCATGGGAATTTCTAGGATTCCTTGGTGCAGTCTAAGGAATGCGCGACGCAGCAATTATGTATAAACTTCTGAGCGTAAAATTTGAATTATGCTTTTAAATAGTTTGTTTTGACTTGAGTGGAAACATCGTTGTTCATAACGATATGAAAATCCACTATTACATTTGTATGGTCGCTCTTATGTATATGGAATGGAAGTCAGTATGAAATCTGGTGATGAGTTCAAATTGTACCTAATTGGTTTTTTCGCATGTGACACTAGGGCACATGTAATAACCATGTTATCCAGCTTTTGTTCGTCAGTTTTTATTTAAATGTAAGTACTTAAATTTTCTCAGTCTACTCTGGGTTACTAAAGTCTCCAGAGATTAGAGAGCGATAATCTTAAGACCAAGTATTGAGTTCGCCAAGCAAGACCTTATCCCTCTTAAAGTTCGAACTGCGATAAACTAAGCCAATCACAGCTCTTGTCTGTTGCATTTTCAAGTGACAAGTAACTCATTACCAAGTTCCAGTTTTATGAGATATGTTCTCGATAACAATAAACAGGATGGTATTTCTAGTGAATGAAGGTTGATTTCCTCCACTACCTTTCTGGATTTTGTCGGCTCTAGTTGACTCAAAATTTTGAGAATAAAGCTCTTTATCATTGACAATCTGCGCCGAACAAGTTTCTGTAACAACAATTACATCTCGCTTGAAAGATTAGATCTATACACCTAGCTCCAATTAAGCAACCGTTTAAAAACCCCAGGTGTTACATCTGTGCAATGTATGCGGTGCCATGTTTTGCATTCATCACTATACTCTGATTTTCACAGTGTATCAACAGCCCGGGTGATGAAAGTTGTTTTTCTTGCACTATTCAACCGTGAAACGTATATTCTCAAGTGGTTCAGACACATAAAGAGCTGAAGACTAAAAGTGATAATCAAAAAGTGAACCGTAAACTGTTAGATCCAAAAGTGCAACAATCCGGAGAGAAGCGATGTACTCAATAAAAGTACATATACAAACCTAATTTTGAAAAAATGATAATCTTGGTGTTGTTTTAACTGAACTTAATTCAAATAATTTGCAAGAAGTAGCTTTGATACGAAATAAATATTAAAAAGTATAAATTCAACCTAGAGAGGATTAATAAGACTTTTCTTGAATATGATATACTAATTTGAAAGATAGTTTCAATGTTAGCATTTTTCATTCAAAGCTTGTTAGTAAAACTCGCAGATCGATTAAATTCTTCAAAAAATATCCTACTTAATGTAAAATGACTTACTAGATAACTGATTTTGTGGTTTTAGAATCGTTGTTTAATTATTTTGTCCCGTTTTTATTCGCAAGTGGAGTTGCTGTAGGATATTAATTGCTATAGAATATTAATAAATCATCCATAGTTAATTTCTGGGGGTAATTCAGTAATAATTGAGACACTGAATACTGCTGATGTTCAGTCACTTCAGATATTAGATAGGTTAGAAATAATATCCGCGTCAATGAATGAATGGATGAATTTCGTACTTTCATTTCCCAGCTCATGAGTGATTTTTTTACGGATTTCATCAGTTGATATGGCTTGTAATCCTTCATTATGTATAAGATTCATTCACTCACTGTTTATCTTTACTTCTTCAGTTTTAAATTGGTCAAATATATATTAATTCTGCGAATCAATCCTTTTTGAGTTTTGATGTTTATACTCAATCTTTTTTAATAACACTGACGCCTAGTACTTCTACTACTTGAACAGTTGCCTTTACATTTCCCTCTTGTTGTGTCGATATAGTGTGGTAACTTCAACCGATCCATATATGTGCCAGGTTCCACGTTAATTATGACTCAGCTATTAGTCACTAAGCAACATGAAGGCACACAAACACCATCACTTGAAAAAGGTAAAACAGGTTCGTTAAAGGTAAATTAGATAATGATAAGAATTATCAGAATGAGATATCTTTTGAAAAGTTGAACGCTTGTGTATCTGACATAATCTGTGAACCTTTAGAAAAATCTATCGGTTTACCCTATCAAACTTACCGACAGGAAGAATATTTATTATTTATTTTATTTACGCCTGTTGCCCCCAATGGAGCATAGGCAGCGCACCAGTTTTCTCCAACCAACTCTGTCCTGGGCTTCCCGCTCCGGTTCTGTCCAAAGTTTGTTCATTGCTCTCATATCTTTCTCTATTTCTCGGCGTAATGTGTTCCCTGGCCTTCCTCTTTTTCTTTTGCCTTGAGGGTTCCGTGTGAGGGCTTGTCCCGTGACGCAGTTAGGTGGTTTTCGTAGTGTGTGTCCTATCCACTTCCACCGCTTCTTCCTGATTTCCTCCTCAACTGGAATCCGGTTTGTTTTCTCCCAAAGTTCGTTGTTGCTGATGGTGTCTGGCCAACAAATACGAAGTATTTTGCGTAGACAACTGTTAATAAACACTTGTATCTTCTGGATGGTGCCTTTCGTAGTTCTCCAAGTTTCCGCTCCATACTGTAGAACTGTCTTGACATTTGTATTGAAAATCCTGATTTTGGTTTTGGTTGAAAGTTGTTTGGAGTTCTAGATATTTTTCAACTGTAGAAGTGCAGCCCTCGCTTTGCCAATCCGCGCCCTCACATCTGCGTCCGATCCACCTTTCTCGTCGATGATGCTGCCCAGATATGTAAAGGTGTTAACGTCCTCCAAGGTATCTCCATCAAGCGTGATTCGGTTGGTGCATGTTGTGTTGCATCGGAGAATTTTGCTTTTTCCTTAATGTATGTTGAGACCTACTGCTGCAGAGCCTGCTGCTACACTGGTCGTCTTCTCTCGCATTTGTTATTGCTTGTGCGATAGAAGAGCCAGGTCATCTGCGAAGTCCAGATCGTCAGCTGCGTCCTAACTGTCCAGTTGATACCGTGCTTCCCTCCAGATGTTGACGTCTTCATAATCCAGTCGATGACCAGGAGAGAGAGAAAGGGTGAGAGTAAGCAACCTTGCCTGACACCGGTCTTCACCTCGAAAGAGTCTGTCAGCTGACCTCCGTGCACGATTTTGCAGTTGAATCCATCATAAGAGTTCCGTATGATGTTAACTATTTTCTCAGGTACACCGTAGTGTCGAAGAAGCCTCCACAGTGTTGTCCTATCCACGCCATCGAATGCTTTCTCGTAGTCGACGAAGTTGATGTAGAGTGGTGAGTTCCATTCAATTGATTTCTCCACAATGATCAGTAATGTAGAAATTTGGTCAGTACACAATCGATCCTTATGAAATCCGGCCTGTTGATCTCGAAGTTGGACGTCTACGAAGTCCTTCATTCTGTTTAACAATACCCTGTTGAAGACTTTGCCTGGTATTGAAAGAAGAGTGATGCCTCTGTAGTTCTCACACTTGCTCAGATCGCCTTTCTTTGGTATTTTGATCAGGTATCCTTCTTTCCAATCTGATGGTACTTGTTCCTCATCCCAAATCTTCTTGAAGAGGTTGTGAAATATTTTCGCAGTTGCTTCTACATCTGCTTTCATTGCCTCTGCTGGAATGTTGTCTGATCCTGCTGCTTTGCCGTTCTTGATTTTTCTGATGGCCATACTGATCTCAATCGTAGGTGCGCCAATATAATTTGGGAGGTCCTTGGATGCTGCTTCGATGTTGGGTGTGTTCAGTGGAGCTGGTTGATTCAAGAGTTCCTTAAAGTGCTCTACCCACCTGTTTCGCTGTTCTTCAGTGATGCTGATTACTTTGCCTTCCTTGTTTTTCACTGGTCGTTCTGGTTTACGATAGTTTCCAGCGAGGTTCTTTGTTGTTTCATACAATTGTCTCAAGTTTCCTTCTCTTGCAGCCTTTTCCGCCGTCATTGCTAGATCTTGCACATATTTCCGTTTGTCAGCTCTGATGCTCTTCTTCACTTCCCTGTTTGCTTCTGTGTATGCAGCTTGTGCGGTAACTTTCTCCGCTCTTGTTCGGCTGACATTCACTGCTGCCTTCTTGTTCCTCCTTTCTTCAAATTTTTCAAGAGTACCAACAGAGATCCATTCCTTGTGATGCTGCTTCTTGCGACCAAGGACCTCCTGACATGTTGGAGTGATTGCCTCCTTAATCCCCTTCCAATTGTTCTCCGTATTAAACTTCTGTGATGTTGTCTGTCCCGTTGTCCAGTGCTTCTTTAGTTTCAGTTTCATCTTGGCGACCAGCAAATGGTGATCTGAAGCTACGTCAGCTCCTCTCTTGGTTCTCACATCCCCCATGGTCCTTCTGAACATTTTTTGATACAGATATGATCAATCTGGTTTTGAGTAGTGTGGTCCGGTGAAATCCATGTGGCTTTGTGAATGCGTTTGTGCGGGAATATTGTGCCACCGACGACCAGTTTGTTGAAGGCACATAGGTTTGCAAATCTCTCACCGTTTTTGTTCCTTTCTCCCAGTCCATGTTCTGAAGGATGCTTTGATGATCCTGGGTCCATGAGATTCCCATCCTATCAGTGCCTTTTGAGAATGTTTTGACAGCATCAGTGCAACTCCTTGTGTATGTGAAGCATTTTCCTCTTCATGACCAGAGTATAACAGCAGTTCTCCTGAATCTAGTCTCAGTCGTCCTACCTGTGTCCAATGCGCTTCACTGATGCCGAGCACCTCGAGGTTGTATCTTTTCATTTCTGCCGCAACTTGAAATAGTCTTCCAGTCTCCCACAATGTACGAACGTTCCGTGTACCTAAAAAAATGGTTGCTCTGGTTGTCAGAAGAGGCATCGGCCCCGTGACTTCCGAGGGAACTCGGCTTTCATCACGAGACGTCATAATTCTTCTTCCAACTCCCAGGGCAGAGTTAAAATGGTTTGAATTACTTTTTCTGGTTAGCGTTTTTTTGGCAAGTTAGATTTCGACGGAATGGGGTCGCCAACCCCATGTCCAACCCTCCTCCTTTATCCGGGCTTGGGACCGGCAGTAGCCCCGAAGGTTCTACTGGCGGAGTTGACAGGAAGAAGTCATGTATAAAATTTAAAAAGATATTAAATTAAACAATAAGAATGAAGAACAAAAATAAATTCAGAAGAGACAAGTCGGAAGCAATAGAACTCTATGACTACAACTTATCAGTCGGTCAGAACTATTGTCTGATTAAAAACACATTTTAGTAAAAGTGTATTTATTTCTCATAGTGATTGAAATGATAAACTTGGCACTGTTTCTAAACTCATAGCCTAAAATAAATTGGATTATTTGTGTAAAAAAAATACTGAAAGCTAAACAGTATCGTCTTCTGTCCGTTTTGTTTAGAAACAATCAAGTATGTTTCTTTCTAATAGCTCACTTGAACCTGAAATTGCTTATGAATTCCGATATTAGTTAGCACTTCATAAAAGTAAGTATTATTATGTAATGGGAAGTTTTGAACTTTTCAGAATTAGTTTACTTAATGGTCTAATCATATTTACTGTTTTATGATTGACTGACTTTATTGATTAACACTCGTTTTTTTAGTTTATTTTGTTGACGTTTTATTTACGTATAAATGTCATAATATCAAAGCTTAGAGTATCACTACTCTAGTGAATATATTAACCAATGATAGAAAAAAAAATCTGATTTGTTTAAAATCACTGAATTTAATTATATAAAAGTTAATGAATAAAGCACTGTGTGTCTATTTATTTATTTATTAGTTAGAAGGAAAAGTTAAAGTGTATGAAGATGAAATACATAAAAAAGATGAACTGATTCAAAAGTTATCCAGGTAACTATTTGTTTAATAATGTTGATTTCTGTTAATTTTCTAATTTTACTAGTATGGATATTAGTCAAATTAAATCCACTAAAGAGAAATCAATTGATGATAGTACTGTTAATAAAGAACATGAACAATATCAACAGACAAGTATAGGACGTGAAGAACTTGCAACATTACGAAGTAAAGTTGAACAATTATGTGAAAAAGTAAATTATTTTTCATTGACGATAAGGTATACTTTATGTGACTGAATATAAAGTATACAGAACAGATTTCTTTAATCTAATGGTGATATGGATAATAACTACAATTTTAATTGATGATATGATCACCAGAGTATTGATAGCTGGTGCTACAAATTAATATAATATAACGGACCAACAATTAATCATACAGCTAAATCGAAAGGCTTGTTTTAGTCAATGTCAATCCAAGAATAGTAGAATGATTTATGATATCAAACTCGCGGGTTGTGTTTATTCTAACATGTTGAGTAAAACACTGCCCTTATGTAAAAAAGCGAAAATCAATTAAATACACCTACTCCACTGATGGTAATTAAAAGAAGGATAAAAGGAATACCATCAGAAAACTTACTATCATGAACACAGAAATTAGAATGAAGTTTTCAGCTTAAAACGTACATGGCGATACTGTAAAACAGCTATTCTTGTTTCTACTTTTACAGCATGACTATTGGAACTGCATTGTTTACATTTATTCCATAGCTGACAAGTACACTCAATTCACCTATTGATAAACATTTCCAAACTAAGATGAGACGTTTATTCATTATTTTCTTGTTTTCAACTGTTTCCATAATGAATAAAGTAATCTGTATAATCCAGTAAATAAATAAAAAAGGCAGTGAAACATTTTAGGACAAGCCAAGGTAGGATTATTACCAGATCAGTAACGGTTTTTTCAAACAAAGGAAGCATTATTCTCAATTTAAAGTGTTCCTCTACTGCCAATTGTCAAACAGTTAAATTTACTAAAATTGTTTTAATCGTTTTAATTCTCATCATTATAAAAGCATGTGTCGAAAACACAAAACTAGTTATAAATTACACAAGGAAAGCAGTAAGAATTGATAGAAATCAGATAAACAAACTCTACTATAAAATATTTGTAATTCAAAGGAGGATAGAGGATTAATTCATTTATTACTTCCGGGTATAAGTATGATGCTTGTTATCAGTGGTTTCTGACATTCAGCTATAAAAAGCTACGTTTAAAATTAGTTTAAAGTCAACAAAACACTCCATTTTCCAATGTGAAATAAAATAACATCTATTCTGTTTTTAATTTTATAGACATTAAGTCAAGAAAGTGAATTAAAAGCAAAATCAACATTGTTAACCAAAGCGGAATCAGATATTAATAAATTAACACAGAAAATTGATGCATTAACATCTGAAAATGAAAAATTGAAAAAGCAAATCAATGACAATACAACAAGCATTAATACAAGAATTGTTGAAAATGAAGTGTGCAATAAAAAATTGGATGAATTAAATCAATTATTGAAAAGTGAACAGAATCAAACAGAAGAATTGAAAAAGCGTTTACAGTAAGCTGTTGGATAGTTGGTTTAAATGAAAGGAATTAATATTGACTGAAAACACTGTGACAATATTTCTTTAATGATCAATTCGTTATCAGTTCGTGCTATAGCTGATAGTGATGAAGTGCACAATTAATTTGAAGTAACTGATGAAAATATTAAAACAATTACTTTCGGCTTCATGAAACGAAGTGTTGTGATAAGATGACTAAAAACAAACTTTGTCCTATACGACGATCAGACACCAGATATCGTTTTTTTCTACCGAACTATGGTGTTTTTCCGGGTTTCAAAAACATTGTAATAATAAATGTTTTAAAATTGCAAAACAATTTTATTATGGAAAATAAAATTGATTTAAGTATGGTTTGAACCAAGCTGAAATTACAACGGAAACAATGGTTAGCTGCTTCACGTTGTTTAGTTTCATGCTAAAGTAAACTATTACTTAGGTTATGTAGTAGTGTCAGCAATAAATTTCAAGTGAAAATATTTCTACCTGATTAACTATCAACTGAAAATGTTGATACTAAATTTGGTGAATTTTTATGAATATAGGTTAGTGGAGTCATGCTAACTAATAACTCTGTCACATTCTGCACAATGAAATACAACTTAATCAAAATATTCTTGTATGTATATCAACATAATTAGTTCAAACTAATAGAAATGATCAAATCTAATTCATTCTTCTTCTGATTCTTTCAGGGCTTATAAATACATATTTTATTATGTGGTTGTATTTCAAGATATTTATGTTTATCATTTATGAAAGGAAAAGACAAACATCTCATTGCCATCTAATTAAAATACATTTATAAAATCAAATATATCGAATAAAACCCTTATGTAATTTGACTTTTTCAAAAATACGAGAAGAACCATACTATTATTGAATCAACAAAATGAAATATTTCGTCTGATGACAGGAAATACCCAGAAACTCAATACAGGAAGAAATAAGACCGAAAACTATTGAATGACAACCGAAAAAAAACTTGATATGCTTTTATACATACATCCTACACCTTTAAGTAGATTAAAACCTTGAAAATCTACTTTATTTATATTAAATAACCTGTTTAAGTTAATATAAATTTCGGTTTCCTGATTATTCAGTTTCTTTTTTATTTTCACTATAGTTAATTCATCTGTTTTAACTGATAAATATTTTTATTCATTAAATTTCCTCTTCAAAATATTTCGTTTTATTGGTATTAGTAAACAGATAGAAGAGAAGGAAAAATCCGACTATCAGCTTACACAAAATGAAAAACGTTTAGAAAATTTCACTACAAAAATGATTCATATATTTGATACATTTTTACAAAATGAAGAACAATTACCTAATGATTGGAAAGATGAAATGAAATTAGAAAATTTAATAACTAGAGTAAATTTTTCCTTGTTTTTCATTTGTTTTAATTTGTAGTCTGATGGTTATGCGGTTGAAGCTTTTTTGATTTGATTGCCCCCTCTATCTACCACTTATATCATGCCTATTTTGTAAATGAACTTTATTGCAAAATGTTTGATTCGACTAAGTAGATATATTTTAGTTAATAGGACATTCATATGTTTTCATCCAATCGCCTTTTTAAATTGATATAATGTCATTTGAAAGTATTTAGTATTGTAAACAGGTAGTGTTTGGAAAATTATACAGAAGCTTGTTTCAAGAACCTTTGATTCTGTTAACTAAGAGGTTTTATGAAAGTATCTGTCTGTTTTAACAATTCAGAAAAATGAATTAAGGAATGATCTCTGCTCGAATACTGTTACTTTAGTCAGAAATAGTAGCCAACTTCTACCTATTTTGGTTATTTTATATATCGTTCGTCAAAAACTTCCAATCTCTCAACTTTTGTTCAATTTTATAATTCATATGATCCTAGAAGTGACGTTTTCCTCATTAAGACTCTTAAGAACCAATATTCTATCTGGAAATTTCACGATGAACCTGAATTTCATTTAAAATTTGCTAAATTACTACAAATCTTGCTGTTTACCAGAAAACTGATTTGTTGTACAGTATCTCGTTGAGTATAGCTTCATAGATGAACAGTATACTCTTGATAGTTTGTTAAAGTACAAAAGTTGATAGTATTTATTCAGAGTTGTTGTCGTGATATTTTACATCCATGTAGAAACCACAGAGTAATTCTGATCCTAAAAGTAGAGTCAAAGATGTTAAATAAATTAATGAGAATATGAATCTTCATAGACAAAAGTGATTAGGAATGGACGACGAATGTTGCTTATTGTTGCTAAAGCTATTTTTAAATTCCGTTGCCCACTATGTCAAAATGCGTACAAAACATTTTAAACAAGCTTTGTTTGTGAAGTATAGTTTCTTAAACATTCCTTTTTCACATGACGCTCAAATGAAGTGGATCAGTTAAGAATGCTTTCAGAATCATACTACTACTAAGTAGCATAAGTATGTTCTCTACAACTTAATAGCCTGTTTACTAACGCTTCCCTATAGTTCTAACCATTATGTCTTGACATTATTTAGTCACGCAGGTATTGGAATATCGTTATTACGAAGAACTGCTACTATTTGTAATTCATTCGAAAGCAGAATAATTAAATCTTTAAACAGCTGGAATAGAATGTACTGCTCAGATGGGTTTTTTTGTAATGGTTCCGGAATAGTACAACAGGAATAGCACTATTTATAAAATTTAGTTTACTATTCAAACGTCAATATTAATTTACTTTTGTAAAGTAATTTAATTTATTCCCTTTGCAATGTTCTTTTAATTTTAACCTATTTTAATTTTATCAACTAGGCTAAGGATGTCGTTAATGAAAATTTAAGAAACAAAGGACATATTCAAGATTTATTAGATCGATTAAAACAACGTGAAAATGAAAATATTGAACAAAAATATAGCGTCAGTCGTTTAGATGAATTAATAAATAGGAATGATTGCTATGAAAAAGAAAATAGAAACTTAAATCAGGTATCAATTTAAATAAAATGTTGATTGTTATTGCTGATAATTATAATTATAATCCTAATCATAATTATCATTATTCTATCTATGAACGAGTTTAATGAATTCACTTAGCACAATGTAAGCATACTTCGATTCCTGTAAAATTAAAATCAGAAACATTTCAGTTAGAAGGCTGATAGTTCACTGCTTGAGAGATTTCATTTATTATCTGTTGACTAGATGTAGACTAGTAGTTTATATTTCAAATTTGATACTTGAGACATTCACTTGTTTTCCCAGAACATAAACATAATTTTCTATCTTTAACACGGAAGTATTATTTAGTAAGCTACTACATTTTAGAATGGAAATATTAAGAAAAGAGTAAAGTAGGATGACTGGGAAACTTGCAATAATTATACTTTTAGCAAACTAACCTTTTATTGTTTCAATGAACAGTCGTTTTATTGTATTACTTCTATATTTTAAAAAATACTCACGATCACAAAGATGAAGTTCTGATGATCTGAATGGGACATCGGAGAAGTGACAGCTGTGTTTACGCATGGGCTGTTCAAAAGAAACAGAAACGAAATTATCGACGAAACATTAGTTACACCTTGCTGACGAGTGCCGAGTACTACGAGAAATGGATTTAGGGTCTTTCGAAGACTATATCTAAATACCCAAAATCTTGTATGATGCATGTGATCTCGAATCATTTAGATCAGTAATCCATATTGCAACTCTTAATTGGAAGAATGTGATCGTCATTAAAGAACTAGAAAATATGATGATAACCATCACTCACTACTTAGTGACTAATTCAAATATGGATTCAAATAATTTTTGTATATTTTTAACAGGAATTAGAATTTACTCGACGTAATGAAAAAGCTTTAGAAGAACGAATTCATTTTTTAACTAAAGAATTAGTTGATTCTCAATTACATATTAAAGAATTAGATAAACAATTACAAGAAACAATGAATGAAAAACAATATCTGATTGGTCAAAATAAATACGAAGATAATTTATTATTTCGGTTTGTCAATCTTTATATTTTATTCATTGATAATTTGCGCATAACTTATACTGATATTGATCTTTTGCTTAAGATATGATTAGAACCGTTTATTTTGCAGAGAAATATTGATTGTGTTATAGAGAAATTATTAAATAGTATGTATTGTAATTATGCATTTTAGAGTAAGTTATTTGACATTGTCAAACAAACAGTAAGTACAGATCTTGACAGTACTTTTCGTAATCATGGACTCACGTCAAGCTGGAGAATCATCGTGAACCAGAGGGTATGAACATATGATGTCTATTCTATTAAATGGCACAATGTTGGTCGCGAAATCCTAAGTTTGTGAAGGTTCATTTCTGTATGAAATTTTCGATACACTCTACTACAAAAAATACCTTAAATTAATGCAAAAAACTCGGCCACATTGTATTTAGCATCAATGAAGAGTGTAAAATTCTATAGCTTAGCAAGCAGTACACTGAAAATAGATGATTGCTCTTTGGCTGTTTGATGTGCTTGTTCTATTTACGAGTTCACCTTACTCGGTAAACGGAACGAAGATCAATGATTCAGTGAGACCATAGGCTATTTCAATCCGATTGTCCCAGGCCCCACTAACTAGAGGAATAAGTTTTGATATGACGTAGAAAATGTATTCCACAGGCAACCAGAAAGTACGAGGTCCATAAACACACGACCCAAGCTTATTTATACATGATAAAACGCCCCTGGTGAGAGCCACAAAATAGCATACTAAAATAATTCATCAACCAATGACAGTCAGGAATTTCCCGAGTGGGAAATACGAGCTGAAGGTCAACTAAGCGTCTCTGGCCCGAAAACATACAATTCATAACTCCAAAATAAAATTACAACATTAGGATCTTTCCAAGTGAGTTCAAGGGATCTAACGTTACCAATACTATTGGGATCCTTTCCTCTGAAATATCGATATTGTCATCCGTTTCAACGAATAGTTGTTGTATTTAAAATAATATGATGATTCTTGCAAATACAATAGCATATTCTCATTCCCCATTATATTCCATACAATGAAAAGATGATTCTTTGTATATTTTGGTTGTGAGTAGCGACAGAGTGAAGAACACACATCTGGATGCACTTGCATCTGTGTTGATCATCCCTTTGTGACTTGGACCAAGTGTCTTACAATCGAAAGCTACAAATTCTAATTAATAATAAATGTCATTTATAAATGAAAAATAATTCTATGTAAGAAATCTGAATTTATAATTTAATATAATTTTAAATAGATTCACTAACATAGTCTATGTAATCTTCAATTAGAAATTCACTGGCTTCATTGCTTTCATCCAATAATTACCAATGTAATCCAACTGAAATATCAATTAAAGAAACTATTAGAAAATTTTTAAACGAATTACAAGAACAAAAAGATGTAAGTTATTTTATACCAGTGTTTGATGTTATTAAAGGATACAAATAATACTGTTTTCTTAAATAATGGACGTTATTTAGATATACGTTAGTTATATTTTGGATAGGTTTATACGTACGTTTTAAAGTTTATGTAAGCATAGGAAAGGGTTACTGTAATTTTGAATTGTTCTATAAGTTCTGATAATACAGGAAATGAACGATTCAAATGTTAGATTGAATAAAATAATCTCTCAATCTTACAGATTATGAACAGTTATATTTATGCCGGAATCGACTATATTCCTGTCCGTTTAAGATCAATAATTCTGATTGTTTAGTGATAAGAAATTTATTGTAATATAAGCAGATATTTTTCTGAAAATGTCAAACTCTTTTTATAGTTAAATGTCCTATTATTATAAATAAAGAATTGTTGGTTGAAATGTTCAACTAGGAAGTAATGATCGTTTATTCCGTCTGGAATGATTTTATGATACTGTTCAACTACTGTCTTTGCAAAGGAAATTCTATTCACTATCTATTAATGGTAATGGATTCAAGTATAATATATATAAAAACACTTTGTAGTTGTAATTTATAAACTGTACTTCTGTTAGGATATTCATCCAATATCCTAAGAGAATTATTGATCAGTTCCTATTGGTTGATTCCTACTGATCAATTTTATGGTTGTCCTAGATATCAGTCACGTACTCCAATGTTGTTTCTTATTGGTTGTCCGGACTATCAATGTCACAGACTTCGATACTCTTTCCTATTCTACCTAAATGTATAAAGACGCATTATCTGTAAAGCTTTGTATTCCGTTCCTTCCTGCTTTCCTCTCTACTGTACTCGACCCATTAAACTACTTGATCTAACGGCGTTGTGTTCTGATGTGTAGGAGATTTGGGAATAGTATTTGGGTCGTGTTGGAATATTTGAATTCGAACGTCGGTAAGATTTGAATAGCTACATAGCAGCATTATAACAACTTCAAAGAGAGAGATAACAATATCAGATAATTAACTACAATCGACCAATTAATTAAGATTGTGTCATAACTAGAAACATTAACTTCAATTTCTGTTAAAGTGAAGCTTGCAAGAAAGATCCACAGCTAATGAAGGGGCTAGCGCAAAATGTCATTTTCATTTTAGTATGAGAATATTTCTGATAGTGAGGTCCTCTCTAGAAACCGAATGTCATTTGAAGGTAAGTACGTGGTTCAGTTTATAAAGTAGGTGTTGACTGAAAGCTATCAACTCAAAATATGAGTCGTACACGTCCTAGAAAATACTATGGTTCACAATATAATTGACCTGTCTTTGAGATATGTTCTGGATATTAGTCACAAAGGCCTAAGCTTCAACTAGATCAGCTACATCTCAACCAAATCATATTATTCATGAAAGCAAGTATGACATGTAGTTCATCAGATACAGCTTACCAAATTTACATCATACCTGAAGGCTGTGTGATAACCCATGACAAGTTTAGCTACGAGACCAAAATATAGCAGTGAAACAGCTTGCATGCTGAGACAAATCCTAATGTTTATCTGTTTACATTTTAGTTTGTTTTGATAATCAATTGATTAAAGTGAACTATAAACACCATTTTAGAATTGAAATTTTAAACAGTTTGCATTTTTACTCAAATGACTGGGATAATCGTCCGTAGCAGAAGCAGAGTCAAGTTTTTAATTTGTGCTTTCATCCATAGTATACAAGTTTCTCCTGTGTCTGAATACAACCTTCTAGAGTGAGATAAGGGAGATAAACAAATACATATCTGTCTAAATTTCGAATAAAATGTTGGCTTCGATAGCTTTACCATACCGAATGTATAGCATTCGAACTGTTTTTTAATGTTTGGTGTTGATTGGAAATGGAAGGACTCACAGAACTCATTGTTATGGTCATTGTCATTATTTAGCAGTAAAATAACTAGGTATTGTGTTGAATCATCAGCTAACCACTAATTTTTTTTCACTACTAACTGACCGTAACTTATAAGTCTGGCAATTTTGACAGTAATAGCAAAGATATGAAATTGTATTTTGAGCAAAATGAAACTGCTCTTGATGGTACTTTTTCAGTTCAACTGTTTTTATTATTAATTTCTGTCGCCTGTATATAACTACATAAATATTTTAAAAAAGTATTAGTCTTTTCCAGATGGGACTAATGATTAAGTAGTTGGTTGAGTGTATCATTAATAATTTTTTTCTTTTCCAGTTGCTTTCAAGACTTGAAGCTCGTTTGTCAGACACATTAAAACGTTTAGATCATTCAGAAACTTCTAAACACGAAATGGAACGCATGTTAGAGAAGACAGAAAGGGAATGTTTTGATCTGCGTGAACAGATTAGACGTTTAGAAACAGATCTGATAAATTCTGATATGATAAAACAAGAACAACGCTCAGATAAATTAAAGGTAAGTTACTTATAAGTCATATTGATACTCTGTGGAAAGAACACATAAATCTTGACTAGTTTTTGGCTACTAATAAGAAGAAAATTAATAATCACTGAATAATACGAATTGGTGTAATCAAGTGTTTTGCAAGCAAAATAAAGCTATCCAAGCTGAAAATATTTAGAAACTTGTATTGAAAATGACAGTTATTTAACTGATCATGGACTTTGTCGAAGTCTTTATACAATACTTGGAACTTTAGTATTTTCTGTAGAATCCAAAGGTTTAATTATTGATTAGAGTTTGAAAGGAAAGTTTTTAGTTCTCTGTTTCCAACAGATATCACAATATAGTTGGCTGTTTTTTATTCATTTTACTGATATAGAAAGTTCAGTCATCATAGTTAAGTTTCAACTGACGTTTCGCCTAGAAAGCTTCAATAAATGGAGATATTCACAAGCACAATCAACGTCTTAGGGAGTCTTAGGGAATAATCACAATAATGATATGGAACCCACTACCTCTGTACCTCGCAGCATTAGAATGCAGGACCTTCGGTCTTGAGCGCGAACGCCTAACCTCTGGACCACTGGGCCAACATCCAACATCCAACGGTGTAAATGTCTAACTCTGATCAATCTACAGATTTTGCGCGACCTCACCTATCTGTAGATTGGTCTTGGGTTCGATTCCTGCAAGGTGCATGAGTCGTGGATACACACTGCTGATTAGTCCAATACCAACACGAAACGGCCTCCAGTGCTTCCAGGTTCTTAGTGGTGGTCTAACAATGACTAATAATTTCACTGTGCAGCAAACACTAATCTCCATAACTCCAACTGAAGAATAATCATATATCCAGTACAATATGGAATTCTCAGTGCGACCCATTTCAACATGTTTCTTTCACAAAACAATTAGTGATCGGTAGTTGAAAAAAACAGTTCAAAATTCGAGACTTACTCATTTTGAAACTTTGAATAACTAGGACGAATGAATGATTACTGTGTATGTTCAATAAATACCTATGTCAATCGGCTAATTAAGGGTTAGTCTGTTCGTAAAGTAACTGTATATTAATGTTAACCGAAACGTGATATATAGTTTCGGCTAGCACGATTATCGGAATCTAAAGTTAATAACCTAAGGCTCAATCTCAGTCTAAGTCAAAACCGTGTAGATTAATCCTTTTTTAATTCTTTCCTTAAGTCTTGTCTGCCAGTGACATTTATTTTTGTGCGGTAGTATCACCATCACGATTGTGGATTTGGTGGACTCCAATAAGTAGAATTCAGACGTTTTATCAATCATTATAGTGTTTGGTTTGGTCGAACCATACTCTATCATGTAAAGTTATCCAATAACATTAATATACTTCTATGAACTTCTTTGAGTTTCATTTCGTTAATTATCACTTGCTGTGTTGATTTGAAGGCTGGGAACCTGAACCAATGGACATGTATATCATGTCCAGAATTTTTATTTATGGATTAAGGGTTAGAGTAAAAAAAACAGAATCTTCAAGTAGAGTGCGTTGGGAATCAGTAAAATGATTTATTTACAAAAAATTTTAAATTGCTTTCGAAAGAATTACAAAAAGTATCCTATTCTTCCACATTTTCTCACGATTATTATTTTGTATTCTTTATACTACCTAATGAAATATAGTAGTCTATATACTTTCATTCAATTTTAGAGATGATACAGGATGGTATCACAATTGACTACAGCAGATAAATAACTACAATTTTATTCATTGTTTTGATCTTTTCTAGTTTTAATAGCATTTTATAACTGCAATGTGTTTACTAGTTATCGAAACTATTTATTCTGTAAAGTTTATTTACTTTGAAGCATAAAGCTTGATTCATTTTCGTTAGTTCATACCATTCGCTTGTCACAACCGTGTATTATCTGGTAAATTCTGTTACTAGTTACAGTTAAACTACTGTTTGAATATTTGATGTAGCCATTTAACTTTTGACCTTGTCCTGAAGAACATAGAACTGTTGTGGAAACTTCATAATAAAGCTTTGCATACATCTCTTACTTTTTTTATATAGTTTTTGTCTAGAAAACTGCAGTGTCTGTTAGATCTTTAGATTTAACATACCTGTCTATGTTGTATATCGAATAATTAAAATAAGATCTTCGTTCCTTTTAAATCGAATTGTTTTTTACTTTTCGCTTATTAATTGAAGAATAGTATATGATAATTTTATTCAGAGTAAATAAGATCTTTCCTCCACTGTAATAACATGTAGGAGTTGAATATTCTTTGTATCTCATTTTTACGTAACTATGTTTTTATAATTACAAAATTTTTAACGTTCTGATCAATAGTATAATATCTTTATTGTCCTTATATGTTGACAGATTTTCTCGTATCTCTGTAAACTTGCAGCAAAAGTGAGAATAGATGAAAAAGTTGCTTCAGGAATGAGATTCGACGAATTACAAGAAGTTCTTTCGAGTAAGTTAATTGTTGATGAAATTTTATTCAAAACAGATATTATTCAAGATTTTCAAAAGTATTTCAATATATTATACGGTTGATATGAAGGCGAACTATCAGAATTTTGGGAGCGTTTTGAAGAAATTTCATGATAAACGTTTCATTCTAAGCATTACTTATCACTCTAAAAGCTTTTTAGAAAGTACTTAAGTAATTCATTCTCATAAAAGTGAAAATTCAACTGTTGTATGTCTTTGTCATGTATTTCTTCAACAAGATTAAGTGAATGGTACAATCACTGCCATATCTTGATTATATGCAGAGCTTGTATATGGAACATTATGTTGCTTTGAAATAACCCTTATGAGAATCACCCGTAAACAAATATGAATTTATGATTTTCTGCAAGTTGCCTCATGTTGATTATCGTTTATATATGCGTAGAGACCTCTTTAGGTATTCAAAGTGATTTTTTAGAGTTCTTAAACCAAGAACTGTAATTTTTAATCTAGTGAATAATTGTACATCTCAGTTTATACAATATACTTTATTTTTTCACATATTTCACTTAAGTACAGAGTATCAACATCAATTATTATCAAATCGAATGCAATGCAGAAAGCATTCATTTAAAACGATTCAACTTCGTTCAATGTTAAAAATATAAACCTCAATATAAGTACATTAAAAAGATGAATTCTTGTGATATTTACATTAACGAATCATTGTGTGTAAATCACACCAAATACGTGAATGACAACAGATAAATCACAAAATTTCAAAAGTTGTAGTTTTAAGCATCCAAAAGGCACTTAACAGTTTACTATTTGTCGATCCACTTTTATTTATTCGATACCTTTTCTACTAATATCAATTTATGAAGCATTCTATCTTGAGAAGAACCAAGTATTTGAAACACCGCTGTAATTCATTTACGCTTGTTTTTTTTTCCTAACTGATCAACACTCATTTAGTAGTTTGTTAAAGAAATATACGCCAATTCATTTTCATTGGTTTTCAATGTTCTTTTTTCTACACAGCAAGAATTGAACAAATAGTTAGTGGTGAATACTCCATGTTAAGTGATGTTCAAGCGAATGCTGATCGTGTAAACGGTTTAAATCGTAAAGTGAAAAGATTGCAAGATCAACTAGCTAGTCGAGAAATACAATTAAGTTTATGGAAAGAAAAAGCTAGTAAATTAGAGAATCAATTATCTGATATGAGTGAAACGGAAATGAAAGCACATGCAAACAAAATTGCAGCTGAAAAATCCGCTATCAATGCTCGACGATCAGAATTAGAAGCGTCTAGATTAAAAGATGAACTGACTCGTTTGAAAGCGGAACTTTTAGATTTTAGCGATGCTAAAGTAAGTAGCTGATAGGAAATAATATTTGGTTATTGGTTGTGTTGTCTGCTGTCATTAATACATAACGACAGTTTCAATAACAATCTTAGTAAATTTGTATTCATAAAATTTATTGTGTACATTTGTGAATTTTTCACACTACTTACCAGTGTTCATTCATCTAGCTATTAGCTGTCTTCTAAAGGATCATTATGTCACCTGACAGAATTGTGCTTATTTTATTGTTGTTGTTTTTGTGATTGTGTTGATTATTATTTTTAACTTTTTTGACAAGCCACACCAATTGATTGTTGAAAACTGCTTATATCACTTCACCTATTCACTTGTACTTCAATTCTAAATGATAAAGTAAGCAAAAAAGAGTTTCGATCTTTTAGAAAAATAATAATTCATTGTTTTCTGACGCAAATAACATTTCTTTGACATTTTGTTTAATGTCACTAGTAATTAAGGAGTGATGAAATAGGAATTTTAGATGGAATACATAAAACCAACTATAACGCTAGTTACATTAGTCCTAAATTTATGCCATGCCTAATGTAACATGCAAGTTAAATTGAATAATTTTTTTTAAGATGCTAAAAAAGAAATTTCCAGTATTTAGATCTTGTTAATGAAAATCAGTTTTGTTTTATTTAGCATAATAGTGAGTATTACAAATGATTATCTCAACAACTGATTTTAGCTTCACATTGAGTTACTCTGAGTTTAAAAATTCTTGTAAATTTATACAGGCTAAACTAAACATACATGACTTATCAATAACAGCTGAAACTCCCGATGTGTTTATATGCTTGGTTCATTACAGACTGTTTCTATGTATATATCTTAAAAACATTCTGCTTTTTTTTGAGCATTTAAATATCGTTCTCATATGCGTTTTTATGGTATATTTCAACAAGCTATTTCTATTCATCATTCTTATTCATAATTTGAAGTTCATTTAAGCATACATTTTTCGAACTAACCGCGAAATCGCTATCAGGAGTTTCTTCTTTACTTAACTGAGTGGGTTTCATAACATTGAATACTTCCGAATATTCTCAATGTGATATTTAATTAGAAGAAACAACCTATGGTGAATAATGATTTGTATATGATTGACAAAATGAAACTGATTTTACAAAGTAAAAATTTTATTCGCAGTCGTGATAAAGGAGCATTTAAATAGTAATAGTTTATTTATTTCGTAAGTATGTACACAAAATCATGAATACAAATGGTACCTACCATAATTTTATCGATTATCTTTAATAATATTTCTTTATAAGCTGTGGATAGCATGTTGAACAGCGAGTACTTTTGTTAGTTAAGTTGATTTAGAAGATTTCTAAATCTTGCCAGATGATATTTCAGTAGCTCATTTTCCTTTGGATTTCTGAAATACTTATTTAGAAAGAAATAGATGCTTTTCGCATAATGGTATGAAAATGTGTTTATCTATTGTCCTGAAAGATCTTAAGGTTTTAAAAAAAATGTATCATAGGTACAATGAACTTATAAATTAGCAAACTTTGACAACAAGCAGCTTTCTTTTTTAATATTTTATTTTCTATTTCAAAATCACATTTGATTTAGATTGCAGTAGTTAAATATGAAGAACAAATGGGAGAACTAACGAAACAAAACAGAGAGTTGGAAAGTATCCGTCAAAGTCAGGCGACTAAAATTGCTGAATTAACAGAAAAAATGGAATTACAAACAACTACGGACTGTGATAATCGTATTCGATTAGAAGAAGAATGTAAACATTTAATGAATGAATTACAATCAACTAGAAAGTCATTGGAACAATTTCAACGTTCTGAAAGAGAGGTAGAGTGAGATTTTGATTTCTATATATTTTTTTGAATTCAATAAAACTTTTGATTTGCAGCGATGACGTGGCTTCTGTCATGAAGTAAATTTTTATCTGTGACAACAGTTGTAAAGTAGAGAGTGTAAATAATGTAATATTTAGAAATAAAAAGTATATGTTGTTGGGGACGTTAGATCCCCAGAACTCGCTTGATCAGTTGACCTTGAGATTTCATTTCCCATCGGGAAAATCCTTGACTGTGATTGGTTGCAGTGTATTTTGGTGTGGTACTTTTGTGAATGTCCCAAGGACGTTCCTATGATGCATAAATAAACGAGATTTGTGTGCTTCAATGAATCGTGCTTGCTGGGTGTTTGCACGCTACATCAAGACCTTTTAGCCAGTCATCGGATCAGGGTAGCCTACTTGGACGCCGGTCCATTGTCCCGTTCGCATTTATCGACTAAGGTGAACCCGTAATAGTTTCAAGCATACTTAGTGACGAACCTAGATTAAAGCCACAATTTTTATGAGAAAACTAATATCCAGCTATCTGGATCGAAATAAGTGGGTTGAAGTTTTAAATTGTGAGCTGGTAATTTTAAGTAGAATATGCTAACCACTAAATTACTATTCAGAGAGAAAATCTCAAATATTGTTTTGTTTGTAGTAAGTATATTGTCAAAAACACAACTCAAAAGGTAGAAAAAGCCGCAGCTGTTTTATGACGGAGCTAACAATTTTGGCAGAATTGTATTGTGGATTTTTCTTTTATATTCTGAAACAAATCGTCATAAAACAAAAGTAAAATTTAGCTAATTGAGTTGAATTTAGTTGAATTTAATAACACAATGGCTTGATATAATAACTTGACAAATCAACCTTTTGAAAGTTTAATCACCATGGGAATTAGTAATTTGCTATCATTGATTGATCAAAGTCGAATTCTCTAGACACCTTTTTAATAGGTTATTTGAATACTGAAAAGGGATCGCATTCACTCTTAGTAGTTGAGCATTTTTCTTTTGAATGTAATGCTGATTGTTATGTGGCTTGTTTGAATATATCAAGTGATCATTTTATGTATCCTTAAGATATTAGATATTATTTATGATATTATTAATTTGGAACTTTTTAGTGTACATGCAGAGCACTGTTGTTTGTGTCAAATACACTTTACCTATGTATACTTTTCAATAATCAAATCTTACAACTAAAGAGAAAAATTTTTTTACTAATTTATTTTTAACAGCGTGAAAGCAGGACTCTAAGAAAGTACTCTTAAGTACAATTATCTAATAAATGTCCAGCATTGGTTTGGTTCACGGAACCAAACTTTTATTATAGTTGAAAGCGTTTTAACAGAAATACATTTTAAAATAAAATTGTTACTAGCTTGGATTATATGACCTTCGTCAGATTATAACTATCAGACATCTAGTTCCAAAATACTTTAATCAATAGTGATAGGAACACTAAAGTTATCAATTGTTGTAGATTTGTAAACCACATATATTCAAATCAGTAGATATTCATGAGTTTCCTTAAGATTACAGTTTATTCCAATTAACACATTTTATAGATGACAAAACTTGATTTTAAGGCTTCTCGTCGAAATATGAAACATATAGAACACCGAATTTTGAAGTTGGTTTTTCGTCTTTTATAAGTATTCAGTTTTAAAAACGACAAAATATCAAACGGTTATCTCTCTAAAAATGTTTGAAAAGGAATATCAACAGCTGTTATACTGTTAAAATGGAGAGTGAAAAATCCAGCAAAATAAATGTTACACTACTCAGATGATTGTTCTTAAACGAGTTGAGTTCACGGTTTCATGTTGGCCCTAAACACCATAGACTGGTGTATTTATAGATTCACATGTGCACGTGGATTTGTAATGTGTACTTTATTTGTCCAGCTCACACGGCTTGTCCTAGCCCTTGGATAAACTAATTAGCCCATTCTTATCCAGTTATTGTTCAAATGTCTTTTGAATTTGTCAATTATTCACTCGTAATCTTGTCTGTTTCTTCTTGAGTGCCTTTATGTTTACTTCACTTGTCACATGTCTAGCCTATTTTTGATTGGTCACAAATAATTAGTCAACACTCACAATTCAGTTGGTCCGGTCCACTGGCCTTCTTCGCTTTGCATTATATTGTTTGTCAGTATACGAGGGTGTATGAAATAAAGTCGTCTAAATAAAACTACCATCATATATATATATATGATGGAAGAGCAGTCGATCTATGCAGTCGAGATTAGTGGGAGATGTTCATAAATAACTTTTGAATCAATTAGCATCTCTTGTTTAGATGAGAAGAAGAATGAGAAAATCAAGATCCTCAGTAGTAAAATATAAATCATTGAAACAAGTATGTGTTCAAGTAACAATCTATTTGGAATTCATTAAGAAAATACATTGCAATTTTTCATCGACTCCGTCCTCTCACCTTTAAAATTTTACATTTTGTTGTTACTTTCATAGCTTCTAGAATTCAGAGCACTAGTTGGTCGTCTTCTTGGTTTAGATACAGAACTACTAACAGTACCTAATTATGATATTATTAGTCGTTTGGAAACAATAGTTGCGCATCATCAATTTGTCCATGATAATTCAATGTGTTCACATGTGAATGATGCACATTCACCCAATAGAAAATCACATTCGTTTACTAAAGATACAGGATTACAACGAAATCCAACGGCAGACTGTTATACGGCTGGACCACACACAGCAAAAACCAGATCTAAACAAGGTTAGATATTGTTTGTTTTTTCCTCTGTATTCATGTCTAATCATATATTTATGTACGTCCATGATAGTATGTTTCGTTTGCTTACTAAAGAGAATTGTATATATTTCCCAATTCACAATTCATCTTAAAATGAAACTAATTCCAATACCAGGTATATAATATAAAATAAAGCCTGTCAGTTTGTTTCAATGTGCAAGTGAATTTTCGTTAAAAAAGAACAGCTGACCAGAGAACTTGGCTTGTCAGCTTAATCACTTGCTGACAAAACCAGTCATCAAATCTCGATCGGAACAAGTAGCTGAACGACTGAATATTATATATATATATATATATATATATATATATATATATATATATATATATATATATATATAACATTGGGAAAATTACAGCTAACACTGTTATTGTGAAATATCCTAGCAGAAATGTCTCATTTATAGGATAGCGTAATCAGATGTGATTGAAGGAGATAAAAATCATAGCACAAAATATGATCTGTCACTCTACCCCTGGTCATTATTATGCAAGATACATAAGAGTGTGGAAATCACCTCGATAGAGAAGTGAAAAATATAACCTAGGCACGTAACATAACAACAATAATTTACGTATAACAGTTAACTAAGCTTATTCATGAATGTAATATTATTTAGACTAAAATTAAGAAAAGATTTAAAATAGGTTACATTTGCAGATTTGCACCAGCAAAGACGTTTAAAATCAATAGGAAGCCCAGTAGGAAATAATGAATGACTCTGGGTTGATTTGAACTAGTTAGTTTCTGTTGATGTTACACTCAATCATTATTATTGTAAATGATTTCTGTCATTCTATCAACAGTAACTCCAAAATAATGAGATTTTATAACTCTTGTTTTCATCTGTCATAAACTATTACGGGTTTCTAAATATGAATCTTAATTATATTTTTCTAACTAAATGCTTTTTTAGTATTTAAATGTTTAAACATCACAAATTTTCCAATTAGCCCTGAAATATTTGAAGGAATCTTTAAGTTTTAGGCTGTGGCAATCTCAAATATTTCAGATTTCAGTTGGTTTCTAAAGTTCAGTGTAGATTCTATGAATTGAAGATTGAAATACTAAGAACGAAATATGAATGAAAAGGTTTTAAACAAATGTGGATGTAAATCGAGAGACTAGGTATATACAGTGTGAGTAATGGTAAAATTGGATTAAGTCGGTCTAAGTTACTGATTTGCTCTTATGTGAACAGAAGCACTAGAATATAGAAATCTATTTGTTTCGGTATAGATTTTTCATGGCAGCTGTTGATAATGTGATCCTGAAAGATATTAAATTTGTAAATATTGTCTAGTGTACAATTTTGAAGTAATGATCACATGTCTGACTAATAAAAGATCATATACTCGAATACAATTAAAATAGTCTTCTTATTATTCACTCATATGTAATTATTGTTAATGGAATTCTGTTCTTTGTTTTAAACATACTGAACTATACATTGATTTGATTGAATTTTCATGTAAAGCATGTCAAGTTACTTGTTAAGGAAATCTGACGAATGGATACCATAAGAAGCTAAATTTTTGATGAATTTGTTAATCTATTTTTTTAGTGTTTTTCAATGCACTGTTTGATGTGATCATTCTTTTAACTGACAGGGTATTGGGATATCTTTGATTTTTCTATATCTGATATTATTTTGTCATGGACACTAACATACTTTTGTCATAAAAATAACTTTTTATCCCTCTCCTATTTTTATCTGATCGAGTTTATATTTATCCATATATGTATTTATTCAGAATATTTGTTTATCATCATAGATTATTGTTCTTTCATTGAGATAAAAACAGTAACATTATGATCAACTGCATATACGGTACTGAAGTTTATCTATTTCGATCAGTGATTTTCCTTACTGACAGAAAAATACTCAATAAAACCAGAAGCAATCGGTAGTGTACAACGAATACGATGTAGATCTACTTTAAACTTAAACTATATCATTTCAGTCAGTTGATGATATTTGACAACCACTTTCCACTTCATGTGGTAGACAGCTAGCTTCACAAGTTGACATAGCTAAGCTGCAATGGTTACAACTTCTCCATGCTCTACAGATTATCGTATAATAGTAACAGTCACCTGTGTAATCAGAGTTTAACTTCAAGATGCGATTCTTGGGCTCTTATTGAAAAGTATTAATCGGTAGAGTTCAACTATGTCACGCGTGGGACAGTTATCTAAGACAGGATATATTTCTAATTCGTTTATTTCTTTGATATTCAACGTTATATAATTATGCTTTTTGTTAATAAATATTGTTTTCTTTTTCGTCTCATTTAGCCTGGGTAAATACTTGTGAGGATTATTCAAAAACGTGTAATCATCCAGTGAGGGATTCATTAGAAAAGTACAGAGAAAAATGTCATCCATCTGAATGCATAAAACGCGATCCAAGAAAGTATTAATGATAAAACTCATTTACCACGACCTATATAACAAGTTATTTTTTAATCTAAAATATTTCTATACAAAAAGATAAGGAACAACTACACGTTTATCAATGCTCATAGAATGATGTTTTATTTATTGAATGTGATGAATATATTCTATTCTTACTTACTTAACATTATTATCTCAATTAAGCAAACTTTTGATCAGATTATGGAATATCCACACATTTTACATTGGTTTTGTTCTATGTACAATTCTTTGATTTGTCTTTTATTGAGATAGCCTTTCAAGATTACTTTTGCTGATGAATGTATTACTTTTATTCTTGTCAATAGAATTATGGATACTATATTATACTTAAAATGATTTTATAATTCAACCTTCACTACGTGACCAAATCTCAACGAAGGTGTGGGCACGACACAATGCAAATCTCTTCGAATGAACTGAGACCATGTCCTTCATAACTCTTAACCTAACTGACAAAACTACACCCAAGACAAAAAAGAGTTGAAAATTAATTTTCTTCTCCGACCGACAAAAATAAATAGTTAACAAAACAGAGATGTTTTCAAATTTTCTTAGTATAATATTTGGGAGTCAACCATTCAGGGCACTAATTTCATGCCACCTCCTTTCATTGGCTAATTCGAGTATAATCTTCAGGAAACAATGCATTTTTCGACAGATTATTCTCTAATCATAATTTATGCTTAAATTATGCATAGAAAACTTTCAAGCTTTTTGCTATTTATCACTGTTTAACCTGGATTAGCCAAAAAAAATCCAAGAAATGTTAACAGTAAGTCAAAAACAAATAATATCGATGGTAGTCATGTGAAATGTTGCCTTGTCTGAATTATATAAACTGTAGTCCATCAATTTAGAGGGATTACATACCTTGAATTTTGAAAAAAAAAACAAAAGTTGATTGTTTTGCATGCATAGTTCAGTCTGAAAAGCCACAGATCACAAAATCAGCATCCGATTTCTGCCTACCATCATAGTATTTTCGAAATCATTTTTGCGGTTTTTTTTCAATAGCTAAAAGTACAATACGTCATCAACTAGACATTTAAGTTGTGTAAAAATGTGTATTATTTTGCAGACTAGCTTTCGAGTAGATTGGAGTACAATCTTTTCATTCCAACTAGTATAGTTTTTATGAGTTGATGCGATAAGCTAGCTTGTAAATCGAAAATAACAGTTCGTAATTGCACTCATCGTATACGAAAGTTTTCTTCGTTTATGTACTGATTATGCTAGTCAGATTATTATATAACAAGCACTATTCATCATTTAATTTACAAACTGATATTGTTATTTATCTTTTCAATCAGTATGTTAGTAACTTTAAAGCACCGTACTTCTTTGACAAATAAAGTCAAGAAACATTCCTATATATTTTCTATTGATATGTTTGTTCATAAGTGATCGACTACTGATAAACTATGAAGTTTAATACTATGCTGTAAGTCATCGCACTGTTACAGTCAGTGAGTGATAGAAGGTAATATTATAATCTGTAGAATTGAATCAACTTGTTACGGGTTAACCTACGATGGACAATACATATAATTGTTTTTCAAAATCGTTGGTTATTGCCTTATTGGTGAAAGTATGATGAGAACGCTCAGATTTCTGTTTCGATATTTTGCCAATGTTCTCTATGCAGCTGAACTACTTCATATCAGAAAGAACAAATTTTTGGTGCTTTATGTCTCATGCTTTCCTTTTGTTCATTTCATTCATAATTAGAATATTCTTCAAAAAGTGCATTGATAGTGTATAAAATTACTTAAATTTATACTCCACAATAAATAAGCAACAATGAATGATAAAAATTCACTAACACTGAGTTCCTTAAGCTTGTGAGAAGTGTTACATATTGAACACTGTAAAATAAGTGGAATAATACAAAACACAAAGTAGAATTAATAAGATTATATGTTAGTGAACAGTATGGAAATTTTATTATATCTAGTCATATCCACTTGGCATTTCCACTTGTTTAACTTAATTATGTTAGCATGATCGATTTTATCTAGCATATGTTTAGAGAGCAACAATCAATTATAATAGTGATAACAGAGAAGAATTATCGTCATTTTTTGTTCAATTTACCAAAAGGACACGAGTTAACTTGAATAACATGTGTAAAAATTATTTCCATCTCAACATTTCAGTCATTGACGTTAATAATTCATTTTCCCAAAAATCTTATGAAAACCAGCAGACCGTACGTCTCTTAGGTGATCCTAATATTTTAATTGGAAAAACTACTTTGAAAAAGATGGTACTAGTTATTTAATTCTACCGTTTAACGAGCCTTAAAAATCTTTAGAATCTCATGTTAATAAACACTTTTTTTACTCTTAACAATGAGCCTCAATGAGGATAAAAGTAGGATGGATATAGTTAACAGCCGTGGATAATAGTTGTACAACAACATGAAATGACAAAAGTTAGAAATGTGAATTAATGTAGTAGTTGAACTGCATTTGCATTGTCTGAGAGAAACTGTTTGATCCTCAAAAAGGGTTAAACAATCTGAACTGTTAGTAATTTTCGAACTAAAGCAAAACCACTGACTAGTACTCCTTGGTTATCCAGTATGAATTTTCCTAAATTCAGACTGACTGTCTTTTAAAAATATCATATGATGTTCAATTATGTTTAATTGTTCTCTACCTAATAATCTCGATCAAATGCGAGAAGAATAGATGCTGTAACTGAAACCAGGGATAACTAACGTTTAGTAGATATTCACGCTATGTTGATGAAAACCATCAATAGTTGTCTTTCAATCAACTGTGATATCTGTTTCATAATTGTAATAAGCTTTACAAAATTGTATATTACTTTGTTTTCTATAAGAAAAAGAGACAAATCAATTGGAACTGTTTACATTTTATTTTCAATAATTGAAATTCAATGCACTTTCGGTATTCAAAAACAATAAGAATGCAGTAAACGAGATCATACAAGAAAAATGAAGAGTTTATTGAGATGCAAAATGGTTAGCCACATTTATACACAGTGAAATATTAAAAAAAAAACAAAGAGAAAAAGAGTTTATTTGTATTTTTTGTACAAAAACTCTTGTTTTTAGTTAATGATTTTGCACAAGAATATCGCCAATTTGATGTATACAAGCGCTTACATACATTGGATAGTTGATTTAAAAATAAATATTTTACCCTAAGTATGAAATTTTATGCTTATAATAATAATAATAATAATAATGGCTATAATAATAATATTAATAGCAAAAAGACAATAATTAAAAATAAAATTGGTACTTTGCAGTTGATTATTCCGAAATAAATTTTAAAGGCATAAATCATCATTTACAATGTTATATTTTTAAAAAATAAATTCATACACTAAATTGATGTACACAGATGTCACATTTTGTTGCATAGAAAAGCGCAAGATATTAAAATACACATATTCAGATTCATTGACAACATAATACTGTTAGCAAATCTAGGCCAAAAAAAACGCCTGTTCAATAGTTCAATATATTATATTTTCCTAGGAATAAGATTGAACATATCAAAGAAAATAGAAATAGGATTTTTTTGTTAAATGCTGAAAATACTGTACATGTACAATGATGAAGAAGTGAGAGATAGATTATCCAGCAGACTTAGATAAAACTGTTTGACTCCATTTTCTGTGTTTTTCATTTTGATCTGATTACATTTTTCTTGATTCAATAAATATTTGATTAATACCATTTCCATTACTATTAATATTATTACCATTATCATGAGAATATTGTTGAAGATGATTATCATAAATTTGTTTTCTGTGAAAGAAACCACATCTCCACATTGTAAATATTAATAATGCCAATAATGCTAAACCCAATACACTACCAAGTATAAATGGCCATAATGGGATTTCACGGAATAGAGATACATTAATACCTTCAAACACAAAATTCTGTGATATAGCCAGCGGTTGTATAGTTAAATTACCATCAATTTTTATACCGAAAGCAGTTTCTTCAAGTTTAGCATTGGCTTCACTGACAATTGCAAAGTCCGATATTTTATAACGGAAAAATGTATCAGCCCATATCCAACCGCGTAGAACAATACGCACGGCATCACCACGAGATAATCCATTCACACGACATGTTATCTAAAATATTAAAATACGAATAATTTAAGAAAAATATGAGTTCGATTATTTACTCAAGTGATTTACAATTAGCGTGTGTGTGTGTGTGATAAACCAAAAGTTTTATTGGTTAGGATATGATAAGACAACCAATGTTTAGTGAATATGATCTGCAGTGAAGTTGAAAGTGTTAACAGTGTTAACAACTGTATGTTGACCTTTGTTTACCATGGTTCTAGTGAGTGAATGTCATGCTGAATAAGAAATTTTGACCTTATTTTCAAAACTGTATTTACACAAATAACATGTTGCTTGTATGTGACTGACGAGGAAGCACGAAATGGTACTATCTCACAAAGTATGTCTTCTCATTTCTCTATTCAGATTATTGAAAAACAACAAAACAATCTTTATATTTCACAAAAAATTGAAACTAAGACTTGACAAAAGGATATTTTGTAGTCTTATTCTGGGTCCCAAGTACAGGTCAGCTACAGATGATAGTTCAAATTGTGTTTGCCTACTCCTTTAGTGCTCAAAGAATTTTATCGATCGAGCTGTACTGGGGCAACTAGTCTAAGTGACTCATCATCACGTTTAGTATTATGAGATATTGTGTAGTTTGAGATAGTAAGGAGCAAACCAAGAAACTAAGCTTTATGCTAGTTTGGACTCGTTAGACTGTGGGGCTAAGTGAAGAAGGTCTGAAACCACTAGCAAACACCTGTTATTTATAAGATTGCAAGTATGCCTTACTGACGATTACCAAGTATTACAAAACCTAAATCGAGACTTACCTGGTGATTACCTAACATCACAATATGGTTCCCACGTCAAGTTGCCATTCTTTTAAATACTAAACTAATATTTTACAGGAGTTATGACTCATCGCTGTTGCTATATGTATATATCTTACTTTTAATCAATGGGACAGCAAATAACACTGGTAACTGAAACGACAAGCTGAGTTAATATTTAAGTTTAAAATGTCATGTTAAGTGCTATTTTCGATAAATGTGGATTTTCTTTTATTTCAGTTTTTAGTTAAATAACTTTAGTAGAGTCAGTTAATTATTTAATTTTTTTATTTATCAGTTTACGTTCTAAAATGTTGTCGTTATGTTGAAAATTATAATTAGTCAGTAGTTACTGTACAAATAATTGATTAAAACCATTTCAAATGACCACAGAATAGGTTACGAGACTACTTTTGCATGCCGTTTCACACTATTGTACAAAATAGACTATTTAGTGTGATTAATTTTAAAAAATTTCATTGCCACTTATAATCAGAACTACTGATAATCACACAAACTTATTAATCATTGATCACGTTTTCTCAAACGTATTTCTATCAAAATTTCAATTTTTCAGTGGTTAGTTAGTTTTAACGTTTACCATGGGTTAAATAAAATCTTATTGTTTTATGATTGTTAATAGATATATGTTAAAAAAGTGTTAAACAACATTCAGTGCTTCAAGGTTCATTTCAGACATCACTGTTTGAGAGGAAATTATGTTATATAACAAGAACAACTGAAGAACTATGATCGTTTTATAGACCGTTTATAATTAACTAGGATATTCTATGTGTAGTCATGCAAATATGATTGAATAACAACAGCTATATTTCTACAAGAAACTAATCAGTAAACATTGGACTTCTTTCATAAATCTCCATTACTAAATTCTTCGACAGACTTCTTAACTACATTTGATAATACGTATGTATTGAGACGATTACACAATAGGTCATACATATATTCATTTATATCTCTTGTTTTATTACATACAATCATTGTTATTTTCGCTTTCAGATACTTTTTTTTTCACAAAAATTAGTTTTTGACCATTTTTCCCAGCGTTATCATGGAATTTCGTATTAGCCAAATTATATAGTTTGATATATTAGAAGTAATAAAAGTATGAACGTACACATTAATTTTAATATGATTTGTAGACAATTTTTATTTCTCTCAAATGTGCCGCTATCTATTAACCTTTTACAAGATAGAAATAACTGATTACTATTAGTTTTACAAATGCTTGGTATAAGTTCATGATGATGTCTTTACTTACAATCAATCTATCAGGTTTGCTTCAATTTACTTTTAATAATATACAAATACCGATGTAAAGAATGCAGAGATTACGTTACTGTGTAAACACATAATCTGTCTGCTAACATGAACATACAATGCATATATATTTAAAATGTTACCATTCTTATTGATGTGTTGTATGTGTTATTTAATTATGTGTGCATATTCCTTCCCTCTTATGCTAATCAAATTATGATAATATAGTTTACAGTACAATCATGAGAATTGAAATAACAAGACATTAATGGTATTGAATGTGAGATTTTGGCATTCTATGATTATCCTAAACCTGATGACAAGAATTTGTAACTTATAGTGAACATTTTATTTTTGAAATCTAGTGAGATTTTTTACTCTCCACCTTGAAGAAACACATATTCCTTCTTATATTTAATAGATTGTCATTCAGAGATGTACTGACAGAAATTAACATTAAGCTATTCGATCATTCAGTAATATTTTTTTTTATCAGAAATAACTAAACAAAATATATATAGTCACAAATAGTAAAACTTGTTCGTCTAATAAAATTTGAAAACTATTTTAATTTAAACATTCTGATATTGGCTAGTTCTTCTAAGGAATCTTGCATTCTAGGTTTTGTCACATTTAATCGACTTTTATCAAGTTAAGTGAAGTGATAAAATATTAAAATTAATCTATTTTTTTAGTTAGATGCAAACTTTTCAACTTACTTCAAATAATAATATGAATTGGAATATAGCAAATGAAAATATTCATTAATCAATCATTTTTAAAAAGAGTTTTTTCGAAATAAAAAACTATTTGAAATAAACATCAAAACAACTCAACCTTAAATGCAAATGACTAGTCAATAATCGTACAGAAAATAATTAAAATTGTTTTTAAATGACTTGACTGAACAGTGGAAAGTTTTTTTTGAAGTACCCAGGAATCTGATGATGAAATAAGTTTTTTATTAACTCTGAAATTCCAAGTATACATCTACTATATATGGAATTTTTGTGTTACTAAAAACAAATGTTTAATTTACATCATAATCTAATTTATGACATCACTATTATTTCATTTTCAACTAAGTCAACATGTACAAAAGTGTGTCGTTATTTTTCAAATTCAATATTCATGCTTAAATTTCTGCATATTGACTTGTGAAATAGTTCAATTCTATCATAGTTTCATCTGTATTTGGTTCAATTTATCAATATTTTTACATTATTACGTGAGAGATTTTGATAATTGGAATATATTTTTAGTATTATTCATTCTGACATAATTTTCAGTTACTATTATCCACTAATGACATGAATTTTAATTATTTCAAAAAAGTGTACATGATTTCAATAAATGAACAAAAATCAAATGGAATTATCCTGGAATTGTTCTCTAACTATTTACAAGTATCCGATGATAAATGTTGCAACAGAATGTTAAAAAATAATGTTTTCAGGTGCTCACTTACATCACCTTGTCATATTATCGATGTTATCAGTTAGCTGTCTGATGTACATTCAATGATCGAAACTTTCAAAGTTATTGTAATTACTTCAACTGTCAATGAGGCATTTGTCAATAAATGCAACCATATGTACTAAATCCTTTGATTATTTTTTTTAAACGATTTCTGGACTGAAAAGTCATGTTCTATGCAACTATGTTAGGAATGTTACTTAACACATTCCAACCAAATATAAATGTGATATCATCTATCGTAAAATTTCGTTTGTTTGTGAATGTTTTTTTTATTATAGATTGTTTGATTTCATTTACCTTATCTCGTCACTTTTTGTCTACTCCACATACATTCCAATATGTGTCTTCTGATATTTTCAATTTGATACAGTACAGACACATACATTCTTTTGATTAATTTTTTTCTCCATTAGATAACACTCTGATGATTGATTCGATAAATTTACATTCCGAAAATTTAATTCTTTAAAATTTACACAGGCGAAAATTATTTAACTTGTTCAATTTTAAATCATTTCGGTCCATACTTTAAACAAGATTGTTCACTAGAAAGTAACAAACAGTGTGTATGTCTATGGCGCAAAAATTTCCCTTGACTGATCGTTTGGAGAAAAAGAATACAGATTTGCTTTATGCAATCACCGATTTACTTATTGCAATATTGTAGAATGTTTTGCTGAAAAATTAAACTACTTAAAAATCTTATTTTTCTAAATATTTGATCAATGCAGAAGATTTGGTAGACAAGATTGAAATTAATTTAAGTGAATAAGAAAGAAATATGGTTTAATTTATTGAGACGAACTAAAAGTTTATCAGTCAAATGTTATTCATCCTGATAAATTTACTTCTATTTAATTCAAATATTATTACTCGTATAATTGAGATTATGTATTGATATTGTTTAATAACTCACACTTGAGTTTTCAATTACATTTCATAATTATTACATATATCATGAATTTTCACTATTCCAACTTATTTCTCAATTCAGAATTTGAAAAATAAAATAATTTTAACCAATTGAGTTTAAGTTATAAGATATTTCATTCACACTTCTCATTAATTTGCGTTCACTGGAATATGTGGACATTTAATTCGATCAGCTAGCCTCCATGTGTTGATTTTTGAATTTGAAATGTTTCAATGTTTCAAAATTTTTCTTGTAAACAGTTTTAAGTTTTAGAGAATAGGATTGGAGGTATAATTATTTAAACATTCCTATCTTTGTACTTGTCTTAAATTGGTTAGCCTTATTGATTATTAATTCAAATTTATAGATAAAGAAGCTGATTAGACATCATCGAAAACAATGTTTTTTAAAAATTCTTATATCTGTGCTTGAATTACATGATTGAAAATAAGACTTTAGGATACTCTAGGTAATTTAGTTTAGATGAATATCGTAAAAGAGAAAGAAGAAATTTTGTAAAATAAATTGTTCAAAGATCGATACTTATTTCTGCATTGAAAATATAGAAATGTAAAGTCGAAGAAATCATGATATATTAATAATTACAGCACTAACCAAACAACTGTCGTGTAATGAGCGAAATTTCCTTTAGTAGACTTAACTTCATGAAAGTAAAAATGGTTTGCTGCTCTTTCGTTCCCTTTAACAATCAGCCTAGAAAATCTTGGCCATAATGATCTTTGGGAAGAAGAGTAAAAGTCTAACTAAGAGTGGTTTTTGATGATTTCGAACATTCTAAAAATACCTACTTTATGTCCACTGTCCATTTAGTGTAAAGCGATTGAATTTATAACATAGGTGTGCACATTATATTTCGTTCTCTGAGCTGGATGTTTTGGTTGTGGAGCTTTCATTGTTCTTCTGAACAACATCATCAGTAAAAACTTCAGAGGACGAAACACAACAACAATCATCCACCTGAGCTACAGATTTTCTCCAACATCCCACATTAAATTTTCTAATTTGATGAATCATCTCAGAGCTTAATTTTTATATTCTTACCAAGAAATTTATAATAAACCAGAGTACAGCTCATCATAACTATAATCTTAAATATCTGAAATTTTAAAATAGAATAACAATCAATTCACTGATTTTGACAACCAGATATTCTTCTAGAGTGAGCATTTCATTCATTAAACTGGTAACTATATCGTTCTAATGATGTTGAATAGTTATCGAGATTCATTGGGAATATTTAATGGCGTACGTTTCTATACTAAATGACAAAGCAAATGGAATGAAATGTAATTTCAGTATTTTGCTCTCAAAAAGGCAAGTTTGTGAGGCTAGTCATTAGTGAGCGTTTGATAGTTGTTATTGTAGGGTTTTGGAGATTGTTGATGTCATAGTTAGACCAGTATTAATACTTTCTTGCTAATGAACTAAATCCGAATAATATATACGGATGATTTGAAAATTGTTTAATAGTACTGTTTAGTGTAAAACAGTACAAATTATTAACAAACAAAACTACGCCCATCAGATAATAATAATAATAATAATAATATTAATAAACACAACTTACAACTGCACAGACTGGATATCCTAAATCAGAAACTTTTTCTCCACATTTAATAATTTCTTGTTGTCGTTTTCTGACACCATGTAAAATTGATCTAGCATTTCTAATTGTATCTTTTGAATTAATTGGTTGATTATCATCAATGAAATTATGTTTATCATTTATGTAAGATGATTCTTGATTTTTTATTTTCCATTTCATTGCACGTCTGTATCTTGAGATAGAGAAATGTGATCGAAAACTTCGACTTAATGATTGTAATTTAGCGAATTCATCTGCACGATTACGATGAACTGCATTTAAACGTAAAGGATTTAATGCCCATTCAGGTGTTATACATAATCCACGTACATGACCTTCTGCGCTGACAACCTTGTGTAATAAAATAAGAAATAATATTTAGCTAACAGATAAACTTCCTAATAAGTACATAGAAAAAGTATCATTCATCGTTCAGGAATAAAGATAACTTATTACTGAGGTGTTTAGAAGTTGGAAGATAATTTAAATAACTTTTTTTACACAATTAATTGGGCATTGAGTCCTTTAACACTTGTTGTATATAAAGGTAAAAGTAAGAGAGTTGATCTCAACTAACCTTGACCAAATAGATATGAAACATCATTATATTCGGTATAAACTAATATAAATACTACAAATGATAGGATCTATAATTGTACGATTGAAAATTGATCAAATGATGTATATTTTTAATCTTTTATTACAATTCAAAAAATATTATCCTATGATATCGATTCGTATTTATAGTTAGTCATATTATACCGTGTATGATATTGTTAGTAACCAGACATTGCACATTCAACTTTCATTGTACTGTGCCTTTTAATGGGGGAATATAATGGGACATTTAAAACGGAGTTAAATGCATTTTTGCAAAAATAACAGGTGATACTATGTAATGGAATGATGATCTTAACTGCCCGCTTATAAAGCGGTAACTATAAGGTTTTGTCACTGTCAGATCAATTCTTTTTTTCCTAGATGAAGACCAGAAGCATCGGTTTATAAATTTAGTGCAGTTTAAAATTTTAGACACACGATAATCCATTACTAGGCACAATGTTTGAGCAAAGCAGTTGGATTCTTGATAAAGTTGTACATGAGTAACTTTCATGAGCCCTAGACTAATCCGTTGTAACCGTCGAAATACGTTTTAATTTTCAAAGGTATACTATGAGGAAAACAAGTTCAATCTTGATGTTAAAAATGGTTGATCATATGTTAGCACTATCAATTAACCGTGTACAGCTGATTAAGTAAACACTCTACATTGTTAATAATTTACTTTAATGCATTCTATCAAACATCCAATAAAACTGTAGAAATAACTGTCAAACTGCTTCAATTATTTAAGTAACATTCATTGAAAATTGTAATAGACAGCTTACATCTGGTGATATATTTTCAAAACGTGGAGGTCCACCATCTTCTGCTTGGTACCTTAGTCGATCTAATAGATAAACTAAATGCTCACCGTCTCTTGTTTGTATAGGAATGGTTAAATTAACCCAAAAACTTTCCAGTGGTGATGGACCAGCATTTGTCACAAGATAAACATGTTTTAATTCTGGACCGATAGTTTCAGGATGAATTCTTTGCATTTCATATGGTTGTACAGAAAAATTGCGGAAATCAATAATTGTACGATCCAATGCAGATGATGAAAGCTAATGAAAAAAGAATATTTTTAAGAAAAGCAAAATGTAAAGAAGCAGCAGAATTGGTAATTATCAAAAAATAGAAACAATGTTCACATGTAAATAGACTATTTTGCCATAATGATTTGTTTCAATATATTTTAATTTGTTAAAACCAGTTAAAATGATCTTTGGATTTCTTGGTACTGATATGACTTCGTAGGTTGTGTTTAAAGATATTATACATTAAAATTTTTATCTGAAAAATGAATTCATGTCCTTTTTTAACGTGAATGTGTACTCGGACATAGAGACAAAAGGAATTGTCAAACAATCAGCACATTGTTATTTTATTGAGATTTCAAACTAATCTTTTTTAGTGAAAAGCTGTGATCAGTGAAAGTTCGTGCTGATGATGTTGTTCAGAAGAACAATGAAAGCTCCACAACCAAAACAACCAGCTCAGAGAACGAAACACCACCACAATTAACCCATACTAGGACAAACACAAAAAAATATTTTTTCCCATTATATATATATATATATATATATATATATATATATCGAAGAGAACAGCTTTTAGTTTTCATAGTTACTTACCAGCATTACTGACGAATAATCATCTAGACTGATAGTTTATTTTGAAAAAAATAGCAAATTCACTGAAAATAGTTTAATCTAGGACTGTGTTTCCATTCAAATTCTGAGTAATAATAGTAGTATCTATTGGAAATCGGTTAACTACCGCAAAATAATTTGTTTAAGATTTGAGAGGAAGCAATCAAGTCTTGACTTAAGTCTTCAACTTAGCTAGGTCTTCTAATAAGGTAGAGGTCAAGTTAGTTGCTTGTGTAAATAAATTCTTAAACTGTATATCAGTATGTAATTGGTTGATTCTATTCTCATTATCACAGAATTTAGCTTGGTTACGATCTAATCGAAAACAACATTCTACGCTTATATGTGTTGTTCTACTATTAATGTGCTGGTACGTGCATCTTAAATCCTATTCAGCGGGTCCTGAGAGATTGACCCCTGAGATTTTTAAGAATGGTGGTTCAGTTTTAGCAGCTCGATTGACTGAGATCTTAGGTAGAATCTGAGAACTGGTCGTAATTCCATCTGATTAGTCTCAATCTTTGATTGTGCCAATTTATAAGAAAGGACAAAAGTTTTCTGGTGACAATTATACTTAGACGCCTAACTAGAGGTCGTAAAGAGCAGACCAGAAAAAATCAGGCTGGTTGCAGACCTGGACATGGATGTATAGACCATATCTTCACACTCCGACAAGTCCTGGAACACAGGCATTTAGGCGTCCTACGATAGTTGTTTTCCTAGACCTTAAGGCGGCATTCGACTCTGTGGATTGTGAGGTTCTATGGCAGTGTGTCATTGAAAGGTGTACCAAAGAATTACATTAACTTTATACAGGCACTCTACTCGAACACCACTGGTCGGGTGATAGATTATGGCAAACTGTTATCGGAATTCTTTACTTCAAGTGGTGTCCATCAGGGCTGTTCACTCTCTCCATTCTTGTTTAACTTTGTCGTAGACATGCTTTCAGAGTTAACATTATCCTAATCAGATTTTTCAGGAGTGGACCTTCTACCAGGAGGACCGCTTACTGACTTAGAATATGCCGAAGACATAGTTCTATTCGGTGAAGACGCTGACGAAATGCAGAGTCTTCTGACTACCCTGAATAACAATGAAGGCATGTTCGGGGATGCGGTTTTCTCCCTCCGAATGCAAAATATTGCTTCAAGATTGGGTTGCATCGGCACCTGAACTAGTGATACGGAGTGAAGTAGTTGAATGGGTAGACCGCTTCACTTATCTGGCCTGGTGACTGACAAAACCTCAGCACGGATACGGAAGGCTCGATTGGCTTTTGCCAACCTGCACCATCTATAGCGCAGGCAAGCTATCCGTTTACTGACTAAAGGACGAGTGTACTGTGCAGCAGTTCGCTCCGTCCTACTGTATGGATGCGAGACTTGGCCGTTAAGAGTAGAGGACTTTCGTAGGTGAATAGTCTTCGATCATCGATGTCTCCGAAGCATTGCTCGTGTATCATGGGACAACCGTATAAGCAATGTTGTCGTTCTAGGTAGGGACGGCAAATCAATAGATGAAGTGGTGAAACTTCATCAGTTGAGGTGGTTGGGACATGTGTTACGTATGGCTAACCACCGACTTCCGCGACGAGCTATCTTTTGCAGTGTAGGAGTAGACTGGAAGAAAGCTAGGGGCGGCCAGACCAAAACATGGCAGAAATCCATGAAGTCACTGACAAGTGGACTGAGTCATGTTGGTAGGTGTCGACTACCTAGTTGAAGCCCGTAAGATGATAGTGATCGATGGTTAGAGACCTTGAATGACATGGCTCAAAACCGTTTGCAATGGAGCAGGTGGACTCATTTTTTGCGTTCTCTCAAATCCTAACCTTCTGAATCCCTCATCACCTTATTTTTATCACTCAAGTTTATTTCACTAGATTCTACTTCTTCAATTATATCCTCGGATCCTAATCTCTCCAATTATTGTTAATACTTTTACTACCTCTACTGCTATTGGATTTGAATCGACAATTATATCTCTGTGCTAATGTGGTATGGCACTTTGAACTGATGTACGTACGTAAGAAGTTCTGCATTGCTGTTGATTGATGATTGGTTCACATATCTACTCATATTCGCTTCTCGTTCTTGTGATCTGTGCTGTACGATAATAACGGAAGTTATGCACTATTGGGAGGGTTATCTATTTACGGTTATCAAGACAAGGGATACACAAGCTTTGGATATAATCCGTCACAAAATAAATTTTAAAAAATTGATTTGATTAAATCCATTGTTTTATTATTACTTTAGCTTTCAATTTTAAAGTTTTAGTTGATGCTTATCACTGTTTGGTTTTTTTGTGTTTAACTTCTACTGTCATTTTTGATAACTTTATATATATATATATATATATATATATATATATATATATATTCTACAATGTTTTCTGACGTGTTGTAACATGTTATTACATGGTCTGTTAATTTTAGTACTAATACGCAGTAGAATGCAGTAAATTCCTCAAAGAGAAAAAAACAAGACATTCCCAACAGGTTGAAAAATAAACAACAAACTTCTAAAGGATCATAACAAAATTGTTGAATCCATCATACGCATATCTTTGGACATTGGACATGGTACATTGTCTATTATTGTTTTTCTTCTAGTTTAAATTAAACATATGTTATTAATTATCACGCCTTAACAAAAACAAGTTACGATATACAAGATCAGTTTGCCAACTCTTTAAATTATCTGCCGAAATAGAAAGATTGAAAGTAAATATCATCATCACGGGTTTTTCCTTCATTGAAAAATTTTTTTTCTCAGTGAGCTTCAACAACATACAATAAACTGTTAGTGTCACATTCCATTCCTACTGTAAACTAGTCATGTCAAAATTTCAGTGATTTGTTCAAATACCAATGTTAGTTTTTTTTTAAATACACATGAATAGAAAAAGAACTGACATTTCCTCAACTGCTGATTCACACACAGTTTAGAAGGCCAAATAAAAATTTAGACTAAAAACAATTTAACTTCATAAATCTAAAGTACTGTATCATAAATATTATCAGAAATGTATGGAAATCTGTTTGACAAGCAAAATTAAACAACTGAAATATCAAGTATCGAAACTTATTGTCACACTTTTATTATTTACTCAACTGTATTTTTTTATGGATTGTTTCAGGAACTGATTAGTGACTGATTAGTGTATGCTAAACTTAAAATATTTCAAAAGTGACTGAGGTTAGGCATATTAACGACTGGAAGCTGGACTGCTGGTCTGAAGATTACTCTCTCTCTCTCTGTGTCAGTCTTGGGTTTGATCCCCGGTCTTTTTTGGATTTATACTGTTGACAAGTTTTATACCATGACGAAACTGCTTAGTGTTCCTAGTTTTCAATATTTGTTTGACTAAGATTACTGTGTGATATTGACTAAGAAATCTAATAGTCTCCACGAATCTCATAATAATATCATTTTATGACTTGTAAGTTTGTATTTCATTGGTCGTTTATTAAATAAAACACACATCATAAGTTTTACGTCATATTCCCAGGAAAGTGGTTCTGTTATCTCACTGATGAATGAAAAGTTATGTGGTTAGTTAGTAATCAGCCAACTAAATAAATCTAGTTAAAAAATTGAACTATCAAATAAAAATCGTTTGTAGGAACTTTTTTTCCCATATAAAGTTCATTTTACACGTATTTTCTATTAGTATACAAATTAACACTTTGTCTGTTCAATTTTTTAAAATGAACAATTCACTTTTGAACAGTCCATTCTTCATACTAAATTGGTTTTGAAAATAAGATTTTCACTGCTGTCCAGTGATATAGCAGTAGGCGTTATAATAAGTGATACCTTGTCTACCTACATTATTTTTATGAGTTTCATCTTTTTATAAAAAACAGACACCATATCTTAGTATATTAAGCCATTTTCACATTCATATTACAGAATGAAGATCTTTCTGGATAGCAAACGTCTGAATAGGGTTGTAGAAAAGTGATGTACAGTCAAAGTTGATGACTAGCATTTGTCTGTAAAGTCATTTTGGTTATTAAATCATAAAAGATATAACTGATTTGTTTTTGAGTAAAATAACTAGATATGCTGGCTGGAAATCCTATTGTATCAGTCAGTATGTTGGAATCCTTGTACAATAAATTAACAGGGAATATAACAAACAATCTTAAATGATTTAGTTTATTGAATTTATGTCGTTAAATTTTTATATGAGATCAAACGAAACCACATATGGAAGTTGCTACTTAACATAAATTAATTTGGTCATTATTATTCAAAACTTAAGTTTTCGGTCCTTATGGAATAATCATAATAAGCTGTTTAAAAAATTATGGAAGTTTCTCTTTTTAGCGTTGCTTATTAGATTTTTCTACCAAATAATGTGCAATAAATTAATCGACTTGACAATGGATCATTACGGTATATACTTTAATTGATTAAAAAATTTTAATTTTATTTGATAAAATTTAAATGTAAGAAATATGGAGTTGTGATTTGTAAATTATGCTGAGCACATTTTATAGACACTTCCAGTGTAATAGGATGGATTGCAGCTTGCAGCGCTAGACGCCAGTTTTTTTTTCGATTTATGTCTTACCAACCAGGAGTATCTGCATCCCAGTTTTGATTTACAAACCGCTGCTCAAACCATGTATCTTTCCTTTCGAATAGTTACCATGTCATCTGGCGAACTACTGTGCCCAAATACTCACAGAATTGTTTGATGATAATGCAACCCCTAATGCATATATGCCAGCAAAGGCTGATCCGAATCCAGTTCCGTTTATCAGTAACAGTATAACTCGAACGCTTAGTAACAATGTCTTACAACAGTTCACTCATGATAATATGTATTCAGCTTTACGGTCAAATCTTTTGGAGACCTGTTTTCTTTTTCTAATCATATGGAATTATTGCTAGTTGGAGCTGTGTGTAATTCCTGAGCTAATTATAATCTCGTCATTTTGTTCCGAACAGCATATTATTCACTAAACTTTTTCTTTAGTCGAATTTCTGAACTTTAATTGATAGTAATAAAAATGATTCACATTTTTGAACTAAGGAATGATATTTTAAGTTAATTAACCAAAAATAGGTCCAATATTTAAAAGATATAAACGACAAGATGTGTATATAAATAACATGGTTATTATGGTGAAGTTTCGTTCTCTGAGATGAATATTTTGGTTGTGAACCTTTTATTGTTCATATGAACAGCATCATCAGCAAAAACATCCGTTGGAAGTGAAGTATTCAAGACCGAGGTAAACAGAACAAGCTAGGATGAAATGGAATACTTTACTTCCACCTGATGTTTGTGCTGATGATGTTGTTCGTAAGAACATCTAAAGCTCCACAACATTAAGCCCAGAGAACAAAACTCCACCGTAATCATCCATCCGAGCTACAGAATTTCTCTACCTTCTCAGTAGCACAGTGTTTATTGTTTCATCCTTTTTTCTTAGAAATGTTTTCACTGCTATCAAGTTAACCATTGATTCTATGCTATTATTATTGTTATTGCTAAGATTATTTTAAAGTGAAAATAATTATTTAAGAACTTACTTCTACTTTAGCAGCCAATTTTAATTTATAAGTAATACTTGCTTCATTATTATTCATATTGTCATCTGTATTTCCACTGGTCACTTTAGCTGTTATTGTTAAGTCTTCAGGTATTGAAAAAGTATCACGTTTACTTCGTTTAACATTATATGACTGATAAATAGGTTTCGTGTGTATTTGATTATAGTTGTCGTAGTTGTTTTCCATCCATACTACAGATGATGACTGTCTCATTTCATAATCATCTGCATTATTTGGTTTATTGATCATTTTCGATAATGAATTCATATCATCATTCTGTGAATATTGTTTTCTCAATGTATCATACTCGGAAACATTTTCTGGTTGATCATTTATTGGTTCATCCAATTGTCGAAATGCTCCGGCCGTATTGATTTGAAAGTTGAATGAATAATGATGAACATCTCCAGTATAACTTAACGGATCATCTAAATTACAGATTATTTGAGTTTGCTAAAAATATGTCAAAAGGAAGAGGGGCGAGGGTTGAACAGAAAAAAATAAAGAATATTATTTATTGAAAAAATATGCTTATTTTATGTATAGGAATTTTACAAAAACGTCATTCAACTGTGACCCAGTGTTGAATTATTCAATGAATAATCTACATTAACGTTAAATCCTCGAAATTAAATTTAGCTGTATTAAAAAACCAAGCAGACAACCCATGGAGTAATCACCTTTTTTAAAAACATTTAGACTTTTGAAATTTATCAAGACTTCAAATGTAGTATGTACAGTTACGTATAACATGTAACATCAATATTTTATTATGTCAATCAAAATTTCCAACATGGAATGTTTACTAATGTTGATGTGCATTTTCATGAACAGAAATACAATATCTATTGAGATAAATTCAGTGGAAACTGGAAGTTAGTTGTAAAGCGAAATTGGTAAGTGAACAACTGTTCATATAATTTTAACCGCTTCTTTTCTATATACAGATGCCTCGTTTATGCATATATGAAATAGAAGACAATGTTATTCCTTTTTGTCGGATGACTCATACAGAAAAGAATAAGCTAAAAAAAGAAATATAATTTCAAAACCTGGTTTAATCCCACTCATCAATAATTTTCCGTTGGATAGTTTTGTAAAGCGTACTGAAATGTAGTTAGGATATAATGTCGAATAATATTCAATGCATCTGATCTTCAATAGATAATAACTGGGACATTTTGACCTTAAAATTTATTTTATTTAATTCGTTTTTTATTTTGAAAAATTTATATTTTATGAATCAGTGTGTAATAAAATCAAACATTATTCGAATAACAATAAATGAGTCAGAGATTTATGCGAATATCATTAGTTATTTGCGCATAGACACAAACATTTCCAATTTTTATTACATATTTTTCTAAATTCATTTTTCTGAATTATCAAATAAATAAAATATTTTTTTTTGGCGAAAATTGTAATTTATTGTTATTATTATTTTTTATTGATTCTATTTTCTAATTCATTAATTTGTCATTAAAAAAGGAAAGTAATATTCATTGAATCTTTTGCAAATAATAATAAAAATTATTTTGTTTGCGATTTCAGTTAATAATGAAATATAAATTATTAATTAGATAAAATGGTGCCTAGAAGAAACTGAATAATTGTTTTTTTGTTATCTATTGAGATTACAATACATATATACGCATAAATAATTGATTTAAATCAGTTAGGTGATAAAGAATCTTGTTCATTGGCTGATCAATATATTTCTGCAGTTCATTTATTGGTGATTTCATTTTCAATTTTCGATATGGAACCTACATTAAATCTTGAACGTTGTACAATCAAAGATGTGAATAATAATGATAGAAACTGATCTTTTTCAAAACAGGCTTCTAGATAGATAGATAAATAGATACAACGCAGAACTTCGTACGGAAGTACATCAGTTCAGGTTGCCATACCACATCAGTACAGAGACGCAACTGTCAGTTCAAATCCAAGAGTGATACCGATAGTAGAAGTATTAGCAGTAATGGAGAAGATTAGGGAGCGAAGATATGATTCGAGAAGTATAATTCAGTGAGATAAATTTAGAAGGAGAAAGGTGGAGATTATGAGGAATTCAGAAGGTTAGAGAATTAGAGAGAACACAAAGAGTGGATGCACCTGCGCCATTGCAAACGATTCTAAGCCATGTCATTCAAGGTCTCTAACCATTGGTGACTTTTGTCTCGCGTACCCCAACCAGGTAGCCTACATCTACCAACATGACTCAGTTCACCTGTCAGTGACTTCTTGGATTTCTGCCATGTTTTGGTTTGGCCGCCCCTAACTTTCTTCCAGTCTACTCCTACACTGCAAAACATAGCTCGTCGAGGCAGGCTTCTAATGTTTCATTGACCAGTAGCAGTGTTGAGAAATGTTCATTGTTGCGTAAAGCTTGTAAGCAATACTGGTAAAAATATATAAAATTATTGCTGGCAAAAATACAGGTTACTGGGAACTGTTTACTGGTTCTAAGTCCATGATGAGTTGTTATTATGTGATAGTAGAAATTTTAACTTGAAATAAAACTAGTTTTCTGATCATACTATTATACTCAGGGATATAAAATTGAGAGTAGAACGGTAACTAGCTTGTTCGTTTCTTGAATTTTCTGAATAAAGTGCAAATTATTATTATTATTATTATTAATATTTGTAGTTGACATGCTTGTATAATTCACTTTTCACTTCTCGAAGTTAAGATAACAATAATAATAATATTTCGATTGAATATTTCAAAGTACAGATTGATTATTTGTTATTGTAGTTATAAATATATAAATGGCTATAATAATTCACTAAAGTTATCAGAAATGACTGTCAAATAATTTGAAACGAATTAAAGTAAAGAGCTTTAGAATACATCTTGTCACTAAATCGAAAAAGTCTCATGGTATAGTGTTTACGCAGCTGAAGTTTAGGAAATTCTTCTGGGTATAACGCAGTCGGTTAAATGCTTGCGTTAAAACGCAGTGGACGATTTTCAACATGAATCACAAAAAATTTTATCCTTCATTACCATAATTCTAATACTGAAGAAAAGATTTGATTGGAAAGAGTTAAATTTTGTATACTGAATATATGTTAATATCTATTACATATATATCGCGAAAATCTTTTGGGATGGGCTGAAGAGTTACTTCCTGTCTCTTTTTTACCTTAATATACAATCATGTCACTTGACTGCTCATCAGATTCAATCATGTCACTTATATATTATAAACGTTCAACCTCTACTTTCCTCTTCACATGAAGTATTCTTTAATCAATATCTATCTCGTATAATTTAAATCAAATCAGGATAGCCAATTATTACCACTTTCATAGTAACGGTGATATATTTACTAATACTGATATTCACTCAACATCCTGGGAAGTTTTTCTAATCTTTTATAGATAAACTCACTTTTAATAACGCAATTATGAGTACTTAAAGCGTTTATGATGTGTAGCACTAAACAGCATACTTTAAACTTTTCCATGTATGAGGAATATTTTTTATTGTAATATAGAATCTGAAAATACATTACCATAAAACCTAGAAATGGAAATATTTAAAATAACTTTTTTCAGATATCATAATTTCTACAGTGATAAAATCTGGGTAAGGTGTAAACTTACTTTTAAATTATTCAATGTCTCCGTTTGACATAATAACCCTTCAGGTATGCTAAAACTCAACTGATTAGGAAATATCATATTTAACTGAGTAGAATAAGCATTTTCCCCTAAATTCTTAACATGAACAGTAATATTTCTTTGACTAACACGTTCTCTAAAATAAATAATTGATTTATCAGTTGGACCTTCAGAGATATCGGTCATCTGAACTTGCAAATCAGGTCGGCATATATTATCAACACCACAGGTTGGATTGGAAAATTGCATTGAATGACTAAGAAAATTTCGATTACCCAAGAATGGATGTAATATCCATGATGATATTGATTTATGTTCAACAAACGACATTGGATCATGTACAGGGTTTAGTGTTACATTAATACGTACAGGTTTCCATAAAAGTGCGTTAACTTTTGATGTTAAAGGTTTAACAACAAAATCAAATAAAGTTATCCGACTAGAGTTTTGTTCCATGAATTCGTCAGTTTTCAATTCCACAAGCATATCAATAATTCCGTTAACAGTTGACTGATACACCATTTGTTTTCTGGTTGTTTGTATAATGAGACGTTTATTTTCAGGTTGTTCAACATCTGAATCCAAGTCAATATTAAGTCGGAGCTTCCAGTTTTTAATTTGTTTTAATAAATGTTGTTTACCGTTAATTCGAGCGGATAACTGAATTGGAAAATGACATTGTTCATCACAAGTTAATGTATCTTTATATCGCCATGATAATGTTGGTTGTGTTGGTAATTCCCAAAGTGGTGAATCAAACCATAAAGTGTTACGTCCTCGAAGCATTACAACCTATTTAAATGAAAATAATTATTAGATAAAATTTAAAATTAGCAATTAACGTTCGATTATTATGTAAAGATGAAAAATTCGAATGTGGAAGACAAATGAATTTCCGAATCGGTTCAAAATCTTGTTTTTTAATCGATTAGACACATGTAAACAAAACATACACCAGAAAAATTTATTGATAGGTAGTTTGTTATTTTCTAAAATCTGTCTGTTGTGAATTTATTGATGTTACGACAGCATAACATTTAACCAAACCCCTGGATATACATGTCAATCAGTAAGGATATACTTTGAATTGAACCGAGATAATATCAAAGAAAAGTAACAAATTTAAGCGTAATTAATGAATATTATTAGACTAACAGCTGTAATGTTATCACTTTTGTCAAGATCTATTAAGACCTCCATTATATTCTGTACAGAATATCATCGTTATGTGTTTTTATGACGAGAATAATTTATCCAATGACTGTGTTCATCTGAATTTAAATAGAATTATTCTAAACTGGTTGTTTCATGTAACTTTATTTAAATCTTTAGTGATAGTAAGCTCTTTCTAATCGGGAGAAAATTTATTTGAAAATTAGAATAGTTAAAATTTTCAAACATATATCATTGTAAAAGCTATTTACTGTTTTGTAGATTCTGATTATTATACAATGATTTATTGTAACCTATCACTGCAAAAAAGTAAATTAACTTACAGAATATGCGTGGAATCAAGGTTAGACATAAAGCATAGATGAAATGTCAAAACTTTACAAAAGAAAAAGAAGTGTTTTGTTGTAAGAACATAAGACTGTTTTCTTTTCTTTATCATTAAACAAATTGTAATTCCAGTTACATGTCTACTACGAAGTAAATTTGAGATAGATTTTCAATACTTTTCATTAAGGAAATCGCCGCCTATAAAATTAAGCATTTCCGGTAAGCCGGATAGTAAATTAGATCGTATTTTGTGTTATTACTGCACAAATCTAAAATATTATAAAATAAGAACACAAGCATCTATCTAGTATTTCTTGTCTTCGAATGATTTTATTATGTCAACCAAATGACGATTCATCACCAAAATAAAGTGTTTAATGCATTCCAAGCCGTAAGTTTAAAATATTTATGCTCATAGATAGGTCTTGTCAACAATCAAATTTAAGCGATTTGACATTCAAAGATAAATCTTATCGTAAATCAGATCATTATTATGTTATTTTAATTTATTTTTATGAATACTGTAACATTTATATATTTACTTATTCGTGCTATTATTACTATTATGTTTATTATTATTTACGTATATACTTATGACCATTATTATTATTATTAGTATAACAGTATAAGGAATGTTAAAGGTTACCATGATAGTCAGTTTTGCAAAAGTTAGTTGATTCACATTAATTTTTCAAAAAAAATTGTTCACAGATAAATTCATACGGAAAAGAATGCATAAATAACTACAGGCAAAAAAAACATTTGTTTATGATAAAGTCAACTAGAATTACAGATTAAAAACTGTAATAATAATAATAATAATGGAATTTTTTTTACAAGTTTTTTTAGTGATTATTTCAATTTATTTATCCAAGTTAAATAACGAATTTATATTATCCACATTTGTAGTAATGACATTTGACATTTACATAAATGTTCTGATGTTTCATTTCATTTTTAGAATCTTTCTATTTATATTCAACAGTTAATTGTTTGAAATATCAGTTCCATAAATAGGTGATTGTATGTTTAAAATGCAATGGATTGACGAATAGTTTACTAGTATTCGGATTTAAAGATTGATTAAAAAAAATCATTGTGGACAAAACGAAATATATGTAAATAAATAATATCATCACTGCAGGCAACAGATGCATTACAGATACACCTAATTGTTGGATTGTGAACTAGATGGGATTATGTTTCTTTTAGCTCTCTGATAGTTTTGAACTTTGACACGCATGTTCGCGCGCGAGACTGAAGGTCTTTGTATTAAAACCTCGGTAATGTGGTCATGAATCTGAACCGCCGAAGAGTTCCACAGTAGAACGAAGCAGATATTCAGTACTTCCAGGATTTCATTGGTTATCGCACTTCCACTGGTTCATAATTTCAATCAGTTTTTACTGTACGAATGGATTCTTTCTTTTGAATACATATTATCTGCTGCTATTCTGTTTCTCACCACTAATAACCAGAATCAATGCAAATTTTTTATCTGGTTCTCATGTTGCTGAATTCTGAATGACTATGAACTAGCATCAACTTTTGCTTTGTATTATAACTCTCTTTTTATGGTATCGTTATAAAAAACTGTATTGATGATTAGGTTTAATCAAATGTAAAGAACAACGCCTCAAATTTAAAAGTCATTTATCAGCTAAATTTCATGCTGTTTTTGCTGATTCATAGGTTAAGCTATTTAGGCATCATCCTATTTCAAATAATGTTTGAGTTGCAAATCATACGTTAAAATTATCGCTGTTGTTCACAAATTACATGAAATATCAGTGATGCTTATTTTCAGAGCAAAAACATTACAGAATAAATGTACAAAAAAAAAGAAAACAAAACATAATCCGTCGCTAGTTAAATCACATACTTGATCACTTCCATAATCCCCAATTACAAGATCAGGTGCATAATTTCCATCTAGATCATATGAGCCAGATAAACTCCAACCGAATGCTGTAAATAAACGCGGAACTTTTGGTATATCATCACTGATGAAATCAGTACTACCACATATTGTTACTGCAGGTAGTTTAGGCAAATCAGAAGGCCATATACTCTATAATAATAACAATAAATAAAATTATATATATATATATCAGTTTACAAGAAAAAACACACTCTATTCATGAGCCAGGATCATTGCATTCACTTGTAAATTTGGTTACATCACTTTGTCATTTCCTTATTTTGTATATTTCTCTTGATTCAGACGGTCTGTTTTTTTTTTGTGGAATTTCATTTAAGTTTTTATTCCATCATAGATGAGTTAATCATTCGTAGAATCCGAAATACTACTCCATCAAAGCACAAGTTCATGTAGGTGAAATGTACGTAATATGAGATGAATAATATACTATAAAGTTGTAAATATTTATGGATATTGATTATTTACTTATCTGTGAATATCTAACTCTAAATTATTATCGAAGTAGGATAAGAATACTATTTAGTAGTTTAGCTTATAGTGAACAATGGTCTATTGGTTAAATTATTTATGCTTCAACTATCAAATCTCAGGTATGAATTTCACTAGATCTATTTTAGTTTTAATAATTGGATAATAACACTAAACTTCACATCTAAAAAGATAACCAAAAGGCAAAAGATTAGTCTACATTTAACAAATGAGTTACACATTTTACAACAATCGAAAATTCGTTCGAAATTTATTTGATAGTACTTTAAATTCTTCTGATAAGATTACTGAAGTTAATATGACTTATTTTAAGAATCAATCTATTGATAACAGAATCGAATTATCGTTGTATGAGTTCGAATGTTTCAAAATGTCGTTTTTTGAAAGAAAACATTTTCAAAACAATGATTTTATTCATTATGTCCTACAAATGTTAAGCTGAAATAACGTTGAGTCGAAATTCTTTAGTCAGATGCATTACACCGTAAAGAGAAAAACTTTACATTCATTGTTCAATGTCAGTTTAAATAGATGTGAACACACTTTAATTTAATACTTTGACGAAAAAATAACATTAGAACAACACATATTCACAATGGGAATCTTTAATACTCTGAAAAAATAACAACAACAATTATTAGTATTTAAAACTGTCGAAGAAAATTTCCATTAATTAAGCGTTTACATAAAGTTAATGATAGTTTAATTAAATCATAGCATGTGGCTAAATATGAATTAAATGTTCAATACGAATTTCATTTCACCGAGATCAACATAACCTAATTTGTTGAATATACTCATATATTTCAACCAGTGATTCATTTTAGTTAATTCATTCAAAATAAGACTGCAGTAAATTGAGTGACGTAATATTTTTACCAATATAGTTATTGAACGACGTTGTTACTTAACCGATCTGCAATTCATGTAAATGTTAGTGAAATTTGTCTTGAATTATTACTATAAAGGGCTAATTTCGTAACTGTTTACAAATGAACAAAATTGTTAAACATTACACTCAATTGTATATTTTGAATATTCAAACAACGAATATAACTCATGGATTTGTTTTAAAAAACAAGACAATTAAACAAAACCATTTCTCTTCTGCGATATTGTTTACTTAAGCTTTACGATTAATGGTTAGTTTTCAATCAAAATAGTACATAGAAAGGTAGAAGGAAGATTACAGCGCCAAAGAAAAAGCTTACTAATCAAGAGTTCAGTAGATGTAGTAAGACGAAATAATACATGAAAAGAATGATTGCCCAACTGACAAGTATGAGGAGGATGAAAATTAAAAACGTGCTGATCAATAATAATCAAATTAAAAAGACAAAACTTTTGGAACCGAAGGTTCTGGGTTCGATTCCCTCTAGCGAGAGTCATGGATATGCACTGCTGATGAGTCCTATACTAGGATGAAACAGCCATCCAGTGCTTTTAGGTTTCTGATGGTGGTCTAAAAATGATCAATTCATGATTTCAGTTTAAAAGAATTATTAGGTGAAGCTAGTGACCCGAATTTACAACATACAGTATTATTGATAGATGGAACTTCACCTATAGAAAGCCACGCCGGATAGTTTTCAAAGATGCGTTTAGAAAGTGTAGGTATGGTGAATTATTCATGTTCAAAATGGGCCTCTAAGGCAAATCCTTCTTTAGAACCTTTGGAATGCTGTATAATCTTTGAATAAACTCTTTTACGTGGGAATTAACTAAAAAACGACTGATCGGCTAAAGTTAATGACATCGTAGAGAAGAAAAGTTTCTTTGTTGAATTGTTTCATTTATATTCCAATTTTCTATTTGGCCTATTCTTCAGTTTCGAGTTGATTTTTCATTGGAATCATTGATTATGAAAATGTTTGTAAAATTAATTTCAATTAGTCAACTCTGAGTATATAACTGGTCAAAAGTAGCATTTAGTTGGAAATACAGTCGAGATAAATCAATACAACCAAAGAAAACTTCATTCAATTTACGGGGTTTCTTATAAATTTGGTGCCAAATATAATAAAAGGCTACAATACTATCACCTGTGGAATCTATTCGAAACTATATTTGAGAAAGTGGTAAATCATTGCATTAAATCTAAAACCCCGACTGTAGAATAATAATAGACTGATATATTAGTACTTTCCTTCATGTCACACTTATTTATAATTTCCCAATATCGACAAATAGTGAACGAAGTGGATGTATTTGAATAGTTACTGATATTCCTTAGATATTTCTTTCACTGAATACAGTATAAACTTGGAGCGAATCTTTTATTGACCAGATCATAAAATTCATTGTGACAGATAAAATAAAAATCAAAGAACTTTACAACTACACAGTGATTGTTGAATTCCGCGAGATGATAGTAGGTGATAGTTAGAAACTTCGAATGATATGGCTCAAAATCGTTTGAGATAGTGCAGGTTCCTAGATTCTTTGTTTTCTCTCATATTCTAATCTTCTGAATCCCTCTTGACCGAATTTTTCTCTTTTTAGATTTACCGCGTTAGATTATACTTCTAAAATCATATCTTTGAACCCTAATCTTCTCCATTATTGCTAACACCTCTACTAGATCTAAGACTATAGTATTTGAATTGACAATTCTATCTCTCTGAACTAATATGGTATGACAACTTGAACTGATGTACGTGAGTACGAAGTTCTACCTTGTAGCTGAGTAAGTGACTGACCAACATTAACCCATTCTCAATCATTTATTCTTCCAGCGATATTTTCGTTACGCTGTAATGCTGATTGTTACGAAGTCTAAACGTGTCTGAGAAATTCGTTTTAAAATTTATAGCATTTAAGAAATAATTATTTTTATGGTTATGAAAACACAACCATGGAAACACATTTAAAAATTTCATTCTTGAATATTCAATTACCTGAAAAGGTTCTGTATCCATTATAGAGTCTTTCTTGCCTAGATAGATGAATACAGCACCTTTATCCGCCCGTCCATCAGGATCACTACAATAAGGACAACTGACAGCTAAATCCTCAGTTCCATCACCGTCAACATCACCAATATTTGTCAGTGCATGACCGAATCGACCTTTAGGGGACTTTGGTCCTTCTAAAATCACTGGATCCTGAGTGAAATAATCTGGAATTTCTGGTCTTTGCTTAGAGTCACTAAGTAAATTAGATACATTTAAATGATTTCCATAAAAGATGTAAACTCTTCCTATATCCGGTAAAAGATTGGACCATTGAATACCTTCATTGTGATTAGATTGTTCTGCATTTGTTGTGTCTTGTAATCCTTCTTGATTTTGACGTCGAGTGAAATAGGGTGCACCAACAATAATGTCAACTAGACCATTTCCGTCAAGATCTGCAACAGCAAGACTAAAGAAAAACAGAAATCAAACGTCCATTATCAAAATTTAATAAAGTTTTAAGAAATTCATATCTAAAATAGAAGATTACAATCATCGATAATCAGCTTAAGTTGACATTTTTAATCATTGGATTTTCAATAATCGGAAGTCTGATAATTTGTTTATTTTTAATGAAATCTTCTGTATGGTTAACTATTTAGAAAAGTTCTAAATCACATAATAACCTCTTCTGAACGAATAAGAATTCCTTCTATCAAGTTATGAGTTTATGAATCTCTTTCGAACTATACAGATTTACAAGATATATCTAATGAAAATAAAGTATATATTATTCAACTACTTCTACGTTGACGAGTCACTAGTAAGCTAGATGGATATGAGTTTTGAATTGAATGGAAAAAATTTTTATTTATGCATTAACTTTCAGTAACAACATTAGTAACTGTTTTAAAGCTACTGTTTAGAAGAAGAAAATGAAAAACAGTATTTTCCAAATAGAGTTACGGAGATGAGTGTTTGTTGCACATTGAAATCATCAATGATTCATTGTTAGACCACCATTGGAAACCTACAAGCACTGGACGGCCGTTTTATCACCATTAACATCAACATCGTAGAATAGCGGCTCAGTGGTCTAGAGGTTAAGCTTTCGCGCGAGAGATCGAAGGTTTTGGGTTCGATTCCTTGGAGAGAGATTCGTGGATGCGCACTTCTTATGAGTCCCATACCAAGACGAAACGGTCGTCCAATGCTTCCAGGTTTCTAATGGCGGTCTAACAATGATTGATATATGATTTCAATGTGCATAAAACAGTATTATCAATGCGATTTAGTTGTCATTTTTTTAAAAATTTATAATTGAAAGTTTTATCTAAAATGATGATCTGAATCAATATAGGACAGTTCAGAAAAATAGAGTTTCAAGTTCCAAACTACATATTAAGGAAAAAGTTTGATCACAAATTTAGTCAAAGCTCAATGAATTATCCTATTGATTTCAAATATTAAAAGGAATTCTAACAAATATTGAACATGTTTTTCCTACTGAAATATTTATTTGATAAATAACATAGTGGTAAAACATTCTAATGGAATTAAACTTGATTGAAACGTGGAATTCGATCACATGATTAGATCGTGTAAATTTACAGTCAATAATGCGAATCGAAGAAACAGATGGATATGAGCGTAAACTATACATGACTTTTTATTCGTCTCCTACCAAACATCTGTATGCATAAATGTACTAAAATGTTGCTTATTTTTGTTATACAGCAATTTATTAAACTAAATAAAACAATTTACTGAAATAGTTTCTGCACATCTGCATATTTCGAGAGTAGTTTACATCATCCGAAATAATGTTGATTTAAAAAGAAAAAACTATTGAACATTAGGAAGCACCAAACAGCTGTACCTTTATAAGTCGAGAAATTCACATGAATGTTCTTTTATTAATCGTTTAATTCAATAATTTCTGTTTATCTATGATTTCATTTGTGTCTTCGGGTCATTTATTACTGGTTGCAAAACTTTGGGCCCTTGAATGTACTAATTTGAAGACAGCATTATGAACTTATGATAGTGATATTCTGTATAAACTATACACTAAAACAATCAGTGTGTATATAACCTTTTAACAATGATATAAAATGTGCAACTCATATCATGGTAAATTCACTTGATGATGCACTCATAAATCTGTCTGATTAAAAAGTTCCAGACAACAGACTACAAGTTATTTTGATAAGATGGATAGAACAACAATGAAAGCAATAAAACATTAAGTGTTATTACTTAGTATGATTAATGCATAAGTCTGAATTCTAACTAGACTTTTGATGCATTAATCAGTGGAATAGCATGCAAATGCATGAATAAAATGTATATATTCATCTTTCTTATAAACGAAAGATAATAGATAAGTTAGTCATACAAATGGAAAATCAAAAAATTAACATTATATATGAGGTATTTTAGTTAGACCGAATACATTTAAATTAATCAAGAAAAAAAGTGAATAAAAAAGATTTTAAAAATGTAATTAAGTGAATTACACTATCATTTCATTCTTCAATAAAATCTATCTCAATAATTAATATATTTATAAATTTATGGTATCCATTTCATACAATGAGTACCATTTAAGATAAGTAAAAACTGATTTTGTTAAGAACTAACTATTCTTGTCTGGATTAGTAAATATTATTGAATGGCAACAGTTATACAACCCGGGTGCTGTTCTAACAGTGTACTAATATTCAACTGCAAATCTGAAATTGAAATAAAATACTTAACTGTTGAATAACACTTTGTTTATTTCATTAACTAAAATCATCCAGTAAAGCATAAATAAGGACTGATATACCATACGAAAACATAGGAAGTAGATCATGTTCATTGATTTATATTTCAATACTTTGCAGTTCAACATGATTCGGATATCAAATAGGTAATTAATTTATTGTTTGGTGTAAAAGGATTCCATGTTTATGAACTTCAATGTAATCGTTAAAAAAATAAAACACTAAGTAAGGTGTTTTGAGTCTTTATCCCTTCAACCATAATGGCTTTATTTGAATTTCTCCTCAAACCTTTAATTTTTATCGGAAGTTGTCACTAAATCTGGAGGTCTAGTGAACGAAATCTACATTAGGCACGGAAATACTTAAGTAGGCAATAAAGTAGAAAATGGAATTTTAAAAAATACTAACGTAATTCATTTCTAATTAGTTAAATGTTGGCCAGTCATATTAAAGCGTGTTTTATTATATGTTTTAGTGGTTTTTATAAGTTTACTATTTAAGTTTTCATGTAGCAAGGACACAGTACTATACTCTAGTAGGCCACTGGATGCTAACTCAGTTGTCAAAGGTCGAAAGTCTACTGTGAAACTCACAAATGCCTTAGTTCAAACATGGTTCGGATCGAATATTCTTACTGCCTAGTCACATACTGGGACGAAATAGATGACCTATACACTCTAATTTTTATTAATTACATAGTTACGGTTAATCCGTGATATAGACTATGAGAATTGAACAATAATCAATGGCCTTGAAATCAGTTAATCACAAAACAAAATCACGTTTCAATAAACAATGAGAAAAAAAGCAGATGGTTTTCATTATAACGTTTCAAGTGCAAATCGGTCTAAAAAGAATTCACATTTATTTTTATCTCAACATGACTAGTTAAATTTTAAGACATTCTAACAGTGTTGAAAAATACACGAAAAATGATAACAGAATATTCTGTTAATTATTAATTAATTATTCTTAAAAATCTATTATTTCGAATATAAAATATTTGCTTTAAAAATTCGATTTCGATCACTAGTTGACATAAGCTCAAGATTCATTGGTAGAAAATAAATACGCGGAAAATCATTAAACAGTGTATTTCTCTTTCTAGTTCTCACTCAAGTGACATAAGTCTATAAATGAAAATAGTCTAAAAATTGAACATTGAACTGAACATCGTTATCAGTGAAGTTCAATTATATCGAGAATATAACATAATTTCGTTAGTGACATAAAATGGTGAATCATACACTACTATTGCACACAATCAACTGACTGAAGTTAGAAATTTAGGTAGGATTTAAAATTATTCTTCATTTTTAGTCTGAACTAGTAAAAATATAACCATGACATTATTCATATTTCTTCAACTTCTCAACTTATGTCCATCCAAGAGCACAAATTCACAAGATATTCAGTGTATTGTTCAATTATTTACACGTATTGAACGATGTCACTAAATCAAATCTTATTTTCATGAAAACATCATAAATTGCAATATTTGATAAATAACAAATAAATATTGAATAGATGTTTTATTTTAATAGAACAGACAAAATGTGATTAAATTTTTTGAAATAGAAATGTGTGCATTTTATATTCAACAACTAAAAATAAAAGTCTCAGTGATTTGATTTTTATTTAACTAAATTTACCAGTAGTCTATTAATTGATAATATATATATAGAATGACTAAAAGTCATATTTTTCATGATTAGATTACATTACTGATAATATCGAGTTTCGATGACAATTAAGCAATGTAATATTAATTATCTTCTGATATGTACATCTGGATAGAAAAACTACAACAAATTTTAAAGTTAATCCGTTATATCTAAATTTCTGTTATTTGTTTGGTTAAATTTGGAAATCATTACAAACTACAAAAACAATTTTAATTAACTTACCTATATCCAAAATAACTTCCAACATGACTCCATTTATCTTTCAAATAAGTTATCTATTTGTAAAAATATACAAATGATCGAAAATAATGAAAGATACCACGATTTAATCATTTAAGAAATTTATGAAATGAGTTTGTCAAACGCATTTACTGGAAGATTATAGGTCAGTTTCAAAAATTGGTATGGGATATATAAATATTAATATAGGTATATCCAGAGAGAGAAAATGACACATAGAGAGTAAGCATGGGATGGAGTAAACCCTTGATTTCATCGCCATCCAAATGCTGTAGTTGTATACTTCGTAATATTAAATTATTTAACAGGAAAAATAGTATTTCATAGAGCAAAAAACGAATTTCTTTTGTTAATTTTTACGCATGAATTACTTTAAATGCTAACTTTTATAAATAAATAGGTTGGTGTGTAAATGTAATTTTGATGTGTAGCATTCAAAATTCATTAATTTACTAGTAAAAAATAAACATAACTGTTTCAAACTTCATAGACATTTAGTTCACAGACGGAATCAGCAAGAGACAGAGTGAGACCGGGATGTAATCGATAAATAGGCAGAACGAAAACAAACTTTCGCTTCTAACAGAACGAGTAGCTAATTGTCGACTTAACCTTAGTCCCTGTTTACAAAATGAGATAATGGTTCACCTGATACTGTTGCAGTAACCAAGAAATCGTAAATGATATGTATGTTATATGAGTATATAGGATTAAATTTAACATGTTTACCAGTTTACTTGGATAAATAAAAGGAATTCCTTAAAGACCAATTTATTGAATTAATTGAATATAATTGAGGATAGATTTTACTTACTACTTACTAGGCTGGAATAAATGACTACTAATTACATATATCTATTTGTTTTGATATTAAACCATTAGGTTTAAGTTTTGAATTTGACCTACTTACTTTGACCTGAGCAGATGATTAAGCATAAAAAATTGATTTAAAACTGAGTTAAGTTACAAAACTTATTAATCCTATGATGAACTCGTAGTAAAAAAAAGAGGTCTATGATTTACTTTATGTTAAAAAAACGAATGGTTAGAGAGCTATAGACTTGAATTTCTAGTTAGTATGCAGAATTAGAAGTGTCGAAAGAATTGATATTACTCCTAGGATTCGAACACTAATTGTTCAGTAACTCAGTTAGTAGGCTGATTTTCTACCATTCAATTTCTATCCACCAACGATCGATTACAGAATGTATTTTGTTCTTCTTGACACAGCTATTTGTTAGATGGTCTTTATTGTAACTTTGCGATAATAATATTGAACGAAAATTCTTGAATCGACTTAGATAGTGAGTACAAGACAGTTTAACAATACCAGGTAAAACCTATGGCTTAAAAGATTAACTTTCTTTTTATTAATTATGTCTATTGATGGCTTTTCTCTTTGTTAAGTGATTACTAAAAGATGATTTGATAGTGTAAAACTGTTCATCCACGGTCAATCATTGTAAAGAGTTCATTTGACGATTAGTCTCGTTTAAATACTATTATCATTACATTTTTTTAACCTATAGATTAAAGTGTATGTTTTTAAAGCATTTCATTTTATTTCCACAAAGAAATTTGATTTCTTATAAACAGAAAAAAAATCAACTAATGAATAAGATCATAACTGTTATCTTAAACTTTTAGCCAAAGATCCTACTTTTTAGCATTCTCGTTTTATTTTCCAAAATGAATTATACGTAGCACTACTAGTCAACATGTTATTTCCCTTTTCCAATGGCTGTTTTTTACATTTTATGTCTACCCAAAAAAAGAACTTTGAACCAGGTCACTGAATTTGAATTATTATTACTATGAAGATGATCTTTTATTACTGATAATATTGTTACTTTCATTCAAACTGATTAACCAGATGCGTAAATCATTATCATCATTAAGTAATCAGTGAAAGTTAAATACCGTTGATAGTGAATATCCACTATACTACCAGTAATTTGTGAAAGACAAGCTACCTTTAGAAAACATAGTGAAAATCAAACTCTTTATTTAAAATTTCAGTTATCTAGCAATATAGTATGAATATTATCGAAATTATTTAGTATTAAGTTCAGTCTGCTAAAAAAAATTAAACTTTTGAATTGATTAAATATACAAGGTTATTCAGACCTTGTTTAAGAATTATATACATTTCTGTAGGAATTGATTTTTTAAGGTATGATGGAAAACACTGAACCGTTGAAGAACTAACATTGTTTATTTAATCCAAGTTATCAGTTATGTAAGGCATACAAACAAAACCAGCTCTGTCTGATAAATCCTACCGTTTAACATAGAACAATCTATTTCTAATTGTGCTGTCTACTGAACTCTTTAATTAGGAGACAATTTGTATTATGGTACAAATGACATTTTTCATTACTATAGAAACGTTCAATGGAAACGTTTACCATTGAAAATGAATCGTTATTTAATGGAATTGGCTTATATAAAATCAAATTGACATTTTCTTTATATCAAATATGAAAGGAAACTATCTTTTAGATGCAAGCAGTGGATAAGTAAAAAAGTTGACATTTAAGTAAGTCGTAAGTTTATATAAATGGTACAAAGTTAAAACTGCTAGTAATATCTCAGATTAGATTATAAGAATTCTCTGATGTTTATGTAAAGCCAGCATATATATATATATATATATATACATATATATATATATATATATATATATATTGTAAGATCCAGTTTTGAAGGCTTTGTCTGTGAAAATCCCTCCATGTTTACATTTGTAATTTGTCCTTATTGATTCCTTCATTTGTACATTTTGTCAATCTGTTCGATCCCATTTTCAGATGATAATATTTGTATTTTATTATAGTTTCTATTTCTTCTGCCTTTACTGAGTCTCTATGTTTCTTTCTGAACTGCATTAGGTTGTTTAAGATGATACTTAGTCATGGAGACAGACATTTTGATTTGTTCCCCTTTATTCGGATTGCTTGCATGGACTGGAACTGTGCATTTTGATTGTGAATTGAAGCACTCTTCCAGAATTGGAAACACTCTGTGTTATAAAGCAACCAAATATTATCTGTCGAACGAGTCTGATCTATCCAGGAGGGATAGAATATCATTTATTTGTTCCTGTTAATTTGAATAATTGGACAATTGTTGGTGGAATAGCTGAGTGGCAATATTGTTTAGGTAATGATGTATATTTATATTTATGGTGAATATTAGAACCGTTATTTACCCAAATCACTTGTTTTGATTTTGACTGGACAAAACGCGTATCTAACCTACCTAGACAGTTATTCATCAGTCCAAACCTCAGTTTGGATCCTACAATATATATATGTGCTTGTTTGTATCTCTTAGTACAAGTAAATGATAATATCAGAAAAGAAAATACAAATATTCAATATACTTACTCCGCCTAAATCCATAGCTTGATTTAATATCATAATAATCCCGCGATATTCATTATCAATCCACATTGGACTAGATGTGATGACATTAATATTCGACTGAAAATGTTGTTGATCATCGGATTGTGACTGTTTGTATTGTCCAATAAGTTTTTGATTATTATCATTATTTAATTTAGCTAAAGCAATTGCATAGCCTAAACCAAACCCTTTATGTTTTAAATCATGCGATGAACTTTTCAATCGAATTGCATTGATTAATTCACGACCACGATAACGACCTAGAAAAATATTTCCTTCAGTTAAATAACTTCCAGGCATTCCTAAAGCAACTAATGCTTCACCGGATTGATTGCCTATTAGGTATAAGAATGTATGAAAGAAAGTATATCAATAAATAAAATAAATTTTAAACTATTTATCTCAGTAAGATTAAAATATTTTATCAAAATAAATTAGTTCTTCTGAAGATTTCGCAATCGAATGTTACTTTGCATCTAGGGCTAACATCAATCGGAGAACTGTTATAAAGTAAACAGCACCTAAGGAATGATGTACTAGTAAGTCAGCATATATCAAGTAATGTGTGGTTCATAAATGTTTACTCTGTACTAAAATATAGAACCAATTAGTGCCAACTAAATAATATAAAGGTTAGGTTCTCGATATGTTACCTAATGGTTCTGGATTCAATCCATGGTAGGTTCATGGATGGGTACTTATGAGGAGCTACTTAGTAGGATAAGACATTCTATCTAGTGCTCCTTCGTTACTAGGGATTATCTAACTAAGTTCAGTCGATTATGTAAACTTTGAAAATATTAGTGACTATGTTTATTTAAAAAAGCAACGGAAGTATTTCAAAAGATGTAGCCAGAATCTAAACATTTCAGCAAATATATTAAACAATAATTTCTATCGTCGGTAGGTAACTTATAAATATAGAAAATATTTATAACATTTCTACTTTATGTACTGTGAAAAGCATTGAATTTTGGAACCGTTCTATATGAATTATTCCTTAAACAATGTAATTACACGGAAATTGTGTATGACATACTGTTTGTCGCCTGCAAACAATTGTAATTGTAACTGTTTTTTAAAGAGTCACATTTTTATTTCTGAGAATTTTATCCAATTGAAATAGAATAGTTTATCTGGGTGGTTTATTTAGATTTTTTAAAAATCTTGTTTTGCAAATCAGCATCCAGTGGAAGACAACTAAAAACTATGAAGTACTTAACATTAGTGTTGCTGTATTTCAGTCCTTTAAGTGGTTTACGCCATCCATTCTAGTAACGGAATCAGATGGAAATCAAATATGGAAAGACTTAATATTATTCAGCTTATTGGTTCAGAAAGAACTTAATGAATTATCAACAGTGAATTACTGTCTCACTTCTGACTATATAAAACAACTTCTTAAATAAGTATTTCAGATTCCGAATTATTTGTCTCGATTTTAATATAAGACGGTTTAAAATGCAGTGTATTTGAGATTGAAACTATTGATAATGTTTAGAAAACACTCGCCTGCTTTTACATCTGCACTGAATCCAGCAAGACATGCACCTTCTTCTTGACTATGACAAGGATCCACAGAAACATACTGCATAGATGTTCCAGTATATAAAGCACAATTTCCAATTCCAAGTGAACTTTTTGATTTTATTGATGATGATTTGAATTGATCAGCTGAACTAGCTGTAAGATCGTTGGGAATTTCATTCAACAAATCTGAATTGAATAAATAACGAAAATCACAACCAAGTTGTATTCCATCAACAGCATTGTTTGCAGCTGCCACAGTTCCACCTAACCAATGGGATACTGAAATATCAACAAAAATAAAAATTATTTAAACTTCAAATTAGAGGTCATAAGTTCAGGTGTAAATTTGTAAATGTTTTTAGTGTTTAAATAAAATGAATCTATTGTCATGAAATTTCATCTGCATATTTGATTTAAATGTGATTTTTTGGTATTTACTTGATTTATTTATTGCCTTTCACAAAACTGAAACTGAATCAAAAATTAGATTTCACCTAGGTAAGCTTTATTACTGGTCGATAATATATTTTACGAAGCTAAATTGTTGCGTTCTCTCTTTAATGCAACTATTATGCACTATATTTTACATATATTAGTGATGGCTGCAAAACGTGACCTAAAGCCTCCTCATGGAGCAACTGGGCAGTAAGAGGAACCCTATTAGCTCACCCGGGCTGTCAGTGGATATCGGACTTACCGCCTACTTTAATATCAAGACTAATACAGGGTCCTTTGAGGTTCAAACCCGAAAACCAAAGGGACTACCCAAAGTGTATGTGAACTGAATGGGTCTCGGCTCATGCGGTTCCTAAACATAGTTATATGTAAAGGATGTGCTCGTCCGCTCGCTCAAAAAAGCAATTTCATTATAGTAACCCTTCCTATAAAAGCGAGATTAGGAACTAATTAATAAAACGGGTCTGTGAATAGATATAGGTGACAAATAGAGTTCTTGTGTCTATGTGCATGTCATGAAGTGCTTAGATGGAAGTTTGAGTACCAATAACATACATGTAACGCATGAGAAACACTCTGTGGTAACAAATACGTTCACGGTAATGGCGACTATTTGATCTTTTTCATTCTATTTTCTAATAAACTGATATATAAGAACACAATTGTACAACTACAATAAATGGTATCATTGAAATAATTATTTTTACGATTTAATAGTTTGAAGAGTCCCGTTTTAAGGGTAAGGTCAACAGCAAGTAATCTTTGATTCTCTATAACTGTCTGACTGAAGTCAGTAAGTGATGCAGACTATTGTGCTGGGTAAAAATAACTCACTTCTATTAGTTTAACTAAACCTACAGACTAATTTTTCATTTCAAAACAACATGTGATCATATCACTTAAGTAAAATATGGAACAATTAAGCAGTCTTAAATAAATGGGTTTTATTATTGTTAAGCAAAACAATCAGTTAAACGCTAGTTAGATAAACCTTCATAGCTTGTAATCTCGCACTGTTTCATTGTATTCACACTACATTCATTTAAATTTAACTTAACAAAAGACATAATAACATGGTTCATACTTTATTTTTAAAACCAATAGAATTACGAACAAGCTTGTTTGATAATTGACATTTCATGTTCTAAACGCATATAACATCATTTCATTTAAGCATTCAGTAATAAGTTAGTTTTGTAAACAATCATCTTTTATTTCTGCGTGAGATTAATGTATTTGAAAATTCATTCAAGAAAAACATTTTAAATATATTACTAATCATGAAGTGAAAAAAAAATGAGGAAAAAACATCATTCTATTACTTTCATAGATAAGTAAATACACGATAGTAATTTAACATTCGTCTGAACTAAATATTAGAATTTATTTGTGAATGATTTGGCGCGTAATCGCATGTTGTTTATTTTAAAACAAAACAAACCGGTAATAATAATCATAACCGATGAAACAATAAAATCATACCCTGGATTTTAAAAGAAATCATGTATAATTTGTAATAAAATCAAAATACACTATTATTCAATTTAAATAAATATATAACAGTGTAAAAACGGACACAGATGAAAATGAATCATTCTGTTGTTAAATTTGAAGCTGTACAATTGTACATTGAATACAGTTTGTCATGCTTATTAAAACAAACAGAATGAACAAAACATTAAATGAAGAAAAAAACATGCATTAATACATTCAGTTAAAAAAATCATGTTTAAATGTTAATGAAAA